TTCTATTCCGGTTAAACCAATGGAAGGATACATTGAATTAGCTGACTCGTCTGTCATTAAACGCGTTGGAGAAACGGAAAACGTAGAGATTGTCTGTGGACAGAATGTGCTTAGCGCGCCATATGAGGTTATTGAACAGAGTCATGCAGTTACCATTGGCATGGATCTCTTTCACCGCTATGGATTCAATATCGTTGGACTACCCGATGCAGATGAGTCGTCTGGACGGATGCCAGCGCCAGTTGAAGACGAAAAGCCCACGCTGATACCTCTCACGATTCCAGAACGAGAAAAGACGCAGGAATTTATTGCGGAAAAGGACGCGTTCATGAAGAGTATAGAAGAGTCGCTGAGGTTAAACGCCAAGATTCCAAATACAAGTCATTGTACTATACCTGAAATGAAGGTGTATTTGCCAGTCCCTGATGACGTTATCCTCTACCGCAGACCTAAAGTATTTGCTGCATCGCAAATGCCGGTTCTTGATGAAGCAATCCAGAATTGGCTGAAGGATGATGTAATTACATTAGCACCTGCAGGTAATGCACACAACAACACATTAACGCTAGCGGCTAAGAAAGATGCTAACGGAAACAAGACTCTCTACCGAGTGTGCTTGGATCCGCGGCCCTTAAACGCGCACCTACCCGATGATAATTTTCCGGTACCACTTATATCAGACATCATGCAATTTGCTGGAGGCAATGCAGTGTTCTCGACTGTGGACCTAAAGCAGGCGTATCATCGATTACCAATCCATGAAGAAGATCAGCCGTTGACGGCATTTATGCATAACGGGATTCAATATATGTTCAAGAAGGCTCCTTTTGGATTGAAGCCCTTGTCCAGTTTGTTTCAGCGTGGCATGAGCCGAATCCTTGGGGATTTGAAATTTGTCAGAAATTTTATCGATGACATTCTTCTCGCATCAAAGAACAGAAGCGATCATGCGATTCAGATGATAGAGTTGGTTAAACGGCTAACTGATGCCAAGCTTATTATTAACCTTGACAAGTGCAAGTTCTACAGTACGCAGGTGGCGTTGCTGGGCTTCATTGTGGATCTTGATGGAAAAAGAATTGATCCCAATAAATTGGTGAATATCAATGATTGGAAACCCCCAACTACGGGTAAGCAGGTTCAATCTTATATGGGGACTTTTAATTTTTTCCGCGATCACGTACCCATTATAGCTACCATTAGCGCTCCGCTAGATGCTATGCGTAATGTGGCGGGTCCATTTACGTTGAATGCTGCTCAGTTGAAGAGCTTTGAGGCACTAAAGAATTTGTTGGTCTTATCGCCCATAATTTGCTGGGTGGATTTCAATTTGCCGTTATATGTTGCTACAGATGCATCTAACGTTGGAATTGGAGCAATTTTATATCAGCTGCCGGAAGGCGAGGCGAATCCCAAAAACATTAGATATATTTCTTTTGTTGCGCGCTCATTGCAACCCAGTGAACGACGCTATAGTACAACTCAGAAGGAGTTATTGGCAATTGTGTTTGCACTGAAGAAGTTGCATTACTATTTGTGGGGCCGTCACTTTACGCTTTTCACGGATCATCGCGCTCTTACTTTTATGCATACGCAGAAGGATATGAACTCGATGCTTACCGCATGGCAGGAGACTATTTTGGATTACACGTTTAAGGTTGTTTATCGACCTGGCGTTCTGAACGTTTTACCAGACGCTTTGTCTCGCCAGTTTCCTCAAGAGTTGTGGACAGCCCGCACTCAAGGATCTGCTCCGAGCAAAATTTATGGTTATGTTCACTTAATCCAGGACGCCGACACTCAACGTGTGACGGTAGCTGTCTCAGAGAGAAGAGGAGTGTTAGTCGACGCACATGCGCTTGGTCACATTGGGACCAATGCCATGGTCAAGCATATTCATTCGTTGCAAAAGACGTGGCCTAATCTGGCCAAGGATTGCTTGGAGTATGTTCAGCGTTGCCAAGAATGCCAGCGAGTCAACATCGCACGCAAGGGATACCACCCTCTGACGGCCATTCATGCTCAGTTACCAGGTGAACATATGGCGGTTGATTTGACCGGTCCATTCCCTGTGGAGAGCGATGGAAACCTATTCCTACTCATTTTGGTTGATGTTTGTACAAGGTTCGTCTTCTTGGAACCCATACCTGACAAGAAGGGGATGACCATTGCAAAAGTTTTGTTCAAAATCTTCACCACTATTGGTTTTCCACGTATCCTCCAATCTGACAATGGCAGAGAATTCGTTAACGAGGCGGTGCAAGTGATGACTACCACTATGGGAGTGCAACATAGGTTACTCACCCCTTATCACCCTCGCGGAAACGGAGTCGCCGAAAATCATGTGAAAACAGCATGCACTATCATTCGCAAAGAGGTTCAAGACCATAAACAAGCATGGGCGAAACATGTTCCTAGGAGGCCTTTCAAGTCCAAATTATCATATGGTGTTTGTTACATCTCTGCAGATCTTGACGATATCCACCGCGTCCATTAGAGGAGAGTGTATGTATGATATCAACCATTTAAAACAACCACTGTAACATTCCTTGCGCGATTATCCTACTAAACACAACTACATTCTCCAAACAACAAAGTCTTCTTATTTTTCGCTCACCAATATCTTGAATGTGTTCATCTACTATTAAACTGTAACCCTCACTGCAAGATTCGACAGAGTAGTTCTTGTATGTGATCATCTAAAGCACTTGTATTCTCAACTGTATCTTTGTCGTGAAATACAGGGGAGAGATTACATTTTAAAAATTCTTGTGCTGTCTATTGCTATTTTATTCTGTGTTCTGTTGCCCACTATGAAGAGATATGCCAGTTATGGAAGTCAACACTCCGTTCCTTGGACTTTGGATATTTTTTATATGCCTTTTTATATCCTCTGCACATGAAGGGGCCGCTACCGAATAAAATATAAAAATATATTTGTATTCTCAACTATGTGCTTGCTGTATGATAGATACCATCCTACATGCTGTTGTGTATACAGTTAAGTATAAGCCTTTTTAAAAAATTGTTATTGTTGGTTAACGTCATGACAATCCAATACATAAATATTATTATGGATCTAACAAAACACTTCAAACAACTGCTTGATGACCATTGGACTTTCCTCAACGCTGGATGGCCAACAATTACACCACGTAATAATCATCGTACTGTAAGCAAGGAAATTGGGTATATGCCAGAAATAAAAGAAACCCTAAATCGACGCCTTGGTCCTATTCCAGTGTACTTCTTTCTTGTTGACATCTGGCCAAAGGTTAAGTATCCTGGTCCATACAAAGAAGTGGAGAAAGGTCTTTTAATGCTCTACCATCTTGTCAAAGGACTGTCTATGGAAGCAATGGAACCACACATGCCAAAAAGTAGTTTTCATGCAATGCACTCTGTGTTTTATAAGAAAGAATATACTTTGCACAACAAGTACATCACCAACTGTATTGCAACAATGTTCTCCACAATTAAAATACGCCTTTTGTCTGCAAAGGAAAAGAATCCTCCATTATTTAAGCATGTTACATTGCATCTTGATGGTCATGATACAAGAGCAACATACAAAGGTGAGAGTAGTGCTGATATGTACTCTTACAAGCTGAAAAAGTCTGGATTACGCACACAGGTAGCAATGGATTGTAATGGCATGGCTTTATTTGTCTCCAAATCTGCATCTTGCAAGAACAATGCTGATGGAACAATGCTGCTAACGATGAAGTTGGACAAGAGAGTGCATGAGATGGATTGCATTGCTCTCGATGGAGGGTATCCACAGTTCTTAAGGAGGCTTATAGATGAGTCTGATATTCTTAGAGTCCAAAATTTCGCTCATCCATACCGTAAACAGAAGAACAAGGAACTTACACAGGAAGAAGCGTTATACAATACCACCTTTGGTAGTTTCCGCTCGCAGATGGAATCTCTGTTTGCAGACCTTGGTTCCACATTTGAGAAACACAACAACCGTACTCCTGTGTTGGTGGATAAGAAACAAACATATAATTTGCAGTTGAAGTTATCTTTGTTACTCTTAAACATGAAAAAGATGGTTGCTTTGTTGAAGATTTCTGCAGAACCAATTCATACAGCTTGGCTTCGCGAAGGATTCGAGTATCCGACAACAGAGAACGACGTTGAGCAACCAATGGGATATGTTGATGTTGGTGCGCTAGTGGAGGATGGAAATACAATGGCACAACTCCAGAACAAATTTCTTGGTATTAATCTTCATGGTGATGTTGATGTTAATGTTGATGAGGACACACCAATGGATCAAGCAGTAATAATGCAACCCGGTCTTTCCATTGAGCTTAGAGGTACGAAGCGACAAATGGATGTTAATGGTAATTTGTAGACTTATTGCAGGTTTTTAAAATAATAGACATACATAGCCTATTTAGTCAGCGTTGAGATACGGTATTAACTGCCTAGACGCTAATATGCACCGGTATCTATTATTAAAAGTCATGGTATTATTGTAGTAGATCGGATGCTATTCTATGCTATTCTACAACATTCCTTTTTATTTAACAAAGAGGATAAACACATGTACAAACCTACGTCATAAAAGAATACTACATTCTTAACCATTTTTAAACCCCGTCTTTAACGCCAAGCAGTCTTAATAAGCAAGATCTACGTCATACGAGGAACACTACGTTATTAACCACTTAGATGCCTTTTTAAAACTCTTTTGTTACTAAGCGCCAAGCAGTGTTAATAAGCAAGCGCTATTAATATCCAGTGTGGCAGTGTCCCATGAATTAGTATAAATAAAGGACTCCACTTCCCTCTTGCTTAATCTTTATCTTATCTAGTAACCAACCAACCATTATCCATATCTATACAACCATCCATACCTATACAACCATCTTTTATTGCAATTCTTTATATCAGTGTACTAAGCAGCTGCAATCTACCACACATAAACTGAAAAGTCATTCACACCCACCATACCACAAGTACAATCTATATCGTTCATATCCAAAAACATGCAGTACGTTCAGCTTACAATCGAGCTCATCACCAAGGCCTTCGAGACATTTTCTTCTAAGAAGGGAGTGGAGTTTACCAAGAAAGATGCAAATAAGATCTTTAAGGCGCTTGATGAGGATGAGGGAGTAGAGAGATACTACTTTTGTGGTGCAAAGTGCACCAAGTCCAAGCGCAAATGCATGAAGGAAGTTGATGATGAAGGCATGCATTGTTATGTCCACGATCCTGCGCGCAAGTGTCAAGGCACAACCATTAAGGGCGCTAATTGTGGTAGTGTAGCCAAACTTGGTGAAACATACTGTGGACGTCATCGAGAGCAGCATAAAGGTCATATGAAAAGCAGTAACAATAAGGCACCTGCCAACAAGCGTACCAAGTCTTCCAAGATAACCAAGAAGACACATACTCCTGAGTTTGTCCCTTCAGATGATGATATGACTTCCGAGGATGAAGAACCAAAGAAGCGAAAGAGAAACAAGCAGGAGTCATCGGATGAGGAGCCGTCCGATGATGATGAAGAAGATATAATTGCCGTCTCCTTTCCGTTGAGTCCAAAGGTAGTTGACATAACGTCCAAGAAAAATGTACCACTCGCTAATACAGGCATATGGATGCGTTATGCAACTAATCCAGCTTTCCTGTATGCAAAAAACTATACTGTAAATGGCAAGTACATTATTAAGCTGAAGGAAAAGGACCTCTACATTGTATTGTGTCCACCTGAGCTCATGGGGAAAAATCTTCCTGTACCGAAATTATCTGACAAAGAGGTACGTATATTACAAAAGATGGGACTCCAAGAGGCAACTCCTGCTGATGTAGAAAAAATAGAAGAGTCTTCTGCTGATGAGAATTCTGACGATGATACAGATGATGGTGATACGTCTGATGATGCTGGCTCTGACGATGATTCCCCTGATGATAAAGACTCTGATGATGGCAAGTCCAATAACAGACCTGATGTAGAATCTGGAGATGATACCTCTAAGGATAACCCTGATGAAAAACTATCTCATAAAAAGTCATCTAAGGATGATGAGAAGAAGACTTCTCGAAAGAAAAGGCATTCAGAGATGTCCAAAAATGCAGAGCCATCTTCTAATGTAGACGTTTCTAAGGATGGAAAAGATGAACATACATTTGCACTGGCCACAACGGTGCATAACATTAGATCAGAGAAAGACATAGCACGTGCGAAGGACAGAGGATGGATGATTCATCCTAATAACGACATGCTTGAGTATGCAACTAAGTTTACGATGAATGGCAAGTACATTGTCAGGCTATCTGGAAAGAATACATACGTTGGCCTGTTTACGCTTGATGCTCTGCGCGGTGTCGGTGATGTTCCAGAGTTGGATATCTTGGAACGCTCCATGCTTAGCAAGATGAAACTTCAACCATTGTCTGATGAAGAGAGAAAGACGCTTTTCAACGAGGAGATCGAAGTAGAAGAAGAAGTACCAGTAGAAGGACCAACAGATAAATCCAAGGTGATATGGAAAAAACTTAACAAGTACTTGGAATATTCCGAGAATGTACTTGTAAATGGAATGCACATTCTCAAGATGCGCAAAAAAGACACTGTAATCGGCTTGATGACTGATGACCATATTGCTGCAGAGAATGTAGAGTGTCATTCTCTTAGCCAGAAGGAAAAAGAGAAGTTGTTTGCTATGGGATTTAAACCGCATGAGCATAAGCAAAGCTTGCCACAGAAAGATGAGAGCACATGTGAGGATGATAAAGATGCTGAGGGCGATAAAGATGCTGAGGATGACAAAGATGCGGTGGGTGATAAAGATGCTGAAGATGACAAAGATGCTGAGGGTGATAACGATGCTGAAGATGATAAAGATGCTGAGGATGATAAAGATGCTGAGGATGTTATGTGGAAAAGGTACCCTAAAGATAAAAGCTCCTCGGGTATAATCGTCATAGATAAAGACGAAATTAAATGGACAACATGTTCGTTTGACAAGAAGCATGAATATGCAACCAACTACCTTTTCGACGGATGTCATCTGCTCAAGAGGTACGAAGAGGACATTATTGTTGGACTGCTGTATAAGATACCTGCAAACGGTGACAGTAACTATAGTCGAGACAAATTTACCAACAACAAACAAAAGCAGAAGTTAATTGCCATGGGGTTCACGATCGAGGAATTGCCTAAATTGTACTCTCCAGATGTAAAGTTTTGGTAGTTGTTGAGACAGATGAAGAGTAGATATTTTAAAAACTATCCAATTGTCAACAGTTGGCATTTGTGGTTGTATATATAGCATGAACTTTTTAAAAATGTAACATGTCTTCGACACTTCCACCTAGGAGGCCTTTCAAGTCCAAATTATCATATGGTGTTTGTTACATCTCTGCAGATCTTGACGATATCCACCGCGTCCATTAGAGGAGAGTGTATGTATGATATCAACCATTTAAAACAACCACTGTAACATTCCTTGCGCGATTATCCTACTAAACACAACTACATTCTCCAAACAACAAAGTCTTCTTATTTTTCGCTCACCAATATCTTGAATGTGTTCATCTACTATTAAACTGTAACCCTCACTGCAAGATTCGACAGAGTAGTTCTTGTATGTGATCATCTAAAGCACTTGTATTCTCAACTGTATCTTTGTCGTGAAATACAGGGGAGAGATTACATTTTAAAAATTCTTGTGCTGTCTATTGCTATTTTATTCTGTGTTCTGTTGCCCACTATGAAGAGATATGCCAGTTATGGAAGTCAACACTCCGTTCCTTGGACTTTGGATATTTTTTATATGCCTTTTTATATCCTCTGCACATGAAGGGGCCGCCTATGGCACAGCTAGCTATGAACACCAGAATTGTGGCTCTACACAATTCGTCCCCATTCTCTTTGTTTTTTGCGCGGCGTTATAATGGTATTAGCAATTTTTCGGACACGACAGAGAAGTTATCATCCCAGGAGGAGCTCTTAAAGCGGCTTGAGTACATGACCAAGACCGTCATTCCAGCGATTGACACTAAGACCCGCGAAACTCAACGTCGAATGATTGAGCGTTTCAATAGAACAGTACTGCACAGTGAATTCCCTGATGGAGCAAAGGTTATGTCTTTGGACCCGATCTTGGGCGACAAGCTTTCGCCTAGGTATGAAGGCCCTTATATTGTAGTCAGACGAACAACTGGTGGATCCTATGTGTTGAAGGATGCCACAGGAGAAGAGTTAGGTCGTAAATTTGCGCCGTCGCAGCTAAAGCTTGTGCTCGACGATTTTGAAGCAACTGACACATACGTAGTAGAAAAAGTTCTCAACCACAGGCATGGACCTAGGGGGGGGATGGAATACCGCGTAAAATGGAAAGGGTACAAAGAGGAAACCTGGGAGCCTCAAGAGAATTTTATTGAGAGAAAGTGTATCACAGACTACTGGAAGACTAAAAACCTACCAGGATCGCAATCTCTAACGCAGCCTCGTCAAACGGCCGCGACTCTCGGGACTAAGGGTCAAGAGCAGGAGCTCAATCCATCGCAACGTAAAGGTGCTACTAAAACATCAAAGAACATATCCAATGGTGATGCTCTTAATAAGGGTACATGCAAGCGTGCAAACCCCGACGAAGAAGAAGATCAATTGGTCGATCGACGCAGGTCTAAACGACTGCGAAGAAATAATGCTAATGGCGAGAAGATGAGTATTGAGCTTAGGACGATTCGCGGGCGTATGCCTGATCGTCATTAGCATGCATCATCAGTGCATCCGATGAATAATGCAGTAGGGGTTTTTCCGCTTCCCCTACAATCACGTTCGAGGTTTTCCCTCTTGGGTTTTCCCCTCGCAAGGATTTTTAAACGATTTTTTGCCTTGAGTGAACAATTAATGTCATGTGAGGATTGTTGATCCTCAACCTGTCTGCAAGGTTTTTATTCAGATTTTTTCCTGGCAGAACAGTAAAATAATGCACAGAGTCCAAGTGATTCTTAGACACAAACGAGCAGAGCATATATGCGTTTTTAAGCAGACGGCTTTCAGCCTTTCCCATGGGAGGGGATTGTCGCATATTTGCCTGTCTCGGGGGTGTCAGCTAATGTAATTAGGCTAGAGACAGTAATTTAGTCATATGACCAGACACCGACATAAATGGAGGTGTCTGGGCTGTTAACAAAGATCCCTCTCTTGTCTTATCAATTCGATTGTGCGTGACTAGCGTAAAAATTTTCATATGGTACATTTCTGTTTGGAAAAGTTGGCGGTGATTGGTAGGATTATTACGCCCGGAATATTACAATGGTTAGTGAACATAATTGTGCAACAGGCGAAGACTGGGACAGAGAAGTATAGAACGGGGACGAGAGTTGAAGCTGTGATGATTGATGTTATTACTATGATACAACTAAATATATATACAAAGTCGCCAACTAGGTTTCTAGGTGTAGTGTTATACAGAGTCAGAGATGATAGAGAGTGACAAGGAATGACTAACTAGAGAGCAATGATAAACCTAATATGTTGCAAATTGCTATTATACAGATATTCTTGTCTGATTGTCACCATAAACCTCATCGAGAAGGACATAGAGGTGGAAGATGCTGAAAAATATAGCGTACCTTGGAGTAAGTGAGAAAGAAGATGGGGGTTCGTTTATTACTAAGTCTAGGGTTTAAATACTAAGGGACACTGCCCTTAATTATCTCACTGAGTACGCTTCTTGATAATGTACAGTCACGAAAATGCGACAGCTTTCCTCTCCCTTTGAAGAACGAATTATGAGTTCTTGGATTTCAAAGGCATGTAGTGGATGGACATAATTTATGTCTTACTTCGATTGCGGGTCCGCCTGCGTTTACGCCTTGGCGGCAATAATGATTCTTCTTCTTCATGTTGTTCTTCGTCTTGTTGTTCTTCTTGTTCATCATCAGAATCTGCAGGGGAATCGGCTGTTATCAGAGGATTTGGTTGTTCATTAATGTTTTCTTTATCTTTCCAGTAGGAAGTAAGAGAAGATCGTTCAACAAAGTTCTCTTCTGGTTCCCAGGTGTTGAGCTTGTTGGAATAGTTTTTCCATTTGACGAAATATTCTTTCTTCGTACTGTCATGTGTATGTTGCCTATGTGCTACCACTTTTTCCACCTCATAGGTGTCTGATTCATCGGCGTTGTCAAGGACCAGTTTGAGTTGAGATGGTGCGTATGATCTTTCTAAAATAGCGCCAGTTCCATCTTTAAGGATATATGCGCCACCCGCGTTGCGGTTGACTACTGTGTATGGTCCTTCATATCTTGGTGATAATTTTTCGCCGAGAATTGGATCAAGTGTCATCACTTTGGCTCCATCGGGGAACTCGTTGAGTAATACTGTACGATTGAACCTCTCTATCATTCTCTTTTGAGTGTTCTCTGTATTTTCTTTGATTGCTGGAAAGACTGTTTTGGTCATGTACTCAAGTCGTTCAAGAAGTTTATCTTGTGTTAATGGATTGTTTTTCTCATCACAGAAGTGGCTGAAACCGTTGTTTTGACGTGCAAAGAAGAGTGAAAATGGAGATGAGTTGTGTAGTGATACAATGCGTGTGTTCATCGATAATTGAATGAAAGGAAGGTGTTCGTCCCACATATGCCCCTCCTCGAGAACTTGTTTTCTGATCATTTGTACGGCTGTTTTGACATGGTTTTCGGCCACACCATTGCCGCGAGGGTGGTAAGGGGTAATAAGACGATGGTCGATGCACATTTTTGTGGTCAAAAGTTTTGTAATTGTATTGACGAATTCTCCACCATTGTCAGATTGAAGTATTTTAGGAAAGCCGATCAAACAGAATAATTCCCATAGCGCAGTGGCTACAGTTAGACCTTTTTTGTTTGGCAAGGCGCGCAAGAAAACAAATCGCGTACAAACATCAACAACTACAAGTAGTCGGACGTTTTTGTTCTTTGTCAACGGAAGCGGACCTGCCAGATCAATGGCTATGTGTTCTCCTGGAAGTTGAGCATTGATGGCTTTCATAGGATGGTATCCTTTTCGTGCAATATTGAATCGTTGACATTCTCGGCATCGTTTGATAAAATCGACACATTCTTGTGACAGATGAGGCCAAGTAAGTCCTTGTTCATGAATAGAATTGACCATTGCGTTTGCTCCAATATGTCCCATTGCATGGGTTGTAAACAATATATTGTTTCTTTTAACTGGATCTACTTCTTTGCGTTCAGTTTCTTTATCTTGGATTAGATGCATGTAGGAAATAATTTTCTTTTGATCAGCTTTAGTTGTATTTTTATTTGTGATTTCAATTGGATATAGGCGTGATAGGGCATCGGGTAATACGTTAAGAATGCCTGGGCGATAGTGCACCGTGAAAGTATAGTTTAAGATTGTTTCTTGCCAGTTGGTGAGCATTGAGTTGAGCTCAGGTTGAGTATGGATGTATACAAGTGAACGATGATCGGTATATAAGTCAAAGTGTCTTCCCCAGAGGTAGTAGTGAAAACGATTGAGTGCAAAGACAATCGCTAACAATTCTCTATGCGTTGCTGAATATCTGCGTTCACGATCTTGCAAAGATCGCGACATGAATGATATATAGTTGATAGTGTCTGGGTACTTTGGACCCTTTGGAAGTTGATAGAGTACAGCGCCAATCCCGACGTTAGAAGCATCGGTGGCTACATAGAAAGGTTGACTGAAGTCTGGGAAGGACAAGACAGGGGCTATGAGCAAGATATTTCGTAGTGCATCAAAGGCGCGCTTCTGCTCATCATTCATTACGAAAGAGTCGGTTCGACTACGAAGTGCATCTAGAGGTGCTGCGACCGTACTGAAGTTTGGAACATATTCACGGAAAAAATTACACGTTCCGAGGTAAGATTGGATTTGTTTGGCGCAAGTGGCATATTCCACCTTGTGCATGTTCACAAACTTCTTGGTGTCAACACTCTTGCCATGGAGACCCACAAGGAATCCAAGGAGTGAGATCTGTGTGCTGAAGAAGTTGCATTTATCGCGGTTGATAATTAATTTTGCCTCGTTGAGACGTTTAATTACAATCTTTACGTGTTCAGCGTGCTCTTTTATCGAACGTGAAAATATAACGATGTCATCAATAAAGTTGCACACAAACGGTAGATCACCGAGGATCCGGTTCATTCCACGCTGAAATAGACTCGACAGAGGCTTCAAACCAAATGGTGCTTTTTTGAACATGTATTGAGTACCCTTATGCATGAATGCCGTGAGAGGTTGGTCCTCTTCGTGGATTGGTAGTCTGTGGTATGCTTGTGTGAGATCGATCGTGGTGTACACAGCGTTGCCTGATAGGCGGTTGAGAATATCTGGTATAAGTGGCAATGGATAATTGTCGTCTGGTAGGTGTTTGTTTAAGGGTCTTGGATCAAGACACACACGCCATAGTGTTTTGTTTCCTTCTGCATCTTTCTTTGCTGCTAGCGTTAATGAATTGTTATGGACGTTGCCTACAGGGGCTAGTTTGATTACATCGTCATTCTTCCATTTCCTGATTGCTTCATCGAAAATAGGAATTTGTTTTTCTGCAAATGGACGCGGTCGTCTAAAAAGCACAGTGCCTTCAGGTACAGGAAGAAATACCTTCATTTCCGGAACGGGACAATGACTGGTGACGGGAACTTGTTTATTCTCCTTTAGTACACCTTCAATAGCCTTGAGGAAGGTTTCTTTTTCTTTGATATATTGTTTTGTTTTTTCCTGACTTGGAATTTTTCCTGGTATGAGTGAAGGTTTGTGGTCCGGATCTGGATCTGGAAGAGTTGTAGCATCCGCTCCTGGGTCAGGTAGTCCGGTTATGCCCAGTCCAAATCGGTGGAAGAGATCGATTCCAATTGTGAATGGATATTGCTGATCTATGACCTCCAGTGGTGCTGACACATAGTGAATTCCAACCTGTAGTTCGATGTTATCTGTTCTTCCAGTTCTTGGGATTGTGATTGACTGATCAACGAGCGTGATGACTCCATCGACTGGGTTGATGTTCACTTTGTGTTTTTCTGCTATGTCCCGACGAATGCAAGAGTCTGTGGCTCCTGTGTCAACTAGTGCTTCGTACTTCTCTCCTTCGAATGTGATGGTAGTGAGAACTCTTTTTTCTCTGTCGGAGATGTTGGGTGCTTGTAGTGCTCGCAAAGTGATTGTTTTATTGTTTGTTGAATTGTAGAAGCTAAGCGAATCCATTTTCCCTAGCAGTTCCTGTAAAAGGGCGTCCTCAAGTCGTATCGCCCGAATGTTATTGTGTAATTGTGTTGATCCTGGTAGAATGGATGATGAGGCGACAGTGATGCTTGGGTTGTTTGTGCTTGCTTGCTTTGATAGTTGTTGTTGGTTGCGGAGGTGAAGTGCTTGTTTTATTGTAAACTTATGGGCACGCGAAAGAGAAATTAGTTCCGGCTCTTCTTCGGTGGCTTTGTTGTTTGTTGTATGACTGCTTAATGCAAATTCCTCTTTCTTTGCGTTCTGAATTGATTGACATTCCTTTATTTCTCCCCCCTTTTCAACATCTAAACGCATATCCAAACAAGGGCTTGGCACTGACACCGTTGTGGCAGGCGTGGGGTTTGTACGTACTCGTTGTATGACAGGAATGCGATTAACACCAGTAGCATTATTTTTGATTGTTATGGCACATTGTGTATGTTGTGTATTCAGTTCTATATTGTCTATGTTGTTTATGTTGCTAATGCTATTGTTTATGTTTTTAGTGTCGAGGGACTCGACCAAGTGGCTCATAATGTCCGTCTTGTCTGCGTGATCATTAGGATTGCTGGTTGCCTGCGGGTTATTTTGCAGAGAGAACGGTATGTCAGTGTTATTATTGCTTTGATTAAATGTTAATTCAGCATAATTATTTAGTTTCATTGCATTTATGGTGATGGTAGATTGCTTACCTTGAGTACCGTTCTGCTGTTGTTCTTGACGCATTCTTGTGCGGCAGTCTGCATAGGTGTGACCCCTGTTGCTGCAGAATGTGCAGAATCGGCAGTCCTTGGTTTCGTGCGAGTTATTCCAGCTGCAGCCTTGGCAGAACTTCATGCCTGCTCGAGGAGGTTGCCCGGGTGCTTGCCCAAAAGGGGGCTGACTGTTGCTGCGTCCCATGGGGCTCATTCTCCCTTGTCCTCGGCCTCGGAAAGTTCCTCTGAGTGCTCCGCGAGATGCTCCGCGTGATCCTCGAACTCCATTTGGGAAGGTGTTGTGCCGTGGCCCAAAAGACTGCTGCTGCTGTTGCAATTGATCCTGAGATCGTCCCACTGCCCGAGGTTGATCGATTGCATCCTCAGGTCCCGTTAATGTGCTCATCAGTGCACATAGGGTATTGATCGATTTAAAGGCTGTGGCGTCTGGGTTCTTTATCTGATGCTTAAAGAGCAGGAAATCGTACTCCATCCCCGGGATCGACCTCCCGAGTTGATGAAGGATGATGTCGTTATCGTCTTGGATTCCATTCACTCGTGCATGCCGAAGGATACGAGCGGAATAACGGTTATACGTCTCGCCCATATTGCGTCCCATGTCTGCCATGTTCCGCATGTTCTCCAAACGTTCCTCTTTGGTGAGGCAGATGCTGAGGAATACCTTCTCCGCCATGTCCCAACCGATGTTTCCTTCGATGGCGGCGAATCGACGTTGTAGCTCTTGTTGATAATGGTCGTCGTTAGTGAGGACGATGAGATACCGATGACACTCGTTTTCGAAGGTATCCATGCCGAGACGTGTTTTGAGATGGGTTGCGAAGCGCTCGAGAAAGACTCTGGTCTCATTGGTTTCATAGGCTGTGGCTGGATTCAACGAGAATCTGGGCATGTCGGGTGTTGGTTTGATGGCCGCTTGTTGTTGGTGCCATGATGGTGGTGGTTCGAGGTCGTTTGCCGTTGCTCTTTGCTATTTTTCCCATAGTTGATTCATTTCTGTTTTTTGAATGGGGTAGCATAATGAGCAATTAGTCTTTTTTGATTCAAGATCACGTTATGACAATGATCTTTCTTTTGTTCTTCCGATCTCTCTTGTTATAAATCTGGTCCGTTGGACTCTACTACACTATAATCGTTCGTGTGTTATTCAAGAGAGTGCTTTGGTTCCGTGTTATAGATACCGCGCTTGTTGATGGACGTTGTCCTTGCGCTTTGATGGATTGAGTGGTTTGGATGGATGGATGTAATGTGTGATACTTCGAATAAACGATACCCTTGAATCTTCACTTAAAAAAAATGAAAAATATAGCGTACCTTGGAGTAAGTGAGAAAGAAGATGGGGGTTCGTTTATTACTAAGTCTAGGGTTTAAATACTAAGGGACACTGCCCTTAATTATCTCACTGAGTACGCTTCTTGATAATGTACAGTCACGAAAATGCGACAGATGCCACGTTGTATTTTGGACCTGAATGGTCTCCTAGGTGAAACTTTTAAAAAATCAGCACAGCCTTGTATTACGTTGGTTGATTTTCAAGTGTTTTGTTCATCACAGATATATAGTGGATGAAATTTTTAAAAACGTCAGCCAATGTGCAATACCTTGACTATTTTCTATCTTCGTTCTTGTCTGCTGTTTTACAAATATTCTTACATGTGCGGCGCGTAAAAGATCTCATTCCTCGCGGCAGCATACTCTCCTTATACTGTAGGCACATTTTTTTTATCTTGCACATCATCTACACACATTTACATTCATCTGTTTCTACTTTTGTCTAATTGGATTCATCCTCTGTCTCTCATGTTAGGAGGCCATCCATGTTCGGCTCCACCAACCATAGACTACAGTATAAAAATATCTGTCAACACCTATTAAAACAGTGTGTTCCTTGAGAGTACAACAAATCTCATCAGCTTTTTCCTTCCACCAGTCTCCATTTTCTACATTCACCACCACTACTTTGTAACATCATCTACTTTAGCTGAGAAAGCCTTGGACATGATCATCTCATATTGGATCCTAGATATTACAGATAGTAATTTCCTTTCCAATATGAGATGATCATGTCCAAGGCTTTCTCAGCTAAAGTAGATGATGTTACAAAGTAGTGGTGGTGAATGTAGAAAATGGAGACTGGTGGAAGGAAAAAGCTGATGAGATTTGTTGTACTCTCAAGGAACACACTGTTTTAATAGGTGTTGACAGATATTTTTATACTGTAGTCTATGGTTGGTGGAGCCGAACATGGATGGCCTCCTTACATTACGGATAGTCTTTTGCTGGTGTCTGGACTTTCGTACTCGTGCATTTACCTTTAAATCTTTATATATCTGCTGTACAAGTTGTTCATGGTTTGCGTCTACTATATCCCTAACGTATATCCTAACCTCATCAGGAAGATAACGTCTACCAAATCTCTCTTTGTGTGCAGTCTCCCAATCCCGATACTCTTTTCGTAACGCATCCTTATATCTTGTTAATCTCCGCTCCTTTTGTAATGCTTTTTCATCATCTTTAGAAACATTAAAGTATTCTTCATCAAGGTCTCCTCTGATTACATCTATTTTTGCTTTAATTTCACACATGCTCAGCACAAATTTTTTATGATCTTCCGTTTTGTACATTCCATCAAGATTAGATGCTTGATAAGAACTCAAACTGCCAAACAATAGAATCTCCGTGTCAACTAATTGGAGATTCGCTGGATTACACCCCGCTCCAGTCTTAATCAACGCGTGTGAAGAACCACCGATATCAACTCCTGCAGTAATATCCAGTTCTATAACTTCATCTCCACTAGATATTTTTTCACCTGCTTGTTCGCCAGGATTCGTCGTTGCAACCGCAGTTGTTGTATCATCACACTGTTTGTCAGCACCATATCTACATCTTCTTCTGACGAACTTTTCTTATGTACAGCGCCATGTGTGTCACGTGTGGTAAATCTATCCAGCATTCTCTCAATCTCAGCGCAAGTTAACTTGGACTGTGGTACATTTTCATCCTCGGTCGATTCTTCTTCAGATAAAGGTTGCTCATCATTATCATCTCTCTCTGCATGATATCCGTCTGATGATTCCTCTAACGACTCTTGCTTTGCCCGCTCAACCGGAATTTCGTCATCATCATCCTCAGACTCTGTACCGTATAGATCTTTCCATTGCAACTCGGATAGTTGAACTAGTTTCATCTTGCTAATAATAGTTCGTTCTATGACATTTATCTCCGGTGCTTCACAGAGCCACAAACATGTTTGTTCCACGTTTCTTAACAACGCATTTCCCATTTATCATGAAGCCAGTGTAATACTCGAGTTTGTCGTTGTTTGGATGAACAGCTCATCCACCATTCTTGGTAGACGGCAAATTTAATGCAGACGTAATGTTCATCACATCTGGACTCAATTGGATTTCCGACTCATCATCCTTGTCAGATACAATGTCGTCTTCTCCTGAAACAACATGTTTCGACTTTTTGGAGTGCTTCTTAGAATGCTAAACATCCTTCTCCAGAGGTGTCGTTCCTGGCTTGTAAATGAACTCGTACCACTTTGTTGTCGGCTCTATCCCCTGGACCCTGTTTCCCTTGTACACAACTGGTACCTTGAATTCTACAAACGGACGAGGTCAGGTGCTGAGGTTGACCCCCAAAAAAAAAAAAAAAAAAAAAAAAAACGCCACCATTTTTTACCATTTGGGATTGGCAGCTTCGTCTCATGGTCAACAATGGGCTCAGATGATGGGACAGTTGGGATCGACGTCGATGGAAGTTCAAAGCTGGACCGAGGCTGGTTGTTGCTTGTGTGGGTATCCTTCAGGTGTTTAAGGAGTGACTTCCGCATGGTGTAACCTTTGTCGCAATCTGGATCCGGGCAAGGATGTGGTTGGTGGATTTTCTGGTGAACTATCCAGTTTGGTGTTCCTTGGATGATCTGGTTACAAGGATTGTTCTTTGTACCGTGGCAGTGGTACAGCTGATGCTTTCGCTCATGTTTGAAGCGGTTGTTGTCCATGCTGAAGTGTGTTTCGCAACCAGGAAAACGACAGGGGAATCTCGTTTCAGTGTGTTTTGCTAGATAGTGTCGTTGCATGTCACACCTTGTGCTGTATGTGTTAATGCAGTGTGGGTCCTTGCATTGGACGCGGCCGTTGTTGTTCATGTTCAATAATGAAGAGGAAAAGCAGCGGGGGCAAGGTTGGTGAAAAGGCAAGAAGAAAAGTTGATAGTTCGGTGGACGATTGATTTATTGGTCAAGCAGTGAAACCGAAATTTAGCTTTAACAGAGAACACTGCACCCTGGAAAAGGGCTTGCTTACTAGCTCCTGACCTTTCTTGTAGTATCTCTAACTCATACATACGTAGCTATGTCATTATCAGGGTGCTGCATTGCAGCCAAAACATGCAGGCAACAGTCAGTTAGGATCTCCTAAACTGAGTTAAACGAACATACATGTTGAGACTGAGGATGGCTCTAATATGATTTTTGGATGGGATTCGGGGGATGAGTTTCGTCTCTCCATGTACATCCTGTTAAGAAGTACAGGTCGCAGCTCCATCGATATCCAAAGGTCCTTGGCTCCTGCAACCATCTTGGGTCAACGGAAGGTACTCATGATTAGGCTATCAACGGAAAGAAAGAGCTTTGGTCAGACTTCCCGTACACAAGATGCCCTGGGATTGGAGTAGAGGCGTAGGGCGAGGAAATGATTGGGTTTTCAGCACATTCCAACGAGCGAAGTAAAGATCAGTGCCATAGTCGCTGGCCGACATGATCTGTCGTTTCAGGCAACTCCTTGTAACCTACCCATACCAGCTGGAACAGGATCCACCTTCACGTCTAAATAAAGGACAAAGTCTCTGGTGGATGGCCGAATCCGCGACGCCGAGCACTTGGTAAACCTAGAATGGGCCCAGTCGTCGTGGGCAGTGCTCCTTGGCCTCCCACGAACGCGTCGAGAAATTTGGCCACGTCTGACCCTGGTGCAAAGAACTTGTCCGTGATCTTTTTGATGTCGCTATGGAGGTCGCCTATTTGCACGGGATAAAAGGGCGATGTAAGAACATTTAACACTCGAAAGAATAACAACAATAAAGTACGAAGACATAAGTGGGTCCATACCAGATAGCAGCGTGCCACGGCGAGAGTCGTCTAAGAGAGGGGTGGAGCTGCGAGCATGGAGTGGAACAGGAACAGGCGCATGGACTATATCAGTGCAATTGGATGAGAGGATAAATTAGTGCATGCACAATGGACACAGTATGTGGACATGTGCAAGGTGTGAATGAAAAAGCACGCGTGTGTGCATTACTTGAAGGAGGGCGCCGGATGATAACGTGGATCGTTTTCTTGGGTGGTGTCTTTGGAAAGACATCGGAGACATCGTCTGTTGGGTCAAGTTCTGTTGGTAACTCAACCTCATTCAGGATAGTCGGTTTGTGCTTGTTCGCTGGAACGATGGGTAGTGAGAAACAAACGGAAAGCAAAGTGGAAGAGAGAGTGCAAAAAAAGGGGGAAAGACAACACATAAAGAGTGGGGAGGGTGGCACAGCAAAGAGATGTGGGAGGAGTGATAGAAAAAGGAATCGAATGATGGCAAGGTGATTAAGAGGCGTTGAAGGTGGCGAAAAGGAGAGGGCGAGAAAGAAAGAACGCATTATAACGACGTCATAGCTTGCGTGGGTTGATTTCGGTAGGTCAGAAGAGTAGGCTGGCTGGGCCATGCTTCCACTGGTTTTCCAAATGTCCGATGCCAAGCTCAGAGTAGACCATTAATAGGTCCTGCAGTGACAGGTAGCGATTCTTGGCCCCCTCACGAATGAGTCGAGGAAGATGGCAAGTAGTGATCCGGATTGAAAGAACTTGTCCGTAATTTTTTTTGACATCGGTTCTGAGAATACCTGTTTCAACGAAAAGGATGCATTAGAATATGACGAATATCATGGAAGGTCATTAAATAACATAAATAACATAGCTTGTTACGTACCAGACAATAGAGTACCCGGGCGAGAATCGGGGAAAGATAATCAGGAACATGGACAGAGATGGGCAACAGAGTGGAGGAGGAGCGAATTAAAAAGAAGTCTAGAGCATTGATGAATTACCTGGTGGTCACTGTCTTTCTTGGAGTATCCTCCCAGAACACATCAGAAAGGTCGGAGTTTTTTCTTCTCACTGACGGTGTCGAGCACGATGGAAATCTCGTCGTCATCGTCATCTATCAGTGAATCGAAACTGCCCAGAGGGTGAATCTTTTGCATCGACGTCGCGGAAGTCGTTGGCATTCTCGGCCTTAATGAGCTATACACAAAGTAACAGCTCGCTCATGTTTTCCTAGCGCCCTTGGCAGCAGAGTTCAATGTCAGAAGTATCATGGTAGTTAGTTACAACTACGCTTGGCATATACTCGTGGTCTTCAAAACGCCTCTTTTGTTAAACTGTACTCTAAGTTGGCGTAGATATGGCCAGAGGGAGGGAATGGCAAGGGGAAAATGGACGGGTCGGCAAAAAGGGTCCACAGTAGTCTCCTCGCCCAAAGAGATACTGCAGTCCAGGGTGGCTCTCCTACTCCCCACCAAGGGGTGGAAGAGACATGGTCAAGCAACACCCTGTGCACCTACCTTATGCATGCCCGGAACAACCAGGCGGCATGCACTGATGGCTGACTTGCCAAGAATTAATCAGATGACAAGCTGACGCACCCGGAACAACCAGGCGGTGCGTTTGGAAAGCCGGACCCAGGCGAGGTCCAGGCACACCCGGAACAACCAGGCGGTGCGCCTTGGAAAGTTAGCCTTGAGTGGGTCCTACAGTCCCGCAGCCATGGAGCCCACGGATCCCACAGAAAAAAAAACGGAGAGCAAGGAAAGCAGCGAAGGAAAACAAGTGACATTACCTGATGAAAGATGATTTGACGAGAGAAAGTAAAGACAATAATGGACGAGACGTTATACTGTCATACAAAAAGCCACCGACACTTCGGTGACGTAATTTTCTCTCATGGTATTAATAGCCTCTCTTCTCGAGAGTCGAGAAACACCTTCGTTATTCTCGAACTGCCAAAATGCTACCCTCTGGACCCCGACCAACACTGCAGAGCCAGACACCCAAGAATTACCAGCCCTCGGAGTATGTGAAGGGCCTCAAGAAAATAGAGGATGCTATCAATTGGCAGCTCCCGACGACGTACTTCGCCGAATCAGAACCTGACCAATGGCTTCCAGAGCTCTATTATGCTGCGGGGTACATCGACATCGGTGCCTTTTTGGAAGGCCTCTCGATCTTGAGCAAGAAGCGGAGCCTCAACTTGGGGCTCAGAGCCTTTTGCAGGGACCTCCTCACGCACTTGGTGTCGCAAGATGGACGTGCATTCCTCAGGTGCCTCGCAAATGTCAAGTCGATCACAATTCAGGAATCTGTTTTCCAGTCAGAAGTGATTCTGCAGGGCCTAAAGTTGCATAACCAGGTGAGCTTACTTCTCTCTTTGTCTGTTATACTTTAAATTGGCCGATATTACTGGCAATCAAGCCTGTTCATTGCTAGAATGCTGACAATCAAGTCTGTTCATTGCTAGAATACTGGACCCTCACTGTCGTCATCACCGTCGGCAGCAGCATCGTCAGCAGCAGCATCGTCGGCAGCAGCATCGTCGGCAGCAGCACCGTCGGCGGCAGCACCGTCAACAGTATCGACAGTGGATGATGACACTGTTACTGCTGTTGATATAGACAACAACGACGGATCCGAAAAGGTAGACGAGGGAGAGTACGAGGGAGAGTACGAGGGAGATTACGAGGGAGAGGACGAGGAAGTGGAATCATCCCGATCTAAAGCCTACAAAGACGCGCTTTGTCTGTTTAAAGGCTCGCCGTTGTTGCCATTTTTCAGACACATATTTCGGAAGGTATGGCTATGGTGCTTTGCTTTTTGCTTGCTGATGTTCGCTTATTCTCCTGTCTTCGTTAAAACCAACTCCTCACCTTTTTTGAAGCTGCACTTTGTTTTCCAGGCCCAAGGTTTCACGGATGAGGCACCACAAATGCCAACAGACATCCCTTCGACAAATTTGAAGAGGCTTGTTGCGTATGCTCACAGAGTGCTCTCTGGAAATGATGCACAGCTACATGATCTCAAGGATGTATAGTAAGTACGCGCTTGTTTAAGCTACAGGTGTGGTCAACTTCTCACTTGCTGACAAATGACGGCTTATCTATTTCCATTTGATTTCATTTAGTGTCGCCCTATCATGCATAGTCTCCACCACTGTGAACGATGCCTCCAACATATTCAGCTCCAGTCTGATTACGCGAATTGCGAGCCAAGTGACGCTGAAGGAGCTCGCCCTGCCGATTCTGGCAAAAGTTCTTTCGCCTCTGTAGGAGAGCTTTGCCAAAAACGACTATGATCTGAATTTCTTGCAACAAGAAGTGGAACTGCGCTTGGCTGAGCTTGTTCTGTGCGAGCGGGACGGAAGTTGGGTCACAAAGGAAGAGAAGGTGGATCTTGCGGTGTCGCGGCAAGTGTACCAGATCCTGCATTTTTTGTATGTCCAGTTTGCTTTTTGACTTATGATCTCTATCCTTGATTGTCATGTCTGTCTGCCTTATAATGCCCTCATTCTGACACTTCGTTCAATATTGTTCACCATTTTAGTTGCGTGGTGATTGGCTCTGGACAGTTCGAGAACAAGAACTCTGAGACGGAATGTGTTGCGTATTGGTCACACGTCTGGAGGATTCTATTCACCAAGACTTGCATCATTGTTAACACTGGTGAGATTGCATCAGTCGCGACAAGGGATGACATGCACATGAACGAGCTTCTCTTTGGCACAGTAACACAGTCAGGCGGCAGGAAAACCGACACTTTGGTGTTGGCAAAGGAGGTCTCGGGAGGCGAGGTCCACTACATTGAATGCTCAGTGAATGAGCACAAGCCTTTGCACGTGGGACAAGCTACTCTCAAGGAGCAATCTAGAAAGGTTGTGAGGATCAATCGTAGCATCCTTTCATGCACAGGCTCGCAGAAGACAGTACTGTTCATTGATGCACACGGGCTCCGCGGCAAGATCTATGGTATGCGTGCCATCGAGGACGTTTATGGTGTATCCGCAGCCCTGGGCAAGGTCTGTTTGCCCTCCAACAAGTTTGAGATGAGTGAGTTCCTGTCAGGTTCATCGCTTCCAACTCTGTTCCGATACAAGGTGAGTGTTTATGTTGTAATGTACCTTCTGCTTCTCTGTTCGTTAAGCCCTTCACTTTCTTATGGGTCCTTGCTCTGTTTATTTTTAGGCTCACATGGTAGAGTTCGGGGAGGATGTTTTGCTGAAGAGAGCCCGCAGCAGGGCGCATATCCCACCTAACTCGCCATCGCAGACACCAACCACGCCCAGTCTTTTCACGCCAACAAAAAAACGGGTAGGGTCTGCCAGCGTGTTCCCTCGAACTGCCCCCGTATCGCCTTCTCTTCGGCCAGCCTCTCGAAGGAGATTGAATTCCAGTGCTTGACAAAATAGGCCCAATGTGCAGAATTGACATTCTCATTCAGTCTTTTTTTCTCATAACGCCATTTGACTCCAAACTTGGTATGATTACTCTCATCGACTCTGTCTCTGCTGGCGATAAAGACTTTCCATTTCCTTGCTATGAGAGATTTCCATCACGAACGAACACGCAGTTGAAGGGTGGAAGTGAAAGAGCAAGTGTAATAAGAAGATAGTATGTTTTATGGATAATTGTGAGTTTCAGACTGAGGTTCTTTGAGAGCTATGATGAAGGTTTATATAAGACAAGCGAGTACAGCTCAAATAATCGATAAGAGGAAAAATATCATGACAACGACTTTGTCGTTGGAAAAGAGTAACAAAGAACAAGACAGAACAAGATGGAAGTGTCTTGTTCACCGCCACTCTCTCCCCCAAATGTGCAGGCGCTGGTGGTGTTTTTTCGAGTCCGGTGTCTGCAACGTCGTAAAGGCGTAGATCTTAAAACGAAAATCGGTGGCATAAGGCATGTATGCTACTGCCTGGGATCGGAGTGAATGGGAAAAGGGGTGACAGGAAAACAATGGTGAGGGAAATAGGAAACAGAACAGAACAGAGACGACAGGAAATGGGTACATTGTTGACTAAGGGATAGACGTGATCTTGAGACCGAGTAGACAAACCTTATTTTCATATGAATGTCCGGACTCATGTCCAGACATGACAATTCACTTCGTAGCCCGTTTGATTGCACAAAACTTCAGGCCAATTGGGTTCAGAGTCCTTCCAACTAGAACCTCCGCACTAAAACCATGCGTTTGACAGGCCAAATTTCGTCATTTTGATGATTCGAGTGGAAATGGAATGCTCGTTCATGGATGCTAATGACCCCTTGTTAATGACTCATTCATTTCTACATTCTGCCCACACTTGACCTGTCGGAGAACTGTACGTTGTCTTGGCACTTGGGAAGCATGTCATTGGCGTTGGTTTTCATGTTTTATTGTCTCATTTTCGCCTACGACTCCATTCTTTCTAGGAAAAGAGTAAATATAAAACAAATATGGTATTTATTGTCCTCACTACCCTTTGTCCCTATCCTTCCTTAACCCTCGGTCGTTGCTGCTGCCTTATCGCTCTGAGCGTTGAGGAGTTCTCTCACAGCATTGATGCTCATGCCTGTGTAATCCTTGCAAGCAAGGATCGAGTCAATGGTTTTTTCTTCGCTTGCCGCCTTTTTTCTAATGAGCTCTATGAGCTCTGCCCTGCGCCTGTACTGTTTCTTCTGACTCTCCCCCCAAGCCTTGTACGAATCAGCATATGCACGAGCAAGAGGCCCATGGTACTCATCCCAAGCGTTCCTGAGCGTCCATGCACCTTTGTCTGCGTGCATTATATAATCGAATGGCGCTTGTTATGCCTGTTGTTGCTGTTGTTGATATGAAGCATGATGGTGAAGAGGTTGAGGATGGAAATGGGGATGTTGAGGATGTTGAAGATACTGAGGATGTTGAGGATGCTGAGGATGTTGAGAAGGTTGAGGATAGAAGCCAGGGTGCTGAGAAGGTTGAGGATAGAAGCCAGGGTGCTGAGAAGGTTGAGGATAGAAGTCAGGGTGCTGAGAAGACGGGTGATGGAAGCGAGGTTGCTGAGGATGCTGGATAAGCATCTGTTGCGCATCTCCTTGAATTCCTTAACCAATTGGGCGTACTGTGACATTTGTACCCCCATTGCTTGTGTATGTCGCTCATGTTGCTGTTGAAGTTGCTGCTGGTACTTGGCTTCCATGGCAGCCAGAGTCCTGTTGAGAACGGTCTGTTGTGAGGCAGATCGGTTGATGGCCTCAATAATATCTGCGCTATCAACACGGATACCAGCAGCAATGGCGCCAGAGGTTTCCCGATATTGCTCAATAGCTTGAAGGAGCTCCTTTGAATAATCCAGGAACAGTTGGCTCTGGAAGATCTCAGGCAGCTTCTCAATCAAACTTTTCGAAAGGGTCCTGCCAGTTCCAGGTACAGGCTGCAGGCAAAGAACGGCGTCTTGGATGATGACCCGCCGCATGCGCACCATAAGCTTCAGGAATGCAACCTTGTCTGTGTGCGCACTTTGCTCGAGTCCCGACTGTGCTGCTGGGATATCGGGTTTGGCCTCAAAGAAAACATCATCTTCACGGACTTTGTCTGGGTCGTACCCTGTCATCTCCTCCATGCAGTTCTTGTGCCAGGCCTCAACAACACTGTCATCATGTCCATCAAAAACTTGCTCGATCCAGCCAAACAGCATGGCTTGCAGCTCTGGAGGTGGTGGGACGAGGTCACGCTCAAAAATATAGGGCTCATCAGTGCCATTAAAGTGCGCCATAAAGTATGCACCTTTGATAGGGTTCTTGGGAGCATAGAAACTCATCATCTGGTTCATCACCCATCGCCCGAGATGTTAGATATCCTGGATGTCAAGTCCTAGCTTGAACGCTTCCTTGGTACCTGCATGGCGACCGGCGTGGGTGATCCTTACTGAGAACATGCTTTAGCTCTGCCTCGATTTGCGCGGCACTGTTGGTGACTCAGCTGAGGTCAGGATCAGGCACAGATGGGACATCACTGCCAACAAGGACCTTGATGTCCTTCCACTTGTCTACATCTGAGAAGTCGGGAGGGCTTTCCTTGTTAATCTAGTATGGAAAAAAAGAGGTGAAATAAAGTCAGTTAAACTTGGGTGCATTTCATAGCAAGTAGCCAGTAAACAAATATTTATCATACCATGAACCGCTCGAGCATGTAAAATGAGAATGCTCCCACAGTACAGCGACGAGAGTCCTTGTGGCGGTAGGTAGTGGCGTAGAGCATGGCGCCCTTCTTGTTTGTTTTGCCACGTCGTAGGCAGAACGTGAGTCCACAGGCCTACGTCGATCCATGGGCGTTCTTGTGGTTGAGCGTTGCAAAGACATCAGACACATTGAGGTTCCGGATGTCCTCATCTCTGAGGAGCATATGGTGCCGAGCCAGAATGCAGAGACGCTCACGGATGTGGGGGAACCGGGTGATGCACTTGTATTTGCGGATTTCTTTGGTTCGGTGTACAGGCTGTTGTTGCCAGGTGTACGTTGCCATACGTACCAGCTTGTTGCCTTATAAAAGAAGGGAGATATGTCAGGTTGCTGTGAAAAGGTAGGGCGTGCTTTCATGGTGTTTAGTTGTCATTACCGTCATATGTGTCGCGTGTGTCACAAGCTGTGTTCCTTGTTGTTCCAGTTGTAGCCTTGTCATAGACGAGACGAACGCCATAGGCGTTGATGGCATCATCCAAAGGTCCATTGGTACGTGGGTTAGGCGCAGGATTTGGGCACAAGGTGGTCCTTTGGTTTTGAAGCTTCCAGAGATAAATACAAGCTTTGCGGTAGTTATCAACAGTTCCCAGAGACAAAGGTACCATGATCGCAATACGACCATGTTTATCAGGTACAAGACCAGAAAATACTAGTAATAATTGAAAGGTCAAACAGATATCAGCGTCATTATCTCCCTAATAACATCAATTGAGACCGAAAATTACATATACCTTTCATCCTGTCTGCCTCAGTCTCGATTATGAGGGGCTCTGCAGGAGCTTCTGTTCCAGTGGCATGCTCCAGCCCCTATTGGTCTCCAGAATCAAAGTCCTCACCTTCCAGAACAAGGCTAGCCTCATCCTCGCCTTCCACCATTGCATGCAGTGCTTGTAGTTCTTCTTGGGCAGTGAGGTGATGGGGGCGAGTCGCCAGCTGTTCGGTATGAGCTCGTTGAGGGCGATATAGTTTTCCGCAGTTGGGATGTTTTCCTGAATCTGGATATCGATATGGGCCTCTAGTCGTCCCTTGTCCTTCAATACTTTGAGCTATAGTGAAAAAGTTAAAAAGCATTAATAGCTATATATTTTGTTGTAATGAACTTCAGCACATTCTTGTTAATAGTACTTGTGTCCTTACCTGATCGTACAAAAAGTGGGAGCCATTTTTATACATCTCCTTCAGTTCCATCCAGTCACGGACCGCACAAGGGAGCTCACCGTGAACAGCATTTTTCGTTGAGCTCGTTTCGATTTCTACAAATGTCGTAGAGTTGAAGCCCTACCAGGATGTTGATGAAGGTGTTGACGGCTTTTCCGATTTTCGAGTTCATGTTTGGAAGGTTCCTTGAGTATAGGTAGGTCAGGAAAGACTGAAGGAATTGGGTGTGTTTGCTACCCTTCCCTTCTGTATTCAAGTCGTCTGAATCCTCCTGACTGTCGTTGACGTCGTCGTCACCACACTTGCTGACTTTGGGCTCAACCCTCTCACACAGATAATCCAGAGTGTCTCACTCGTCCATCGTCACCACATCCCGCCGTGCCTCCAACCGCTCCGACTCCGACATGGTCTTGCCTGCTTTCCTCAGTTCCTGTCGCTCAGACTCCTCCGCTGCTTTTATACGAGTCCGCAATTTCTCCAGAATCCCACCAATGGGACCTTGAGCTTTTCTCTTGATATTCACTGATCACCTCGAGTTGTAGATCAGGCCGATCCGTCAAGACTCTATCGATGTTGGTCTTCAAAGTACGACCTCCAGCGATGATATGGGATGGTGCAAACCGAGAGACCCCACGAGCCTTTGCTTGCCCTTCTCCGTGTACGAGCTCGATCCTTCATTGGATGGTGACTTTTCCCGAGTCTTCTTAGCCTTCGCATCCTTCTTTTGCTGTCCTTCCTGGTGCTGCTGGTAGAAGTGCCATCGGGGGACTCGGGAGCCTTCTTGGGCGGTTTCCAAGCCAATTGCTTGGCCATGGGTGGGGGCTCATGAGCCACGTTCCCTCGTCGCTCCTTGAAGGAAAATCGCTGACGATGTCGAGGTATCCGTGTTCTGGTTAATGGTGGATGGCTATGATCTTGCGGATCAGGAGAAGTCGAACCAGTAGGCTTCAAACTAGCAGCGGGTGGCCTCTAAGGAAAGGATTCAGAGTCCTTGGAAACCTGTGCTGGAGATTCGATAGTCCGATACCGATTAAAAGAGCTCGGAACTCGCAATCGTGCGCTAGTATCGTTGGAGGACCTATCAATTTTTTAAAAAAATACAAACATGATGAGATATAGATCTGAGGGCTCAACGACCCAGAGTTTCTTTCTCACCTCTTCTGTTTCCAGCACACAGGATCGCACTCGACCGGTCGCTGCAAGCTCGTACGAGAGGTCCAGGAACAGGAAGGAAGGTCCAATACGATGCCGCCATATGGTCCCTCCCAACCGTAACGACCACCATAGAAACTTCACTGCTGAAGTGTTCGACAAGATGTTCACAGGTATTTACAAGAGTCTGCAATATATGAGTCTGGGGAAGTGTCGTATCCACCTCGATGTAGCGTTGTATCACTTTCACAAGGCCAGTTCCCAGCCTGCCGGCAACAGGAGGCCAGACCTCGTTAGGTGGATCTAAAGGGAGGATGTCATTGACTGGTTGGCCAAGGGTTCGGCAGAGATGGCTGAAACGGAAGAATTTAGACCCTTCACCGACCTCTACCTCAGTCGTTCTCAAGGTTGTCGCCAAAAGGTGTGCCAATCGATCGATCGAAGTGGGTGATATACGACATCGCCAAGAAGAATGGACACCCCCACCACTGAAAGCTTCAGCCAATTGAGAAGATCTGGGCCGTTGTCAAGAACATAGTCGTGGCGAGTTCAACAGGGCGACACAAGGCCCCATCACTCAAGCGCACCCTGGTAAGGCATTTCTTTAAAATTCCCCAGAATGTGTTTCTCTCTGTTTGGCGCAAAAGTATCCTCATTGGTATCGAATGCAAAACAATGAGCCGAAGGTCGATGGAGCAGATGGTCAAGAACAGGAATATGGAGATATCATCGATAACGACAATGAAGACGAAGGAGAGGGGGAGGAAGCGAAGGAGAGAAGCAGAGGTGGTGGCAGCAACTGTCGCAGATGACAATGAGGAAGAGGAGACCCCAGTATTCGATACAGAGAATGCTCTTGCAGGTCTGTCGGAGCATACGTGGCTGTTGTCGTTGGATGTGATGATGAATCGCAATGTTTATCGCCTTGCTATTTCTCACTTACGACATAGGAGTGATGAGTCCATCTTGGAGGCGGAGGAGGAGGAAGGAGAGCCACTCATTGACAACAGACGCAGACGTACTTATCAACCTCAACTTTCATTCAGCTCAATATTCCTTTACGACAGCAGCAGCAGGCAAAGGCATCCCTCCTTCACATCATGAGCTCGCATACTGAATAAAAAATCTTAAAGAGAATTCAATTCATTGTATTTAGTAGTCATCGAACTGTAAGGGTTCGACACCCACACTCATTGAATCTGGGAGCCATTGTGATTTCTGACCCACCCCTCTTTCGGTTATCTGAGCGGCTCTTGTTCCATCATTTGTCACTCGTGACACTCAAGGACTGTCGTCCAACAACACCATGGATCTGGCCATGCCTGCTTGTGAGAGCATGGCTGCTTTGCAGCGTTGGTCCGTCTAGTGCTTGCTGTTTGCTTTGACTGGTATTTTGGTGGAGAGGTGCTCACATCCTTGCACAAAGATTGGTACTTGACGCCACCAATTTTTTTTCTAGTACTGCCTCCGATCAATTTGCTTCAGTGCGAGAGAAAAAGGACAGGCCAAGTACAGCATGACCGTTCAATTGCGTCCAATCTACGAGTAGCTTACTCACCCAGCGACGACGTCAGGATACTTGTAGGCTGTTCATAAAGAATTGGAGCAGCTGCGTATCCGACAAAACAATGTCAAATGCCGTGACAATGGCGGTCGGGAACGTATTATCTCTGGGTGGTAGTTGATAGCATCTGAATTGATAGTGAGGTATTTCGTCGTGATATCCTGCACGTAAGAACGTAAGAAGAGGGACGTGCCCACGGTCTCTTGTGGTAATGTGAACCATTCACAATTTGCAGGGCATAGATATAATTGATGATGTAGACCTATGTAAAGTAGCCACACATACCAAGGTATATCCAAAGGACCAATTGAAAGCGATCCCTTCCCCTTGCCTTGCGTTGCCCTTCTCTAAATCTGGCTTTTTTTTTTCACAGGTCTACCACACCCCTCACCCTATATCCCCTCTCCTCATCCAACCACAACGACAGGCAGACAAGAGAAAGAGAAGCCCTTCTTTTTAACTCTCTTTCTCTCTCTTTTTTGTTTCCATCACTCGCCCCACACCACATCACACACCTTTTTCTTTTTCTTCATTCATTCCTCTTTCTTGCTTGTACACGCGTCCAAGCAGACCCTTCTTGTTCTCGTTTAGCTGCAAGACACAAAAACACACTCACTTTCCTTTTATCCTTTTTCTTTTTGTTTTCCCCCATTGCGCGTCCGCACCACCCTTTCTTACAAAAAAGAAGAAAACACCCCTGACCGACCTCCTTATAGGACCCACTTCAGAGTGAGCGACACACGCAACCACCAACAGCAATGTCCTCCAGCACCTCCAGTACCGCCGTAGCCAGCGGAAACAACGCCGACACCTCAAAGCCGGCCCCGGGTCCCTGGCGCCCAGCCTCGCTTGCAGGTCGAAACTCGCCTGCTCCGAGCAACAACAATAACAGTCCATTATCCACAAGGGATCACCTTTCCACAACAGACTCATCCCCGTCTTCTCACACTTCCACAACCAGCAGTGGAATGACTCCTCTTCGGCCAGCAGGAGGATTGACAGGAGGAGATAGGCCAAGACTGCTGCAGACATCATCTTCTTCGTCCTCTGCATACCAGTCCTCAAGCTCATCCACCGGTGCATGGGTTGCGTCATCAAGAAGGGCACCCTCAACAGGACAAGGACAAGGACAAGGACAAGGACAAGACCGTACTTATAGCGACCAGTCGCCCTCCGTCTCCTCTTCATCGCCTATTCTCGGGTCCTCTACCACGTTCGCACGACAAGGCTCCATGACAATGAACTCTACCAATTCTCTCTCAGCATCATCCTCAGGACTGGGCAACAACAACAGCACTGCCTCTGGAGCACAATTGAGTGTAACTTCTGGAAACACAGCTGGTGGTATTGGTGGGAATGGACTCAACAACAGTGGCACAGAACCAGTGTCGTCGTCGACTTCCGTGGCCAAGCAGCCCCTGAATATGGAGGCACTTGCCGCAAAGTTTGCCGACTCGAAGGAAGCAAAGGAAAAGTTCGCGGCTCTGCAACTCTCGCCTGCCCTTGTCCCCGCCGGAACCCCCGACAAGGAGCGCCGCAACCCCATGAACAACGCCTTTGCCTTTGCCCCACCCTCGTCCACCAGTGGAAATCCTCATGTGGCTCACATCAAGGTTCAACGGACTGCTAGTCTCACCCACTCTTCTCAATCCAACCTGGTGCCCAAAGGCAAGTTTCTACAACGGCGGTTACTTTTAGTATTTTTTGGTGGGCGCGCTGAATGGTGCGATGGCTCGAGCCTATTATCATTCCACGATATTTTGTCAACTTGCCAATTGGATTCTAGAAGTTGCCCACAAATTGCATAGCTATTTCCCTTGACTTGATAACCTTCGTCGACACCATTTCGACATGCAAAAAGAAGACGTAGATATTCTAGTGGACCAATGCACCTAACCATCGGACATTTTTCATTTCATTCTACTCTCCTCCTCTTTGGATGTGCTGAATGCGCCTAATATCAACATAGGACCAAGCAATAAGCTGCAACCAGGCCTTCATGCACAATCCACTGATATGCGCCGGACTGCGAGCCACAATAACGCATTCTCATCAGGATTGGGAGTGCCAGTCCCAGTAGGCGCATCCACTGGACACATCAACGCGTCAAACCACAACGGGGCTTCTCACACCGACGGACTAAATGGACCTAGTCAGACAGCGCCATCAAATGGTCTGTCATATCCTGTCCTGGCACCCTTCTCGCTTGGCCAGATGACTCGCTCGACCAGTTTGCGTCGTTCCTCTCTGAACCCACAAGACGCGAGCACATCACATCATCAAGACCATGCATCACCATCACAGACATCCGCAATTTCGCCGTCTATGGCTGATAAGTACCCACTCCAACATCCATGGTACGTTCGGCTGTAATATCGGACAAAGTGTGCTCAAGCTTCAACATTTTATCATTTCGTCCGCAAGCGTTAACAAAACATCTTCGGCAATGCCATTTGTGACTAATAGGACATTGTACTATGATACTGCTGCTGGCTACAACCGAGGAGGCTCTTCCCTGCACAATTACGAAATCGGACTTCGCGACCAGGGCACTTTCACTACGGTAAAAAAGCATACTTTGTCTAGAAACTGAAAGGTGTCACTAATGCCTGATGTTTTCACTTGCTAATACCAATTCACATCTCTATGATGTATGATCAACAGGTAGAGCAATTTGCCAGATACTTCAACTGGATCAAGAAGCCGCACAAGATCGAGAACAGTGCCAACTATCACCTTTTTAAGGACGGGATCAAGCCCATGTGGGAAGATCCTGCTAACGCTAGTGTAAGGTCCTTTGTTCATCTAGTGTGAGGATTGCCCTTTTATTTACTAATTGTGCACGCATATTTTGACTAACCAGACCAACCAACGTACGACTGTTATATCAATCAATAGGGCGGTCGATGGACTGTGACGCTGTTGACAAAGAACCCTGAGCTATTGGATCGCTGTTGGATGGAACTTGCTTATGCATTGGTTGGAGAGCAGTTGGACCTTGGCGACGATATTTGTGGCGCTGGTAAGGACGTTATTCAGGACAACGTGTTGTCGTTTCTAACAGATTTGGTCATTACCACGTGGAGATTAATAGAGCGCGCATCAATGTCTTTCCCGCAATAGTTTTGTCACGTAGAACAAAGGCGGATCGTTTAGCCGTCTGGGTTAGGGACAAGGACAATGTGGAAGCTATTAATGGAATTGGGTATGTCCTGGTTTAAAGCTGGCTTCGTTATCCGGAACACATATACTGGAACAAACTGTCTCACACACAGACTCTCTCTCTCTTTCTTTCTCTCTCTTTCTGTCTTTCTCTCTCTAACCGCCAACTCCTCTTTACTCATGGTGGCAATAGCAAACGCTTGATCAAGTTCCTCGACCTCGCAGAGGAGAAGATCTCCTTGGAGTTCCAGGTATGCTCCAGTTCAAGTTCGTTTAGTTTGTGTGAGGATACCCACCTGTTATCACAGTCGTTCTAACTAAAGCATTTCAACTCTATTGTGCACAGATTACAGGGGACGCCAAGCCTTCTGGACTTTTGAAGAGCTATGTTACACTGGAGACTATCAAGAAAGAGCTAGCACGGGAAGCACAACCTTTGTCAACGCTCACCCCTACTGGGGACGAAACGATACCAAGCCTAACGATCGATTCTGCGTCAGTTACACCAGCATCTGCCACGGAGGTATCACCCGCTACCCCTGGACCTAGCCAAGGATCGTCCACCCAGGAGAAAGAGAGCGGAGATGAATCATCAGATGCCGTCGAAGCCTCCGGTCTGTTGATCTCTGTTGACGGAAAGGGTGTGTTTGCGGCCTAAGTCGAGTTGGACGCTGCTGAAGAGAAAGAGACTGCTGTTTTATTAAGGAAGGGAAACTAAAGATCCTCAACGGGACCACATCTCACAGAGACGATGAAGGGAGCGAACAAGAATGGTGGACTTGGACCGGATTGGCGGTTCAGCGTCGATAACGACAACAACAACAACAGCAACAACAAATGCGCTTGGGCGATCTACTAGAGATACGACAAGTGTCATACAGAATTGGTTTTCATTTCAGACATTTTCATTGTCTTATGTACATACAGCGGAAATAAAGGGAGAGAGAAAAAGAATATGTGTTTACTATTGAAGACCGTTATGAGGCGCGCGCACTGCACATTAAATGAAGGTTGGTTTTCTATTGAAAGCTATTCGGAGTCAGTTAGGGATCGTCCGTGTATGATAAAATGACTTGTAGGCACTGGGACCTGAATATGCCACGAGAAAGGGATTTAGTGCTCCATGTAGGACTCGACGGTGACGGAGATGTGGGTGTCGGTGGGGGCGACCTGCTTTTCGGTGCTGGTGCCGTTCATCTGGTGAGTGTTCTGGTTGGTGATACCACGGCTGGCCTTCTCGGTCGCAGTACCGTGACGAGCACCGCGCGAGGTGACCCAGTGGACTGTGCAGGCATTCAAGGTCACATCCAGTGTGCACGAGAGAAGGCAGAGGACAGAGTCCTCGTAACCACGGTAGTAGACGAGGGTGAAGACGTTGCCGGAACTGAGGATAAGGGCAATCACGGAACCGATAAGAGTACGACGGGCGACTTGACGGAGCTTACCCTTGCTGGGGCCCTGGAGGACGGAGGTGGTGCTCATGAGAGGGCGGATGAAGAGGACGGTCAACCAGCAGGAGATGAAGATGTCGTAAAGAATTAGGACAATCGAGGCGAGGGGCTTGAGACCAATGAAGCACTGGTCGTTCTCGTCCAGGACAGCGACGTGGTTCAAGATCATGAGGACCAGGATGATGGTGTAGGGGGTCAACAGCAAGATGTTGAAGCGATACAGCTAAAATAGAACGTACAGAGGCGGGGGGGTTAATTTCCAGCTCAAAAGGAAGCGTCAAGTACAGGTATATATTAATGAAAGCATCGTACCATGGTATCTTTGCGAGTAGTGGTGACGGAACTGACGACGTAGACCTTCTCAATGAGGAAGAGGTAGATGATAATCTTGGAGGCGGCGTACAAGGACAGACAGACAAAGATGGAGAGGGTGCAGGATATGATGTTGCCGGCGTTGGTCGATGTCAACACGCCAGCCATGGTTGTGAAGAGCCAAGAGACGACATAGAGCGAGATGACGAGACCTCGAGCATAGTTGATGTTGGCCAAGGAGGTACCTGAGGTCTTACGACCAAAGAGAACTGACATCAACGAGATCGACAGCAACGACACCAGCAACGAGATGATGGCTATTGGAGATTGTTACGGAGAAGGAAGGAAGAACCATGGGTTAGTTGAGAGCAAAAGGTTGGTCATCTTGCTTACGAGGATTCATTGAGTAGGTGAGAAATCATAGCATGGTCATCGTTTGATGGGAAAAGGCCAATTGGCTAATAGGACCTACAAGGGGCATCTGGTTGTCCAGGCATGATGGATGGATGGATTTGTTCAAAGGAAAAGTAGAGGAGGTAAAGTGAGCTTTAAGTGTTTGGGGATTAGGGAAGAAGAATGGCAGAGGAAGTTGTATGAGGAGGAAGGAGGGAAGGCAAAGAAGAAGAGGAGAGAGGAGTGGAAACGTGAATAGATCGATAAGAACGCGTTGAAAGGGATCCAGAGGGAAAGAGGGAAGGTAGGGACGAGCAAGCTGCTGATGCAAGAAGTAACGAACAAAAAAAAGAGGCGGGGATGAACCTCCTTTATATACGCTCTGTAGAAGCAATCCAGACAGAGCAGGACGAAATGACCCCAACAAGCAAAGCAAACGAAGAAAACCAAAGGGGTGTCAAGACGGACCAAGGGTGGTCCCTGGAGACAGAAGCGAAGGTGTACAAAGAAAAAAAAGTGTGGTATTTCGTCAACTTAAAGCAATGCAGACATACATACTCCTTGACCCGCGTTTGGATGATGAACGCTCTCTGGGGCAGCGGCTCCGTTCTCTCGTTCTCTCCACTTTTGGCTTTGAACACACTCTGCTGGCCCCCTCCTTCCTTCCTTCCCGCCGACCCTCTGTTCCTCTGTCTTAGACCTTTCATTGCTATCATTCTTTCTATTGTTCTTTTTGGTATTCTTTGCGGTATTGAGGGGACAACGATCGCATGTCCGTAAAAGGGGAACGAAAGGAAGGGAACGAGTGAGAGTTGAGGCTTCATTGCGCTTCTTGTTCTCTTTGAAAAAAAACAACGAAAAACAACGGATTCAACACTTCAAGGGCAAGCTAAGCTAGTCTTTTCGGTTCTTTTTTTTTGGTTTGCGTTTTGCTCAAGAGACACGAGATTATGCACGTCCATAAATTGTAGGAACACGGGCGATGTGTGATGTTCGTGCGGATTGTTAAAAGGGGAGGAGGATATGGAAAAGTATGGTATGAGGATGAGGGAGGAAGGATGGGAGGATGGGCCGGATTTTTTATTGCAAGGGGGTCTTGGAACCCATCATGCGCCACGGCTTTGTGAGAGGATGAGGGGGTTAAAGATGATGAGGAGGAGTAAGAAAGAAAAAAAACTGTCGAATTGAGTAGAACCAAGGGGGGTTCTTTTGTCGAACGGAGGAAGGACGAATTAAAAAGTGAAAAAGAATAGGCTACAGACAAAGGAATTGAAGGAGGGAGAGAGGGCGAGATGGAGGCAACAGAAAAAGAGAGAGGGGGGGGAAGAGGGGACAGGGAGAGAGGGAGAGCGTTAGACAGATTGCGGATTGAAAAAGGAGCGATTGATGTAAAAGTTAAACTGAGGGAACAAAAAAACAACGGCTAGAGCAAACAACAGAGAAAAAAAAAAAGGAATAAGGCGGGGTCAAAACTGGATACGCTTCTTTCTCCTTTGTCTTGCTGTTCTATCTGCTCTGTAAGTGTCTGGTTCCATTCACTAGCTCTATTCAAGGAGAAGAAAGGGGGTCATTGCCTCCCTCTCTTGTCTCTTCTCTTCCCTTTCTCCTCTTGTCCGGACAAAATTGCATTTTATTGCAAGGGGGTTTGGAATATTTCAGATGGATGGCAAGCCTGTCCAACTGCCTCCTAATATGCCCCATTGCCCCTCATTTTTTTCCATGTCCATGTACATGTACTTACAGTGCTTACTTTGTTTTTCGTAATATGAACCATGACTTACATGATGGACCAGCCCCTTGTTAACCATTCTGTCGTGAGCGAAGACAAGCAGAAAATACAACACCACCACTACAAAAGTATCTATCAGCGGCTGCGATCAAACTTTTGAGGAGCTTGCAAAATACTTCCTTCTTTCATCTGCATGCCTGTCCGTCTGCCGCTGCCGTTGCTGCTACCTGGCATCCGAAGAAATCAAGGAGGAGGAGGAAAAAACAGGGAAACTCAAAGATAACAAGACGGGGTCGATCCATTTTACAAATAGTAGCAACAACAAACGACATCAACCAGATTGCATACAATACTTGAGATCGTTTTCACTCTTTTTTGTTGTTGGCGGTATATAGGTAGGGATGCATTTGCTGTTTAAAAGTGAGGGTAAGAAAAGCAAGGATACTTACGCGATCCCAAAGAAAGGATGGCGCGATACAATTGACTTGAGAGTGATGTATTTTACTGTACGCAATGTCTAGCAAGTTGAAGCATCCATCCATGTCTTCCAGCCTGCCTACTTGTGGTGCCTTGCGTTGCCTTGCCTTACCTTGCATTGGGTGTTTTGAAATGCCCAACTTTTTGTCAAAATGTATTGAATCTAGAGGTCCAGGTAAGGAAAGAGAGTAAAAAAACAACAAACAAGCAAGGTATGGTAAGGCGAAGATGAAAGGTAAGGTAAGGTTAGGTGGATGACGGATAGCGATCTCTGCGTTGCATTAGTGAGTGACGGATATTCGAAATGAGGATGGGGTCATTCCGGGGTTCCTTTTGAATACAAGATGGTCAAGGGCTAAGGCATGGGTATATCTTCATGCCATTGTATCAAGGGGCTCTCATGCCACGAATAAAGCTAAGGAGGCTTTCTGTTCCAGTGCATAGGCGACTCATGCCAGCTCTAAGGCTTGCCAATGAGCTTCCGCCTCAATCTAGAAGAAAAGTGGCACCACCGATGAATACGACCGGGGCTCAATTGGGAATTGACGCAATATCGTAAAATGAACACGTCCACACCCCCTATCCCAACCGCATGCGATACATCAACGATGAGCACAATCTTGGCGGGATGCGCTTTTTTTTGGCGATTGAATTGTATCAAAGGGCTGATTCCAGCAGGGCATCGTCGGTAACTAGTATGTGTTGGTCTGCATCGTATGCACGGGTGTCGAGTGGAAGGGCCATAAGGCCCAGTTAGTTGCAAGGTAGTGCAGTTGAATGCGGCCAGGAGCTAATAATAGCCCTCAATATAGCAACGGATAGCAGATCGATGTATGTATCCCGATCCTGACTTGTTGACGCTCGCGAGATATCAAATGTGAAGACGGATGGGTTCCAAGTTGGCGGCAAGTCGCCTTCGCCACTCAGTCAGGTGATAAAAATACGAAGAGGAACTCTTTATGCTTTGCAACCTTGCCCGTGTGGACGCGTCGGTGGATGGTGCGAATGGGAGCGCGCGTTATTTTTTGTGTTGTCCTTTGGGGAAAACTTGTCGATGACGCGTTGGAACTGAGGCGTGCTTTTCTGCAGTACAGCCAAGGCGTGTTGTTCGTGGACATATCTTTCTCAATGTTTCGTTTATGTGATCCAAGCGCGCAGCGAGCCCATACGTCATTTTTCGAGCATTGAAACTCACACGAACCTTAAGTTTGTGCCTTTCCTATCGTCAATTCACTTGTTCTTGTCATTGGTTTTGAGGTTGGGTTGACAAGGCGAACGTGCGTATCTGAGTATGTCAGTGCTGTGAGTGTATTCCCGTAAATGCTCAGTGCTGTACCCCAACAACCACAATTGTCTACACCCTTTCAGCAGCCAATTGAGAAGCAGATACACCATTGCTTGGCTACCAATGCCATCATCACCCATTCCATCCACCTCGTTCAGCCCCACCCCTGTCTTTTCTGTCTTCCGTCGACCATTGGCTCAATGGTTCATCGTTCATCATGTATATGTTTCTCAGCCCGTCGTCTGCGTTCTTTTCCTCTTCTTTATTATTTATTTCCTTCCGCTGCTTTCCTTCATATCACACCACACCCCTTTTCTTCTTCGTCGTTTTCCTTCCTCTCTTTCTCTCTCTCTCTCTCTCTCTCTCTCTCTCTCTCCGCCTTGTCCTCCTTTCCTCCCTCCTCCCCCTTCCTCCTTTTCACTTTTCATTCGTTCATTGCACAGATCGCACCCTTCACAACATCATTCTTCCGTCATAGCGATCTTGAACTCTTTGTTATTCCTTTGTCAATTGATTTCGTCGTTCTACATTACTCAACCTCCCTTCTGCGATGACCTCCGCCGACCCCATCAACGTCTACCGTATTGAGCTTGACGACGATGGCTCACCCGCAGAGAACGCCACGGTAAGAATTACATGTCGTTCTTCGACCCTGACTTTTCTTTCCCGTTGCTCACTGCTCTCTTTTCCTATCCTTGATAAATAATAGTACAACCGCCTGCCTCCACCAGATGCCCCCTACGTACTGAGGTTCAAGGTCATCGCTGGATCGTTGGCATCAAACCAAGGTGTCGTCTGGACTAACTATCCACCAAAAGGGTATGAAAGGATACTATTTCAATTGAGGACATCGTCTTTCGTTGATCACCGCGTGTATTTTTCCCACGACCATTGTGTGAACAGGACAAAAAGAAGAGGATGACGTCTTGAATATGAATACTCACTTACCCACTCACTCCTTCTTGTTCAAATGGCGAATACAATAGAAAGCAGTTCAACCGCAACGAGTTTTATCAACATGGGTAAGCAGGAGTATTACCGAACACACAATGAATAGATGAGTGAAAAAGGATCCGGATCGAGCGACTGAAACGCGCCATCGGAAGGACAAGAATGAACTACAGCATCAATATTAAGAAAAGGAAGGGTGTGCCATATTGTGAAGAATGAAAAGGAGACAAAAGTCAGTCGGTCAGTCAGTAAGGTCCAATACAAGAAAAGAGTGGTATGCCAGGACATGAAGAATGAACAGGAAGGGAGGGTGTGCCAGATTGAAGGAGTGAAAGACTGGGAAACAAAAGCCAGTTCAAGTCAGTTCACTGAATACCACATCTTATCTCCCTTTCCTCCCTCTCTTTTGTTATCTCTCAAACCTTCCTTCGTTCAGTCTGACCGGGATTGAGCCCGAATGCGACTTGTTGATTACTGGATCAGGAGCATTCGAGTACTACGTCGAGCACTCACCCTTCGACCAGGGTGGTACCCTCTACTGGAGCCGCTCAGAGACCGGCTACTTTGTCGTCGACCCCCAATTGACCCTGACATCCACAGAGACCTCAGGAGTGAAGGGCAAGCCTGCAACCTCGCTCCCTCTCGAGGGACTTGTGATCGAGTCCGTTGTCCCCAAGTGGATGGGCAAGCTGTCGGAGTGGACACCTCATCTGGAGACCATCTCAAAGTCGGGTTACAACATGATTCACTTTGTCCCCCTCCAGTACCGAGGCATCTCCAACTCGCCCTACTCGATCTTTGACCAACTCAAGTTCGACCCGGGCTTCTTCGAGGACAAGGATCTGAAAAAGTCCGAGGACGAGCAGCGGGCGATCGTCAAGGCAAAGTTGGCGGAGGTCGAAACAAAGTATGGGGCACTCTCCCTGACCGACATTGTCTGGAACCACACTGCCTGCAACTCCACCTGGCTCTGGGACCACCCCGAAGGAGGTAACTTTGCCACCGATTTTATTCGATGAGAATTGATAGAGCATTGCTACGGTACCAGGATGTAATATTGACAACCTGTGTATCTTTTATCTTACAAAGGCTACAATTTGCACAACTCGCCTCATCTTATCCCTGCGTTTGAACTGGACAGTGCTCTTTTGGCGTTCTCGGCCAAGGTTGCAGACCCCTCGACCCCGTTCTCGACCGATATCAAGTCGGAGCCTGAACTCAAGGCGATCATGACAGCCCTTCGAGAGACCGTCTTCAAAGACATCAAGCTGTGGGAGTTTTATGTGGTCGATGTCCTCACCTCCTTGGAAGAGTTCAAGGCCGAGATCGCAGCCAAAAAGCCCTACGGTCACGACCTCTTCAACCACGATACACTCACCAAACTAACCTTGAAGGAAAAGGCGGACACCTTGAGCGAGGCTGCTCTGTCAGGAGCAGGCGAGCACGGCGACCGTCACCACAAAAAGATCCTCCCCAATGTGGCAGTTGCATACATGTCTGCTCTCCTTAATATTGACTTTACCAAGTCTGGAGCAACCGAGACTGTCTACGACGAGTACAAAAAGATCATGAATGAGGTCAATCTGGAGTACTACAAGGCCTACGATAGTGATGTTGAAACCATCATCACTAATATCGAGAATCGTGTCAAGTACATGCGTCTCGACGAGCATGGACCCAGACTTGGACCCATCACTGAGGAGTAAGTGTCAGATTTTATCGTCCATTGTGACACAGGTAATGGTTCCGAAGAGAACTCAATTGACAATCACCTTCGTTTCATCTTTTGCGCTCTCATAGAAACCCGTTGGTAGAGACATACTTTACCAGGCTCCCGGAAAACGAGCGCACTGCTGTCCACCCACGGGGATCACTGGCGCTTGCCAACAACGGATGGATCTGGAACGCCGACCCTCTTCAGGACTTTGCTGGCAAGGACAGCCATGCCTACCTTCGCCGTGAAGTCATCATCTGGGGCGACTGCGTTAAGCTGCGATATGGAAAAGGACCCGTAAGTCATCTGTCGTCCTGTATGTGTATGTTTTTTTACGCACTTGGGGCTAGCAGAATGCCATACTCACCGTTTGCCTTTTCTCTCTGCTGTTGTAGGAGGATGTGCCATGGCTGTGGGACCGTATGAAGGAGTACACGATCCAATCTGCGCGCCTGTTCCATGGATTCAGAATTGACAATTGCCACTCGACACCGATCCATCTTGCCCAGTATTTGCTAGATGCAGCCCGTACTGTTCGTCCCAACCTCTATGTTGTTGCAGAGCTGTTTACTGGATCAGAGGCCATGGATATTCGCTTTGTGAGTCGCTTGGGCATCAACTCGTTGATTCGTGAGGCTATGCAGGCATGGGAGCCCCGCGAGCTGAGCCGCCTCATCCACCGCCACGGCATCAGGCCAGTCGGTAAGTTCTTCATTATGAATCGTTTGCAGTGCGCGATCGCTTTCTATTATTTTCCTATGACCTAGCTAAAACATCACACTTTGTGCATGGTAGGCTGCATGGACCGCAGTAGTTTGTGCGAGGACGTACCATGGACGGGACCTGATGGTAAGACTGTGCCCAGCAGAGTTACGCCTCTTGTTCCTTCGCACCCTCATGCTCTCTTCATGGACTGCACACACGACAACGAAACGCCTCACCAGAAGCGCCGTGCTGAGGATACCCTCTCCAATGCAGGTCTTGTGTGCATGACGTCTTGCGCTATTGGCTCTGTCAAGGGCTACGATGAGTTGTACCCTACTCTGCTGAACTTGGTGACAGAGAAGCGTCAATATGCGACCTACAAAGACCCCATGGCCGTCGGTATCACTAATATCAAGGCTCGCCTGAACAAACTTCACACCAAGTTGGCACTCGAGGGTTTCGAGGAGGCCCATGTGCATCACGAAAACGAGGTAGGTTTTGTGTTGACCAAGATTCATTCGCTTTTTGCGTACTTACTCCAAACGACATAGTCTAATGCCCTTAGTATTTATGTGTCAACTGTCTAGTATATCATTGTACACCGTCAGCAGACAAGCACGTTGAAGGGATACATCTTGATTGCCCACACATCATTCTACGACAACCCCAAACGAGGCGACACTATGCCAATCAAGCTTCGCGATACCACTGCCAAGGTCATCTTCTCTGTCGGTCTGGAAGTCACCTCCCGCACTCTCGAGAAGAACGAGACATTTTTGAAGGGTCTTCCTGGTAAGATTGTGGAGCTTGAATACCCCAAGATCTCATCCCAATCTGACAACCAAGGCGCCTTTACCCAGATTGATATTCCTGATCGATTCCCCGGAGGCAGTATTATTCTTTTGGAAACCTCTGTCGACAGCAAGGTGCCCACCAACATTGAGACCCTGGTCAAAACTGTCCCCGACAATGTCTTTGGCGAACTCGGATGGATGGAGCTCAACATTGTACTCTACCGTTGCGACGGCGAAGAGCAGGACCTTACTCGTAAGTGCTGAAATGTGATAATTATGCCTCTATTTATTATTTCTTCGTTACAATTACTGACAAATACCTCTTCACACTATTGTTTGCTTCTGTTAGCTGGTAACGGAGTGTACAACATCCCTAATCATGGCCAGCTTGTCTACTGTGGACTGGAAGGGTTCATCTCTGTGCTCAAGCCTATCATCGAAACCAATGACCTTGGCCACCCATTCTGTGCTCACTTGCGCGATGGCCACTGGGCCTTGGACTACATCCGCGACCGCATCCAGAGGTTCATATTTTTATTGGCTATGTTCAGAGATTCCAAGCATCTGCACATACCCATGTCATCACTGCCACTATCATCGTCATACTAATATGCTATGTTGCACTTCCAAACATAGACATCTACACTTGTTCCCGGCGCTTAAGTCGTTGCTCGAGTGGTACACGGATCGCATGGGCGCCATCAAGAAGCTGCCCAACTACCTCGTGCCTCGCTACTTTGCGTTGGCGACCATGACAGCCTATGAAGCTGCTCGCAACCGTGCCTACTCTCTGATGCCACCCCTGATCCAGCGGGGAGACTACTTCACAAAGTCGCTCGCCTTGACTGCTCTCCAGGTGTACAGCTTTGTGGACTCTGCCGGCTTGCACCCTACCAAGAAGACTCCCTCGCTTGCAGCCGGTTTGCCCCACTTTACGTACCGCCATATGCGCACATGGGGACGTGATGTGTTTATCAGTCTGCGCGGTATCCTCCTGGTCACTGGCCAGTTTGACGCTGCCAAGGAGCACATTCTTGCCTTTGCCAGCAGTTTGAAGCACGGCATGATCCCCAACTTGCTTGACAGTCTCCGGTCCCCCCGATACAACTCTCGCGACTCTGTTTGGTGGTTCTTCCAGTCAGTTCAAGATTACTGCACCATCGTTCCCGACGGTGAGGCTATCTTGAAGGAATCGTTCGCACGCCGTTTTCCCGATGGCCAGACCTTTGTCGAGTACACCAGCCCTGAGGCCTACTCTGTCGACGTCACCCTTGAGGAGATTTTGACCGAGATTCTTGTGTGCCACGCCAACGGTATTCACTATCGTGAGTGGAACGCAGGACATCGTCTGGACGAGCAAATGTCGGACAAAGGCTTCCAGGTGGATGTTGATCTGGACTTTAAGACCGGATTTGTCACTGGTGGGAACATTTACAACTGCGGAACCTGGATGGACAAGATGGGAGAGAGCGCCAAGGCTGGCACCAAGGGAGTTCCCGCCACGCCTCGTGACGGTGCCGATGTCGAGATCATTGGTCTTTTGAAGTCATCACTGCGATGGGTCAATGACCTCCACAAGCGGGGCAAGTTTGCGCTGGAGAAGATTGACGTCGGCGAGACCCGGTTCAAGGGCAAGGTCCGACCTGCCAGAACCCTTACGCTCAAGGAGTGGGAGGAGTTGATCCAGAAGAACTTTGAAAAGCACTTTTACGTCCCCACCAACCCTGAGGAGGATAGTCAATATGTGATCGCTTCAGAGCTTGTCAACCGCCGCGGCATTTACAAGGATACCTACGGATCTATTACACCCTTTGCCGACTACCAGCTTCGTTGCAACTTCCCTGTAGCCATGTGCGTTGCCCCTGAGCTCTTTGACAAGGCTCACGCTATAGGTGCTTTGGAGCTCGCCAAAGAAGTCATCCTTGGACCTCTCGGTATGTTTTTAGACAGATTGGAGGTTATAGTAAGCTACTTGCATAACTTTATGTTAATTAACATCCACTTTTTTTACAATTTGCTATCTGTTAGGTATGCGCACATTAGATCCTGCGGACTGGGCTTACAGACCCAACTACGACAACAGCAACGATTCGGACGACCGCATGATTGCCAAGGGTTGGAACTATCACCAGGGACCTGTACGTTACTTTCAAATGGGCGTGTCGTTGTTTCTCTAGATCATGGTCGATCTACCTACTAACACTTCATTTCTCTCCATTCTAGGAATGGTTGTGGTGCACTGGCTATTTCTTCCGTGCTTACCTTCTCATAAGGCTGAAGTGTGACCCTGACTCTGTAAGTCCCGACCTCAGTCCACCCTCTCAAGATTGCCAATGACAAGAGGATCAACCATGCCAACTAACAATGCTTATTGAATATTACCAAAATTAGGTCAAGGACACGGTGTTTGAGCTGCACCGGATGATGTTACCACACAAGGCCCAGCTGGAGACGAGTCCGTGGGCCGGTTTGGCAGAGTTGACCAACCTGAACGGCGCGATCTGTGTGGATGCCTGCCAGTCCCAGGCTTGGTCGTCCTCGACGCTGCTAGATCTTTTGCATGACATTGATGCACTCCGAAAGGATGGCCGCCTCAAGCAATAAGCGTCCCTGTCTACATATTTTCCTCGCCATGAGCGACCATAAGACGAATGAAAATAAAAAACCACGATCCCATTCTCTCTTTATTTGCCACCAATTTCAAAAATACGTTGGTTTGAGCCCTGAATGGTGGCTTTGTTGTCAGCTTCTGGACCTTGTTTCAACCCCATCATCCCTTTGACGTTTTTCATTCAATTTAAAAACCACACGCGTTATTCATCGACCCCGGCTGTCTGAACAAGGACAAGGAAACAGGACACAAGTCACAGAAACCATCAAAACACACACACACTTCAAGGCACACAGAACCAACACCAACATCCATTCTCAAGATTGAACAGCACAATGCCGCGATTCGACTTTACGTTCCGGCAGCTCATCTGGGCAAGTGTCGTGCTGCACGGAATCCTCCTTGTATACGGCCACTGGCAGGACACCCACCTCGTCGTCAAATACACCGACATTGACTATGTCGTCTTCACCGACGCATCCAGATACCTCACCCAGGGCGAATCCCCCTACAAACGTGCCACTTACCGCTATACCCCGCTCCTGGCCCAGTTGTTGATGCCCAATATCTGGTTCAACGAGTCCTTTGGCAAATGGATCTTTACCGGAGCCAACCTGCTGATCGGCGTGTTGATCCAAAAAATCTTGCGGTTGAGAGGCATGTCCGAGTCGAGGGCTGTAAAGTTCAATGCAATCTGGTTGCTCAACCCCATGGTAGCCAATATCTCGACAAGAGGAAACGCCGAGAGTGTCATTGGAGCCATGGTACTGGGATCGTTCTACCTAATCATGAAGCGGAGGATTGGATGGGGCGCGTTTTTGTATGGACTGAGTGTGCACTTTAAGACCTACCCGATCATCTACTCGATCTCGCTGCTGGTCATGATGGATGACAAGTACTTTCAGGTGCAAGATAAGGAGGCATTGGAAGCAGAGAAGGAGAAGGAGGAAGGTGGACGGGGGGGTCAGGCGAGCAGTAGCGGCCATCATAGCAGTGAATCCAAGGACTCGGTTGTTGTCAAGGCGGTCAAAGATCTCATCAACTTTATCACATGGCGTCGTGTCCAGTTTGGTCTCCTGAGCGGTGGCTGGTTCTTTATCTTCACCGGCGTCATGTACTACATGTAAATCCTTGGTTATCTATTGGGGTGCTCGCAAAAAGTAAAGTGTATCTACGTACCTGCCTCAGAAAGAGGAGGTCAGTCCATTAACATGATTATTATTTGCGTTATGCTTAATAGGTACGGATACGAGTTCCTGTACGAGACGTACTTGTACCATGTCACAAGGAAGGACCATCGCCATAACTTTTCGTTCTGGTTCTACAACATCTACCTGACGTTCACATCGCCCACAGGAACACTGGTCGGTGTCTTGACGTTTGTGCCCCAATTGGCGCTCGTCCTTGCAATCGGATGCTGTTTTGGCAAGGATATCTTCTTTTGCGCCTTCCTCCAGACATTTGCCTTTGTCGCATGGAACAAAGTGTGCACCGCACAGGTACGCCATCATGCTCAGTCTCTCTTTCTTTCACTTTTAACTGTTCTGCGCCAAAAAAAAAAAAAAAAAAAAAAAAAAAAAAAAATTATAATAATAGGTGAACAGGTGAAGTGGTGAACAGTAACATAGGAGAAGGTTATGGTTTACTAAGAAGATCATATTTCTTTCCTGCTGCAACTAGTATTTCATGTGGTACATTGTCTTTTTACCACTCCTCATCCCCAACCTGGCATCAAACCCGCGAATGAGTCTCAAGTCCCAGGGCAGGAACATGTTGATTGGCTGGGTAGTCTCTCAGGGTCTGTGGTTGTCCCAGGCCTACAACCTCGAATTTCTAGGCATGAACACGTTCTGGAACTTGTTTATCGCCTCTGCGTTGATGTATGCGAGCAACGTCTGGATCTTGGTCGAGTTGATTACAGGGGCGACATATGAGCCGATCTTTGGAGATCGCGGAGTCATTCGTCAAATATGGTCTCCACGTTCATAAAAGAGTGGAGAGGAAGTGAGGGGTGTTGTTGTGCGTTCGCACCTTTGCGCGGCCAAAAAAGAGGCGGCAGAAAAAAGAGAGAAACGTCAATGCAAACCAATAAAAAACTGGATATCCAATTGCTTGTCTTTCCTTGTGGCGCCTGTGCGTTTGAGTGTTCAATTGTTAGGAAAATGGTTATCAGATCAAAGCACAGAACGGCCCAGGACATTCCAGAGAGAAAGGAGAGAGAGAGAGATGTCAATGGGCTGCTTGTTACGTTACTTTCAATTCCGGGCAAAAGTCGTTTGTCAACGGACTCACAGCCTGTCCGACTGTGAAGGTACTTTTTTTAGCCAGCTAACCAGTCAGTGCGCACGACGGAACATGGATGAAGCGGACTCCGGGACTCCGGAGACTTTTTATTTCGTATGACAAACTCGTTTCGCAGACTAAAAGCAGGAAAATGATCTGGAGACATGGCTGACAGTCTTCCGTCATGCTGGACAGTCTCGGTCTCTTACGGAGACATAAAACAAACGATCGTCAGTCTTTTTGGTCCCCTTTTCACTTTTGTTTTTCATTTCCCCTCTTTGTTCCACTTTCTTGTTCTGCTCCTTGTCCTCTTCCTCCTCCTCTCAATTTTTCCCCACTTTCAACAACATTTTTTCCTGCTTGGCTCAGCTCTTTGCTCTTATTATTTTTCCTCTTGATTTTTTCATTACCGCTTGGCCCTGGCTGGCTGCATATCGACATCATACTGTCGTGGAAAATAGAAAGGGCATCAGGTAACAAAGACAACGAGGAAACACCGAATGCGGAAATCAACAAGGGCCTCTCAAAGGGGTTGCGCTCTCAGATCTGGATGGCTGGTTGGACAAGTATGAAAGAAAGAAAAGAAAAGAAAATAAAATCATGGATGGATAAGAACTGTGTTCTGTTTTTTTGTTGTTTTCTTTGGTTGAGGACGATGGATGATACGATGGGGATGAGAACGAGTTGCCTGGCCCTTTTCTCGTTTCTATCGCCTTCTCTTGCTGCTCGTTACTTTTGGACCGGCCAATTGAACATGAACAATTGAAGATGGCATGATTTGCCTCTTCTCGCTCTAACTACCACCTCCGCTTTCATTTTGTCTTTTCTCTTTCTCTCCTCTTCATTTCTATCGCCATTCCTCAACAGACCAGCACTTCACCTCCTTCCCCCTCCCTACTTCTCCCTCGTTTTTCGTTCCTTCTTCTCTCTTTCTTCTCTCTCTCCTTACACCTTCTCTCACCTTTCATCGTCCACTCCACTCTCTCATACCTTGACCGACTCCCACCTCTCCATCCTCCCACTTACACACACTCTCTCCCTCCTGTTCTTCACCAACTGATCGTTCTACACAGGAACACATAACACGCCATGGTACTGTCAGATCCGAGTCCGCTCCTCTCAGTATCGTCGCCGATCAACAATATCGCCCTCCTCCATAAGGATGCCGCCTCTGCCGGCAACGCCGTCGTCTCGACCCTGAGCAGTCAAAAAACGCCTGCCGCGCCAGCAGCGTCAGCAACCGCAGGAACAACAGGTACAGGAACAGACTCAACAAGGACGCCAAAACAACCAACAGTAGCAACAACAACGACAGAGACTTCAAGACCCAGCAAGACACGCGTGTCGTCTTCCTCCTCGTCGTCTTCCGAGGCAGCGATAGTGTCCAAGAGTCGTTCCATGCATGCACGAGCAAAGAACAGTCAGCAGCGGATCGTAGAAGGAAAGAGTATGCTCTCGTTCATGTACAGACACCAACTTGGTAAGTTTTGCCGGATTCATACGTCTGTGGTTGTTGTTTTTCTTCACAGAAAAGCAACACCTCCAAGACAAAAAGAAGTGGCCAAGATCATAAATTGTTGTACAACCAAACAACAACAATAACAGCAGCAACAACAGGAAGAATACATGCGGTGTGGCCTTCTCTTTGTTGTCTCTCTATTTGTCGTCACCATTTGACGCTGTGACCCCAGGCACTCCCTTGCTCACTCCTTTTTACTACTGTCTCCTCCACCCTATCGCTCCATTATGACATGCAGGACCTGGGCAAAGGAGGAGAACAACGAGGGGGTCAATGAGGAGGAGGGAGGAGGACAGATCGCATCATCCCACTTCTGTTCCCCAATGTCGCCTCTCCACCTCCTTCTCCTACCTTGACTCCTTAGAAAAACACCATACCAAAAACTTTATTGGGGACCACCTCCTTTTAATCGCCATGCACTGCTTGCTAATACTCGTTTTTTTTACTATATTGAAAAATAGATGTGCCGGCAGCGATCATTGCAGTGGTGCTTGTGAGCCATTTCCAGTTGAAGATACCCTTTGCCGAGACGTTCCTCTTTCTCCAGAACCAGGACCCGATGAATGGACTCTACTCGAAAGCATGGACAGACTTCAATTTTATCGGCTTCTGGATCGTGGTCTTTACCTTCCTGCGGGCCTTTGTGATGACGATTGTATTGAAGCCGTTTGCGATCTGGGCAGGCGTGAAGAAAGAGCACCAACAGAACCGGTTCCAGGAGGAAGGTTGGGTCTGTCTCTATTACTCTATCAGCTGGATCCTTGGCATGGTAAGTTCCGTCGTCCTCTTTATCTTCCGTTGATCATAGAGATGATTTCACACGCAAGGAGAGAACCTGGTTCGAAACCTGGCTCTTCCTCATGTTCTTTTCTCCAGCCAACACCGCCTCCTCCCTCCTCAATCTGTGACCAACTTTTTCTTTACAGACTGACAGCCACGGTGGAGACAGAAGAGTGATATCATGAATTACAGGCAGGCGGGACATGGACTGGAGTGACATCAGAAAAAAAGAAAAAAAAAAGTGGTTCAGACGGAACAATGAAGAATCAAAGCGGAAATGGAATTTTTTCCCTTACCGGGGATGAAATACCCGGTCGTAACCTAGAAAGGCGTATTATTCGGAAACAACGCACCATGCGACATAGTGGAGGAAGACACTGACTGCTTTTGAATCGCACCCCAGACTGGCACGAACACACACAAGGGATGCAGGAGATACAGGATTTGTTGTGTTGAAGTTGGAACTTTGGAGGACACAAAAGGAGCGCATGCGGTACACCAATACAACCTCCAACTACACGACACAACAACAAAAGAAAGTGTACTATGAATGGAGTGGAGCGGGCTCAGCTCAAAGTGTAGATGGATAAAACAGGCCTAGGGAGGAAGGTTTTTGTTTTCTTTGTTAAACTGAATTCAGAGTTACAAAAAAAAAGGTCAGCAAACAAACACCAACAAGGAAGCGCACGAGGAAGCAGGATTGGGTCTTCGATGGCTCAATGGGGCGGCAGTAGACATGCAAACAAACCTGGGTTGGAGGAATGCGGAGGCTGTTCACTTCGGCGTAATCACGTCCTTGTACCTTCTACATGTTCACTTGTCAACCATATATCGATGGCTTCGCCCTTCCTTACTTCCTATATCCCTACACTTTTTTTGTTTCCTGTGCATGCTAATACTCATCTCTACGCAAGTCGCTCGATCCTAACCTAAATGCCGCACTACCCTTCTCAACTATCCATTAGTACGTTTTGAGGACATCGCCCGTCTGGAACAGTTGGACATTCTGGTTCAAACCCGAAGCCCTCTTTGAAGGCTACCCACACACCCAACTGCCCCATGTCATGATCTGGTACTACTATGTCCAGCTGGCCTTTTGGCTGCAGCAGATCTTTGTCCTTCATATCGAGGCACCCCGGAAAGACTTTTGGGCACTCTTAGCCCACCACACCGTTACCCTGTTGCTGATCAGCGGAAGTGCGTTGTCCAACTTTTGGCGCGCTGGTAATGTCGTCTTTGTCCTCATGGATCTGGCCGATATCATTCTTGCCGTAAGTTTTCCTTCTTTTTCTTTGTTTTCGCCTCTCTCTCCCCTTTATTTGTCACTTTGAAAGGTTAAAAGTACTTACAACAACACAATACTCTCAATAGTTCTCAAAGTCGATGAAGTACTTGGGAGTGTCAGACAGGATCTGCGACGTGTTCTTTGGGACGTTCATGGCGACATGGCTGTACACACGGCACTACATGTACGCCTACATCCTCCATGGATTCATGTTTACTGCCTACGAGATGATCCCCTTTGAACTGGATATCTCGCAAGGCAAGTGGTACTGCCGGGAATTGGCCTGGCTGCCCACCTTGGGTCTGGCGCTGTTGCAGATCTTGATGGTCTACTGGTTTGCGCTTATTTTGCGGATATTAGTCAAGATCTTGAAGGGCCATAGTGCTGAGGATGAGCGTAGTGATGACGAAGCGTAAGTTTTTCTTTCTTGCTGTTCAGTTGCTTCGTTCACTGTCCTATGGGCGATAGCTAAATCGTGCCCATTCCCTTCTGTTCGATACGATAGTGAGCCTGTGGAGTTCAAGGAAAAGAAGAAAGTTGTGAAGTAATGTATGCAACCTAATTAAATCCAGAGACGTCATTAGCGAAATTTTATAATAGTATAAAAATGTCGTGTCCCAAACTGTTTCTCTTCCAGCTGCTTTTTACACAATGGACGATTCCGCCTTCATGTCAGGAGGAGGAGGAGGAGCAGGAGCTCCATCACCCGGACCTGCTGGGCCATCAACACCAGCAACACCCACAAAGAGACGCAAGAACGCCGCTGCTACGCCCTCATTACACAAACCCAAGAAGCAGAAACTGCCTCGAAACCTGGACAGCATCACTGCGCGCAATCAGTTGCCGAACGTGCCTGCTGCTGGAGGGGTTGGCAAGTCAGGACAGAGGATGGTGAAAGGCCCCTACAAGAAGCGGGAGAAGAAAGATAAAGACGGAAAGAAGATCCCACCTGGCGCTGCTGGTGCTACTGCGGCAAGCACAGCAGGAGCAGCGGGAGGAAAGAAGGCGAAAGGCGCTGGAAAGGCCGGTGCTGCTGGTGGTGCTGGAGCGAATACAGGAAACACCACAGCAGGCGAAGGCGCAAACCGAACAGACCAAGCTGGTCTTGGTGGCGCTGGTCAAACTAGAGGTGCGCGAGAGGACGATGGCGACGACAGCGAGATCAGGAAGCCAGGCGTCGGACCAAATGGCGCCGTTGGAGAAGGAGGAGAAGCAGGTGGCGAGGGCGGTGATGCAGGAGGCGAAGGCAAGGATGATGATGATGATGACCCTGAGGAGGAGCCCGAGTATACTGAATACGAGTGGAACCAGGAAGCCAGCTCACGAGGACGCAGCAAAGACGACCTCAAGTATGTTCTTGGTCTTTGTTAAAGACTCGATATGTTTGCTTGTAGTGCTTTGATGCTTGTTCAAGGCAGTATATTGATCTGTTGAGGTCTCTTTTTTTCGACTTTGAACATTGATAGGGCGTTGCTGGACTGTTTCTCGGAGGAGCAATTGCAGCGGTATGAAACGTATCGTCGCTCAGTCCTCGGTCGCTCCACTGTCAAGAAGGTTAGTTTTATGGTCATGTCCTTTTTGTTTGCGAATGTGGCATGTTTGTGCTTCGAGAACGATAAGGGCCTATGCACTAACACCATGGCGCTTTGACTTGTTGCATGTCTAATAGCTGGTGGGAACGATTCTGAACCAACAGGTGACACAGACTATGGCCTTTGTTGTTGCTGGATTCTGCAAAGTCTTTGTCGGCGAGATGGTCGAGAAAGGTAATAAGCTACCATGTGTAGTCTTTCAATGACAATCGTCGCGTTACCTTTGACAAGATATTTGATGCCAACAGAAGATCTTGCTAACCTCTCCCTATCTCCATCTCTGTGGTTCCATGTGAAATCAATAATAGCACGCGAGGTGATGGAGGATTGGGGAGAGACGGGCCCAATCCGACCTGAACATCTCCGAGAAGCGCAACGACGGTACAAGATAGAGGAGGTCCAGAGGGGTAATGGAGTCCAGACCTCCTATGGCTACAAGCGCCGCATGTTCTGCCGCTAAGAAAAATGCCTTTTTTCCTTTTCTTATTCGTTCGTTGCTTACTCTCTCATCTCCAATCATCGCTACTTTGTACCATTTCCTTTTTTTTTGCGCATATCTCTGTATTTTTACTCTCTCTGTCTCTCTCTTTGCACACCATTCCATCCACCCCCTATGCACGAAATAAATAACAACGAAAGAAAACAAGATGTCATATGGGGAGCGCAGGGAAGAGGGAGGCCTAGAGGAGTTCGTCTGTGTGTGTATCGTCCCCTTATCTCAAGTCATCTCTTTTTTTTTGTATCGTCTCTCTTTTCCCTCCTTTCCCTCTTTTCCCTCCCTCCCTCCTTCCCTCCTTCCCTTGTTTCCCTCCCTTGATCTTTTTTTTTTTGCCCCTGTTGAATGCTGCCCGATGCCGTCATCTTTCATATTTTGGCGGGAAAAAAATTAGTCCCAAAAGACAGACCGATAGAGACGACAGATAGAGAGTCCAAAGGAAAGAGAGACAACAACAAAAACGAATGAGGAAGGAAAAAAAAAAAAAAAAAAAAAGCGTGTGTGTGCGTGTGTGTGTGTGTGGGAGAGAGAGAGATCGGCGCTGTTTATTTTTTGTGCGACTCATTGCGTTGTTCCTTCCTTCATGTGAGAAGAAGGAAATAAATTGAGGTGAAAACAATGGGACAGAAGGAAAAAAATTGAAGAACTCCACTCTCGAACCATGGGTCAAAAACGAAAGTGTCATTGCATGCATATGTAACAAAAATGCCGCATTGTATACAATTTAATACTATATGTGTGAATGGAGTCAATGGGACAAAAGTGTCTTGTCTCTTACACATACACTGTGTATGTCACCACTCGTATTCAAAGCAAGGGAATATAAAAAAAAAAAAAAAAAACGCATTGTTCCACTCTCATAGTCAATCCAGCCGTTCCTGATTTTTTTTTTTTTTTTTTTTTTTGTTCTTTCCACACCTCCTTCCCACCCATCCATTCTCCCCTACTTGACCAATGTTCTATTATTGGCATTGTCTCCCTTTTTAAGAAATGGCCTCTCATTCCCCCTCTCCAACGGTCGTGTCCCTTTTATCCACAATCCTTGCTTCCGTCCGCTCGCAGGGTCCAGCGACAAAAAGAACCATCGATCAATTTCTTTTTTTCGCGTGTCAATCTTGCAGATCATTTCTTCTTCCACCTGTAATATGACCGTGCTCATTTTTTAAACCATCGCTCTCCTCTCCTAATCAATTTTTAACTTGTTTTTATTGACTTTTGGGGCATTGAAAAGGTATATAGAGCAATCGCAAGAACAAAAAAGCGATCGTGTTGTCAATGGTGCATGTGGTATTGAAAAGGAGAGGTGCAAAGGTACAAATTTTTGGTATCGAGGAGTATGAGTAATGTACAAGAAAAAGAAAGCAAAAAGAACATGGTATGATCGAAACGGCAAAAGGGGAGAAATCGCGAGATCTCATCCTTTCAAAAGTAACGACTGAGAGAAAGCGAAACGTGAGAAAATATACAAGACGACTTGTCTCCTCATCAAGCAGACAAACCGACGAAATGCGGCAGAGAGAGTACCAAGGAAACCAGAGAAACAGGAACGAGCGCTTACTCGCTCATGTACTCGGTCTCGCTGGCATCCTCCTCCTCCATCGCGGCGCTGTAGATGGTAACAATGTCTTGCTGAGGCAAACTCGAGATGACGGCGTGGTTGCCAATCAAGGTCTTGCGGAGGGGCTGCTCAGAGTCCTCATCATCCTCGTCCGAAGAAGATGAGCAATCCGACGACTCGTCACTGTAATCATCCGAGGAAGATGAATAGTCTGACTCGTCAGTCGAGGATTCCGAAGAAGAGTAGTCATCCAAGGAGGAGTAGTCAGTCGACCCCTCGGTCGAAGAGTCCGAGGACAAAAAGGGTGATCCAGGGCAGCGGGGTGGGACAACAAAGGTGCTAAAGTTGACATCTCCAGCTGCGGTCTTGTGCTCCAAGTTCATCACGAACGGCTGGGATGGCTATTTAAAATGGAGGAAAGGAGGCACGTTGGTGAGCAAATACGGCTTACGTTGAGATTCAATCGCAGATCCATCCTCATGATACATTGCCCTTTTTCAGTAGAATGCTCCTTACGTCAGTCGACCGGTCATCCAACTGCATGTAAGTCTCGTAGGGAGTAGAAACGGCCAAGACAAGCGAATCCTGAAGAGAATCGACCCTCTTGATGTCTTCCATAGTCACATAGGCATAGCTATCAAAAATGAAGAGTCAAAAACACGTTGCTGTCAGTCGTCTGTAAGCCCTCTGGTGAACAATTGGCTATGAGAATGAATACGGAACAAAAAAAAAGAGAGATAGGACATACCGAGCAGTGTTCTCGTTGGTAAGGGTGTCCTTGATCGCACCGTCCACCTGGGCTCTCATCTGGACGAGGCGACTGTGTTCCTGTTCGAGGCGGGCCTTCTCCTGCAACAACTCGTCCCTCCGCTGGCGATTGATTCCAGACGCGGCCTGTCTGCATCCTGCGGTCGATTTGTTGTTGGTCGAGGTGACGCCCCTGGATAAGATAATAGCACAGAATAAATAACAATAATTGAAATAAAGCGGGAAAAAAATCGATTAGCATCTCTGTCACATTCAGCTCTGTTGTTGTTTGTGTTCTGTTGTTGTCATGTCCTTGTCTCTCTCTCCTGCTGTTCCCTGTCCTGTCCTGTCCTGTCCTGTCCTGTCCTGTCTGTCCTGTCCTGTCCTGCGAGTGATGTGTATTTTTTGTGTTGTTTGTATGTGCGCACGAACACCAAAAAAAGAGCGCATCTCCCTCCTCCCCTTCGCCCTCTCTTTCTTTCTTTTTTGCCGCCTGGAAATCCAGTCCAGCAGCGGGAACTTTAAAATGTTGCGTGTTTTGGCCTTGATTGGAACCCTGCGACCCCCAAAAAAGAGTGCCACTTTTTTTTTTCCCTCGTCTTCTTTCCAGCCCGCCCATTCTCTCTCCCATCTGTCCTGCACTCCTTATTCGACCCTTTCCAGCTAAAAAAAATCATCCCTTCATTCCTTTTTATCTCTCTCTCCATGGGCTGACTTCCAGCTGCACTCTAAACATCCTGCCTCCCTGCCTGTCCTTCCCCCTCTTTTTTTCCCCCTAATTGTGCTCCTCTCCCCTCATGTGTGGATAATGCTGTTCTTCTGCCCGTCTGTGTCTCTGTTTGGTATTGTTGATGTTTGTTGATGTTGTTGTTTGTTCGCCATTGATGTGGTTGCTTAAAATCCAAAAATTGTGTTGTTTGCAACTCTGCCATCCTGTTTTCTCTTGTACTCCTCTTTTCTTTTTCCCCTTTTCCTTCTCCTATCACATTACACTGTGGCGGGTATGTCGATGGTCCATGTGCCCCGTATTTGTTTTCCGCCACAGTGACTCCCGAGCTCATCCAAAAGGTCGACCAACGTCCCGAAATACAAGAACGAAATCAAAGATATGACGTGTCCTGTCGATGGTTGTTGTTGCCGCAAGAACATAAAAACCTGATCCTGAACGTAGGGGGTGGCGGGAAAATAACCCAAATAAATAGTAACCCAAACAGAACCACACCAGACAAGACACCAACAAATAAACGCAAACAACAGGATGCGGTACTTACTTCCAGCGGACATTGTTCTTCTTGAACTTCTCGATCAAGTCGATTCCCTCCAAGACATTGGTGATGTCGTAAATGCGGCGCTTTTGAACACCGAGTCTGTTGGCGGTCTGGTTGAGATCGAGGGTTCCCTGCTCTTCCTTGAGGAGATGGATGAACTGCTTAGTCAACATGCCCAGAGAGCGTTCAGAGCGACTCGAGTCTGTCGTATCGTTGTTGTATCCATGAAACAGTCGAGAGGATTGAGGTTGTCATAAAAAGAAGAGGGAAAAAGTAGGTTAGGATACGAATAAACAAATCAGGGAGGAAAGAGGGGGGAGCGCTTTTTTTTTTGTCAACGGGACGGGAAATTTGAATGAGATCACGCTCAATTATCCCTTGCGTATTGAGTTTGCTGGTGATGTCGTTATCCAGAAAAAAAGAACAAAAAGAGCTCTTTTCTCCTGAAGATGTTGAGAGATCCGCCACAATGGTGTGAGAGAGTCCTAGCTGTTGTAAGCCGATCCTGGTGATCCTGGCGATCATGGTGGTCCTGGTGGTCCTGGTGATCTATAGTGATGCGTGTCCACAAGTGTCCATATAATGACCCAGAACCCTAAATGAACCCAATAAATATTCCGATCACGATTGGAAAGCGGGTATCTCTCCTGTTTGATGTTGGGTCACTGCCCCTGTGGATGATGTTACGATGGATCCATGTTCTATCCTCCCTCTTTTCTTTTGCTCTTTCCAGTCTCTTGTCCAATTGAATACACTGTCCTGTGACCCTTGTGTTCGATACAGAGAGTCCTGTCCTGCTCTTTCCTGGTTACTGTTGACTGAGACTGTGGACAAAGGTATGGTTGTGTCACACACGCGGAGGTTTTAGCGGTTGTATACCTTTGGCTGCAGTGGTGGTCTTTGGCTTGGGGTTGGGGGAAGAGATGACGCCTCCCTTACGACCGCGCTTTCCGGGCTTGACCAACTGAGGGATAGGTTCCTGGTTTAGAACAGCATTGGATCGGTTCTGGAGGGTAGAAGGGAAAGATAACAAAGATGGGCGGGAAAGGAGAGGAATGGAGGGGGAGGGGAGGAAAAAGGGAGGGGAGGAGCAAGAGAAGCAGGAGAAGATAGGATAATGTTGATAAGTATAATTGTTCGGACAAAGGCGAGGATTGAAGACATGCTGCGTTCTGACTCGACCAACAAGGAGAATGGAACACCAGCAACCAACACCCGCTTCGCATGTTTTTTTGTATTTTTTTGTTGTCTCTTTTTCCATCTGCACGCTGCACTCCTCTCTCCTCTCTTCCCCCTTCTCTGTGTCTTTCTCCTCCACTCATTGTCCGTCTTTGGGGTATACAAGGCATGGGTACATCCGTAGACTGGCAAAAGGCGGGAAAATTTAAAAACTCCATCCCAAATCAATTGAACTCAATAAAGGGAGGGAATACAGGCCGCAAACACAGACCGATAAACCGGCCGACCGATTGACTGAGCGAAAAAAAAAAAAAAAAAAAGTAAAAAAAGTGAATGAATGACTGAATGACACTGACTGACTGTCAACCAAAAATAATAACGAGGGAAGGGAAGGGATAAACAGACACACAAACAAGCTGTGACTGAGTCAATAAAGCGTAACGCTACCCCCGCCCAAAAATAAAGAATAGAATGACGAGGAGAAACGCAACAAGAAAACGAGTGTCTGGCTGGTGGTGTAGTGGTCGGGTGTCAGTGGGGTGAGTTGACAAAAGGAAAAGTCGGAATGGAGGAAACGAAAAAAACAAGCTCGCCATCAGTGAGTTGGGACGTGAAAGGAGTGGGTGAAGAAAACAGAAAAAAGGCGGAAACTCCATTGTCCTTGTCCTGCTCAGTCCTGCTTAGTCCCGTTGCTGTTGTTGTTTGAGAAAGACTCGCCACTCGTCTTGGGTGTGTTCGTTGAGATGACTCCTAGATGGATGAGTGTCCAGCTGACAACAGACCCGATGAGTGAGCCACCATTCCGTTACATAAAAAAGGTTTCCCTCTTCCTCTTGATGTTGGTATCGATGTTGTGGGTTGAGTTGTTGTTGTTGCTGCTTTGTTGTAGTTGTTGCTGTTTGTGTTCAACCTGCAGCCAGAAGGGGTCGTTGTTGTTGTTATTGACCCTCTTGTTGCTCATTGCTGTTGGTTTTGACGAGAAGTGATGAGTGAAAGCGAGTCGAGAGTGGGACTCGAGTGGGCGGGTGGGTGTGTGGAATGAGCTCTTCCTGGGTTCCATGAGTGCGCCTTGTCGTGTCTAGCGATGCTTCGTTTGTGTCCGGTATGTGGTGTCGGTGCATGAGTGTTGTTCCATTCCTCCTGGTTGCTTGGCTTGCTTGCTGATGAGCTCGGTTGCTGCTGTTGAGATGGTGGTATGGTTGGGTACAAAAGAGAATAAAAAGAAGAGCATACAAAAAGAAAAGCAAAAAGGCAAAAGGCAAAAGGCAAACATAAAGACAGAACACACACAGCTTTTCTCGCTTCTTTTTCGTGTATCTTTCATTGTCTGTTCTCTCTCTTGTTCTTCGTTCTCACCCTTTCCTTTTTTTTCTTGATACTTCTTTTTTTCCTTTTGGCGCCACCGAAAAGAAACCCAAAGGGTCGTTGGGTGTAATGCATCCAAACTCGGAGTTGACACAAAAGGGGGGCAAAAAGAACCTGCGCTCACTTCTTCCTCGCCTCTTTTTTTTTTTTTTTTTTTTGTTCATAATTCCAGGACAATTCATTTTCTTGGTGCGTTCGTTTACCTCTCGTTCGACCCAGGCGTGATCCTGTTGGAAGGCGGGCATGACGGGCATAGATGCCATGACGTGAGTGGAGGGAGACATGGTATATGAAAAAGGGTTTGTTGTTGCTGTTGTCGTTGAAAGGGTGTTGTTCTTGTTGTTGTTGGCTGGATGGCAGTTGTATGAGTTGCAAAAGGACTGCAGCAAAAGTGGATTGAAGTTCCGGGTAAGTTGTTGGTTCTTGTAGGCTTGTTGTTGTTAAATGGCGATTTGCGACGAGTGGGTGATTCGACTCGGAGGTTGCAGAGTAAACGAGAGGGAGAAGAGTTTCGACCGATGGGAACTCTTGGGTGTCAGACGACGAAGACGGCGACGGGGTGACCGGTGAGAGTTTATCGATTCAAACGAGGGGGAGACTGGAGGAGACGAGACGGAGAGGTTCTCTTGGATTCTCTTGTATTCGATCGTGGAGGGAAGCAGAAGAGGGGTGTACCTTGGCGGCAAAAAAATAAAAGCGAGCGAGGAGAGCTTTTTTTTTTTTTTTCTTGTGCGAGCTTGCGGCAGGGTGTTAGAGGGCTTGCTTGGCTTGAGCGAAGGAGGACAGGTAGGCAGACTTGAAAGACTTGATGACCGTTGGAGACTTGGCTTGAGTGTGGAGTGGAAGTGAGAGTAGGAGTAGAAGAGAGAGTGTGTGTGAGGAAGAGAATGAGAGTGTAGTAGTGGAAGTGGAGGAGTAGTGGTTGTGTTTGTTTGTTTTTTGGTTGGAAGGAAGAGTGTGTGTGAAGGAGTGAGGAGGAAGGAAGAAGAAAAAGAAAAAGAGAAGGGGAGAAGAAGAGCGAGGTTTTTATAGGACTCTGAGGACCATGAAGCGGCTTTGCTTGTCCGGAAGAGTTGGAGTGACCATTGTTGACAAAAGAGAAAGAGGCTTGCAGGGTTGGTTGGTGAAGGGTTTCTTGAACTCGGTCGTCTTGACCGGACGAGCTCGTCTTTCTTGAACGAAATAAAAATCGAAGAAAAGAGAAGGTGGGAGGGAGGGAGAGGGAGAGTGGAGGGAGAGAGAGGGAGGGAGGGAAAAAATTCAATTTTTTGTGTTTTTTTGTTTATGTTTTGTGTGTGGTGGACATTGTGTTTGAATTTGAATTTTAGTTACTCAGTCCCATATATGCTATGTATGTGCGCATACTATTGTTTCCATCTCCACTCTTTACTCTCTTTACTCTCTCAACACCCTTGCCTTCCCTTCTTCCCTTTTTTCCCTTTTTTTTTTTTTTTTTTATTATATATTTTCATCTTCCCATCCCTGTCCTGTCGTACCTTTGGGCTGGACATTCAATCATTTCCTATTCACTCCTCTTCCTCCCTTCCCTTGCTTCTTCGTCGTCTTCTCTCACACTCCCATCACAGCTCCTTCCTTGGTCTGCCAACATTGCTTCCCGCTTTTAGAAAGAGTCTTCCTGCTGTACACTACACTACTCTCGGCTAACACTACACACACACAGCTACTTCTCTTACATATTAGGTCTATGTGTATGTCATATGTCATCCCATACACTATCGACTGACTGCCTAACTGGCTTGGTTCACATACGTTTGAAAGCCAATCAGTGGACAAGAGCACCAGACAAAAGAGCCAGAGCAAAGAGCTTAATTATCAAACAAAAACAAAGAGGCAAAAGTGCTGTCGGGGCAGACAGGCACACACGCCCTCTGGCTGACATATGGACCGACCCGACAGGCAGGCAGGCAGGAAGGAAGAAAGGGGAAAGAAAAAGTCAATCGGGCAGACACGATAGCAAAAGACAACCTGATTGGCATGCTTCTCTTTATTTTATTCTTATCTTTTTTTTTTCCTTTGGAAGTGGAGAAGAAGAAGAGATAGGGAGAGAAGACAGGCATGTCAGAAGGGCAAGTGTCTGTTCTTCTGTCAGGGTTCACATTGAATGACAGTTGTCGACGCTGATCTCTTCGCCCTCACCCCTTTGACAATATACCTTGTCAAACAACAAGGAATGTCTTCTATTCATAATTCAAAATTATTCAAACGGTCAAACAGTCCATGGGTTAAGGACTGGGACAATCGATACTTTGACAGAAAAAGTAGAATAAAATAGAACGAGAGAAAAAGAACTACAAAGAACGAGCGAGAGAGATAGAAGAGAGGAGAGAGAACAGGAGAGGAGGAAGGGTGCGACTCTAGATAACTTCAAGGGGAGGGTGGGGGGAGACAGAAAGTAAGAGAACGGGGAGGGGCCAGAGGCGATTGGAAAAGGCTGGAAGAGAGAGAGGAGAGAGTTAGAAAGGGAAGAAAGAGAACCATACACCGGGTTCACAGAGCAATATGATACTCTATGAGAGTATAATAGGCAAGAAGACTAGAGAAAACTAGAGAAAACGAAACGGTTTGAAGTTCATTGCAATAATAGACAATGGACAATCCATTGGCAATCACAGGTCAAACTACACTCGCTTCCAGGGGTAAAGATAATGACTATGGTTCAATTGGAGAATGTGGTTCCTCTATTACGACGTAATGTTATTTACGAACACGCCTTGGCTTGTCTGTCTGTCTGTCTGTCTGTCTCTCTGTCTGCAACAAAGGGTTATATATATACTCCATACGTGCTGCGTGTCCTGAGAAGAAAAGAGATCAAGTAAGAAGAATAAATAGAAAAAGGCAGCATCTGATCGACTTTGAAAGGGGAATTGCAATTTCTCTTCTCTTCCTCAAACACTCTCAAACATCTTCCAGGAACTAGAAAACAAACATGCCCGGCATCGTACAAACTTCTCGTGAAATCTCGGCGCCTCTGACCACCCTACCACTTTGTGTGTGCACGATGACAAAACATACCTCAACAGACACGCTGACCCTGGCACAGGGGACTCTGTTTATTCTATTTCTCCTTCTTTTCCTCATTTTATTATCTTAATCGTTAGCTGTAACATGGAGAATTGGAGAATTGGAGAAACGGAGGAACGGAGGAACGGAGAAGGTGTGTGTGGGAAAGAATGAGAGAATGCAACAGGGTTGATTGTAACAGACACGTATTCATCGCCACTGTCTACTTGCTCATACCCGCGGAAGTTGTTGTCAATAGTATCCAACAAGAAAACACGTATCATATTGCCCTCTTCTTCCTCTTTTTTTTCTCTCTCTTCTTTCAGTCAATATTTTTTCTGTCCCTCTTTTTGTTAGCCTTCTATTTCCTATTCTTCTTTTCTTTTCATCTCCTGTCCTCCTCTTCTTTTTCTCCTGATCTCCTGTTCTCCTGTTCTCCTGTTCTCTTGTTCTCCTGTTCTCCTCTTCTCCTCTTCTCCTTTTCCTCTCAACTGTCGCACCCTGCATTGAGCTCATTCTCTGCTCTCTTGTGTTTATTTTAGTCATCTTTCTTTCCTTTATTCTTTGTTTGCTCACCTTTGCGTCGCGGTGTTGTTCCAATCACCGTCGACTTGTTCTTTTTTTTTGTGTGCGAACTATTTTTTTCCCCTTATCCTCTGGTACTTGTTTTTAGCATCATTGAAGAGAGAGAGGAAGAGAGAGGGAGTGGGACGTGAAAATGGCGGTGTATTACTTCCTTTTGTATTGGCCCAGCCATCTGCTCCGCACGCCTATTTTTTCCCGCCTTTTTTATTTCATTCCCTTTGGACTCCCTCTTTGCCGCCATCCATTGGGCGCTCACAAACATCAGAGCACTTTTTTTTTCTCATTGACTTTTTTTCAATCCCACCGTTTTATCCTTTCATTCCCCCCTCCGCGTGGAAAATAGATCTATCATTACCATATTCCCACTGCATTAGAAGTGATTCAAGAAAAAAAAAAACTCCATATGTGCCTTTTGTTCTTCATTCACACCGATCGTGATCGTGATCACTCCACCTGGCAAAGCGGTGGCCTAATTACATTCCCACCGAACGCTTTTTTTTGTGCCAGGACCCCCTTCCCTTCCCTTCCCTCCCTTTTCCTTTCCTCCCCTGCCATTATGCCTTACCTTCCTCTGAGACTCTGCTTGCTGGTGCTAGCAGAGTCGTTTTTTTTTCTTTGGTTTTTTTTCACTCGCCAACCAGTCAATCCCTTCGCTCACTCGGGACAATAATAGCACATCGACTCTTGAGAACTTGGCCAAGCTCGCGTAAGCACTTTTTTTTATGGTTCTTTCTTCTTGCTCTCGTCCGAGTTTCAAGCAAAACAGTACACAAAGCAAACAGACAAGGATACGAACGTTCCTACGTCCCGCGCCCAGTGCCCAGAGTCTAGTGCCCAGTGCCCCGTGCCCAGGTCAAGTATCGGAAGGTGGGGGACGGTATGTTGTCGAAGGCTGAAGGAAATTGATTGAAAAATCCCCCGAACGGACGCGCCAATGGAGTTTAGTCTTGTCATCTTTACGTTCTTTTTTTTTTCCCTTTTTGCTAGTGTAAAGAATGCGTACCCGGTTCAAGTCGCGCGCTATTTTATTTTGCGGTTGGGTGGGGTTCACATGAGCTCTATTGTAGGCGCGGAGAGTCCCTTTTGTGCAAGATGACGCGTGTTTTTTGGGGGGTTTTCGTTTGGGTTGTTAGTGAGTTCTGGATTGCAATGAGGAAAAAGAAAATGAGGAAGGGTGTGTTTTGTGTCGTGTGGCGGGTCCGATAGGCATGTTATTCAAAAAAAAATTGGAGAGAGGGATTAGTTTTAGTCATTTGAACCCTCCTCTTTCATTCATCTCGCGGCAACAAACACCACAAGCAAACAACAAAACAAATAATCAAACTAACGACCATCATCAGTCTCTTTTCTTTTCCCTCCTTTTTTTCATTCCCCTTTACCTCCCTTTCTTTTGCCCAGTCGTTTCTATTGTTTTGTCGTTGGTTTTGTTATTGTTGTTGTCTTTTGTTGTTTTATAAACATCTCCCGCCCTTCTTTGTTCGCCCTCCATGGTCCGATGGGGGAGGGTGGTACAAAGAGATGATAAAGTTTCAAAAGAAAAAAAAAAGATGTATGCTTCCTCATGCGTTACTAACGAACGAAAAAAGAAAAAGAAGGCGTTAGTATGGGATGTGTTTGTGGTATGGACCAAAACCCTATTTGATGCATCTCACTCTTTTTCTGGCGGCAAAAAATATGTCGTGCTGAAAGAGAAGGGAGGGAGAGAAAGGGAGGGAAAAGAAGGAAAGAAAAAAAAACGTGGGGCGTCCTTGTTGAACGTGTTTGTAGGGTACATATGTGATACATGTATGTGCGTGTGAGAGACATAGCGGAAGAGCGTGGAGTAGAAAGTGATTCTGCTATGATCCTTCTGCAAAGCAAGGGGGGCAATTAGGTGATGAAGCATGAACGGAAATTGAGAGCAGTGGTCCATTTGTGAATAACTCGCATCGATAATGAAGCAATCGTGAACAAGAGAAATGAAAGGATAGAAAGAAAGAGTTTTGAATTAGAAGGAAAGTTGGTATAAGAGGGGAGGAACTGTTGCTCGCCTGTGTTGGAAACCACCTCATTGTCAAAAAGTGGATTCCATGAAGGTAGAGGGAGTCTTATGCTGCTCTTGGTTCACGCCATGTACCGGGCAAGTTTTCTTTGAGAGATTACACGGTTGGTTTAAAAGTGAAACTTGGTAATATGTAAGGAACCTCAATACGGCTGCCGTGCGCGCCTTGGATGTCATCCGATTTGTGACTCGTTAGAAGGAATAAGTAAAGAAAAGGCGATTGAGAGTTCAAGCAGCGATCCATGGGGAGTACTTGATAGATGGAAGAAAAAGAAGAAACAATTATTTGGAATGAGAGAGATGGCGGGGGGAAAGGTTCCATTGGAAGCAGTCCAGTCCTTGCGGTGTTTTAGGGTGTCAACTTGACTTTTTTTTTCCCTTTTACACATTGGTGGCGGCAATGCAAGTGAAGAAGCAAAGCAAAAGAGAGAGGAGTAGAAAGCAGAGAGTGATCGTAATTCACCCTCTGCCGATCAATGATCATTTAGATAGGACGCAGTGCTCTAGATGGACAGAGTGTTCAATTATGTGTCCATCAGCGACCTTCTTCGTCTCACAACCGGTTTGATCAGTGAATAATGCGTGTCTTGGCCAAGACACACCATGTCTTCTGAAATCCCTCTTTTCCGTTTCTTCTTATCTTGTCTCTTGCTTCTTGCCCTAGTTCCCTACATCCCCTTGTCCTCTCTCCCTTTTCCATCGTCGCTTTTTATATTTGTGTTGTCTCCTCTTTTCCTATCGTTCTTTTCTTTCTCCTCTTTCTACATCACTCCTGTCAAGCAGCCGTACTCACCGTCTATCATCACCAGACCTTCGCCCAACCTATTCAAGGACAAGCACCAACAAAAAGGAAAAAGCTGCCATGGACAACATTCACACACGCACAACAATTGCAGAGGCAGGACCCGAATCTGTCCTCAGGAATAGACATCACCCATCCACCTCTTCATCATCACTCTCAACACTACCATCCGCACAAGAAGAGGACGAGATACTCTTCAGAGCACCGGCAGTAGTAGAAGAGAAACCTCATGGTTCATCCACCGCCGTGCTATCGTCATCAGCTCACAGGGACAAGCCTTCTTCCCTTTCACAAGGATGGACATCTCTCCAAGGAGATGCTGCCACCACCGAGTCGGAATCACATATTCCTGGAACAACAGCAACGATGCCTAACCAGGGACAAGAAGAGACAGTGGCACTGGAGTCAATAAGAGCAACAAGCACAGTAAGCACCGTAAGCACAGTAACAGCAGCAACGACACCAACATCGACCACAGCCTTGCCAAGTACAATCCCAGCAGAATCAGAAACAGCATCGCCCGCACCTACGCCGACAACAATAACGAAACCAATTGATGCTGGCTTGGCAGCACCAGCAGTAGCAGGGCTAGGGCTAGACTCGGAATCCAACGGCGAGTTCTCGTGCAACATCTGTTTCGATACCTCCATGTCTCCCGTCCTCACCCTCTGCGGGCACTTGTTCTGGTAAGGCGGGGTTCTTCTCTTCGACAATGGAGTACGGCTTTTGGATGGAGTTGAGGTGAAAAAGTGTCATTTTTGCCAAACTAATACCAATCACTATTCCCCGTTCAATGACAAAAATAGCTGGGCTTGTCTGCATCAATGGCTCGAGGCACAACATCAGAACCCAACATGCCCCGTCTGTAAGGCAGGATGTGCACAGGACAAAGTCATCCCCATCTACGGACGAGGCAAGGAGCAGCTCGATCCCAGGTACTTTCATCGCCTCTTTTGTATTCTTCGTAGTTAAATGACGATTTGTCATATCCAAGGAAGGAGGCATTGGTTTCTAATTCTTGCATCCAAAAATGTCAAACAAATAGGTCGACAACGCCAAAGAGGCCTGCGGGGCAGAGACCGGAACCGTTGAGGAATCCAAACCAGACGGGATTTGCATTGGGAACAGGACAGGTGACATTCACGGGGACCATGCTGCCCCCTTTCATGTTCACGCCCTTTGGCATCCAGTACGGCGCCACCTACAGCGGCACCATCGGCGGCAACGGCGCAGGTAACTTGTTGTCTTTTTCTGGGCAGTTTATGGGCAAAGTATCTGTTTGAAAACGACAAAGCCAAGACCAGACAACTAACAAGTTCCTGCCTAACTATCATATTATTCAAATAGTACAAACCCCGATGCAGGCATATGTGTCACGGATGTTCTTTATGCTTGGCACTTTGATCCTTGTAGGGATCCTGCTCTACTAATGCGCCGCGCCTTTCTGGCAATCCTCTCATAGTCCGAATCCATACCCCTTAGATAGTTCTTCCACTTGCTATATGCAAAATAGAGTCCTGTACTTTGTCCCCATATCATTGACACATCCACAAACCATAAAAAGACCAGTAACTTCAACAGCAAACCGATTGGACTCATGGAGACTAAGCAGATATACAAAAGAAAAGTGTAAATGAGAAAAAGCGGGTGAGTCGAGTGACCATGGCTCGGCTCACGCACCTGCCCGCACATTCCTGTTTCTGCAGTTCTGCCTTCTCTCTTCTTTCTATCTCTTCTCCTCTTTCTCTTCTCTTTCTCCATCCCACCTTCCCCACATTCCGAATCTCGGATGAACCGCCTCCTCCTCCTGCGACCACTCCGTAATCCCACACGCCTCATTCCTTCTACTACCCATCTTCTCTCTCGCACCTCGCTTCTTCCCACGCTATTCCACCCAACAACAATCTTCCGCAAAACAACCGCAAGAATGTGTCAAGGATGTGTCCCCGAATACTTTGAGTTCAAACAGAGTCCTGCCCCTCTCCCCCAGAACTGGTTGAATTCCCGGTTCTTGACTCAAGCGACGGACGAGAAGGATAAGGATACAGGGACAGATAGTTTTGAGTATCGTGTCGCGCGTGATGCGCCTTGTCCTATCATCGATGCTCATGTCCATGGTAAACACTGCCTATATATTATATATTTGGAAGAGAGATGCTACGAGAGGCCGAAGAAACGGTGTGACTGAAACCAATCTCCCCCTTCAATTTGAATGATAGTGTTCCCGCAGAAGCTGATGGAAGCTGTGTGGACGTTTTTCGACAACTTTTACTGGCCTGTCCGGTACAAGAAGAACTACCTCGCGACCAGGGCCGATTTCTTGCTCGACCAGGGTGTCCGCCACGTCGTCCTTCTCGTGTAAGGACGATTCTTTTTTTTTTTTTCTTTTTCTTTCACAAAACGAAGAGATCGTACTAAATACTAACGACCTTTGCGAATTCTCATGGGGAAAAAACAACAACAATGTAGATATGCGCATAAGAATGGGATTGCGCGGGATTTGAACAAGTTTTTGGCACACACCGTAAACTCCATGAACGAACGCTACGCCTCCCTCCCTCAACCAAACGGCCAACCAAAACGCGGCGTTCGCGTCGCCTCAGGACTGGCAACAGTCATGCCCGGAGAACCCGATGCCCGCGCCATCCTTGCAGAAGCATTCACAACCCTAGGTCTGTCCGGTATCAAAATGCACTCGCACGTCCAATGTGTGGCGGCCAACCATCCGAGTATGGACGAAGTCTATGAGACGTGTATTGAATTTGATAAGCCGGTTTTGATCCATGCGGGTAAGGAACCGAATAGTAAGGCTTATAAGGTCGACGCCGGCAAGATTTGTGATTTTTCGATTGTCGAGGATGTTTTGAGACGGTATCCTCGTCTCCGGATCTGTATTCCTCATCTTGGTAACGGTTTTCTTCATTGTTCTGCTTTGGGGTGGTTTTTTTTTATTGTCAAGTTCGAGAATGGAAGAAAGGAAAATATTTGACATTATTGATATTTATTTTTTTCTATTCAAACCGCCAATTCGAACTGATAGGAATGAACCAGTACGAAGAGTTCTTCGACCTGCTCGACAAGTACCCAAACCTCTACCTCGACACTACAATGACTCTCGGCGCATTCTTCCAATCCCTCAACTCCCTCTCCCCCTCTACCACCACCACCATCACCACCTCCTCCTGCTCCCCCTCCACCTGCGACCACACCACTCACACCACAAACAACAAGAACAACAACACGAGCACAACCCCAACACTGAAACCAATGGCAGAAATGCTGCGAACTATGCTCCTCCGCCACTCGGACAGAATCCTCTACGGAACCGATTGGCCCAACATCCCCTACGATTGGTGTCGCGAGCTGGCGAATCTTGTCAGTTTGGTCGATGGGGATGGTGAAGCTACTGCTGCTGTGGGTGAGAGGGTGAGGAAGGAGGAGCAGAGGACGAAGGAGACGGATAAGGCCTTGGAGAATATCTTGTGGAGGAATGCGAGTCGGTTTTATCGGATCTCGGAACATGATCTTGGATTGACGCCGCCTCTTTCGTCCAACCTTTAGATGTCCCTTTGTTGTCTTTTGTAGTAAAAGTAATTCTTTGCCATCCAATGTACCAGCGCCAACTACTTGGTTATTAAATATTTATTTATTATTTTTCCAAATGGTGGGGTAAAGGCGGGATAAAAAAAAACGGGAAATAAAAACAGGGCATTAGACCTTTGGCTGCTGCGGCTGCCGAGACGCCCTAAGACTCTGTCTCTTCTCTTCCTTTTCCTTAAGCGCTTTCGCCCACTCCAGCGCCCGCTCTATCCTCGAATCATACTGCTGCGGGAAATGATGCCATAACCAATTAGTCCTCAAGGGGATCGCCATGAAATGTCGTTTATCCGAGAACTCAATCCGGATCTCTTTCTTCTTGGACCCGTTCTTTTTGGGCTTTGTGGTGGTGTAGGTTCGGTTGTCGTCAGAGTCGTAGGGGGCGGATGAGTCGTTGCCGTCCAAGAGGTCGTCGTCGAATTCGCTGGTGGAGGAGGGCGATGCGGGAGTGACGGTTGTTGTGGTGTCGGATTTTTGGTGTTGTTGGGGAGGTTGCTGGCCTTGACGGCTTTGTTGGAGGATGCTTTCGGTCGCTTGGGCACGTTCGTCAGAGGAGCCCTCATATTGAACAGGAGGGCCAAACGAGGTGGCTGAGACCCTACGCGACTCGGAGGGGGGGCTCTCGCTCTCGACCGCGAGTGATTCCTGTTGCTGGAGCTCCTGCGGAGGTTGGGGCTGGGAGATTTCCTTGTGTCGCTCATTCAAGTCGGAAAGGGCCAAGCTGACAGAGCTCTCGAGACGGACTGCAGGTTGACCGGTCTGGTAAGGGGTCACAATCCGCGCGGCTCTTGTCGACCCTCCCAAAGTTGAAACCGTTGTCTGTCTCGAGTGCTGAGCCTGTCCATGTCCATGTCCGTGGTTGTTTCCCTTAAGACTCAGAGCCGACGACAACACCGAAATTGAGCGCACCAAGGGGTTATTACTGGTCGTAGAACTGGCACTCATCCCACGCGCACGTCCACCACCGTTGGCCTGGTGGCTCCCAGAGTTGCTAGACGACTCTTCATAGGCCCAGTTCTCTGGAAGCCCAAACTGACTATCCCTCCGCCCCTTTCCCTTCTTATTCTTGACCACTGGCGTATCCTCATAAACCTTGTGCAAGTATGTCACCGTCCCTGCCGTAACCAATCTCGGCACATCATTGACCGCCTGCAATCGCTTCTGAGCCTCCTCCAGCACCTTCAAGATCCTATCCAACTTCTCCTTAGCCGACAAACCCTCATAGGCGGGGTTCAGAGACTCAATAGCTCCAATCTTGATGAGTTCCTTGAGATCGAGCGCGTTTCCATAAGAAAGTCGACCGACGATATCGTTTTCGTTGATAAAGGCGATTTGGGTCCGTTCCCATTGCGCGGCAAGGTTGGGGGTAGCGATGGGTGGAGGTGCAAAGAGGTAGGCTTTGACTTCGAGGTTTTGAGGGGTTGGGAGTTCTGTGGTGGGGGTTGTGAGGTAGTCGGCAAAATGGTCCTGGAGGAGTGAGCAGAGTAGGGAAGCCGATCCTGCTCCCAATGAGTGTCCAATACTAAACCATAAAGATTAAAAAGCAGGATCGTTAGATCGTTGGTCATTGACACAGAGGTGAACAGGTCGAGTTGTAAAAGACTCTGGAACTTACCAGTAGATGGTCTTGAGGTTGAACTTTCTCAAAGCTGTCTCAATATCCTTGCCACTGCGCTCAAGCACAAAGCGCGCATTATCCATGATACCCTTGTGGACCAGACCGCCCTTGTAAGGGTAGTACTCGCACACCAAATCCGTCATGGCATCCGTAATGCTCTATCATAACCATCCAACAATACAAGTTAGCCTCATCTCTCAAAGCAGTACCAAGAGATGTCGCGCAAAGAGCAGAGAGAGAATTAGAGGAAACTTACGAAAGTGCCGCGGATGATAATACAGAGGGCATTGTACTTGGGGTCACGGACAATGTAGTAACTGGGGACGAGGGCCGTGCGCTTGTCGAAATGCCAAACGATCATGTCATCCTTGTTCAACTTGAAGTAGTCCTGCACGTTCTTACGGTCCGAGTTGATGCGCACAAAGTCTACATTCAACGTAACATTATTTTAATTAGCCGTCAGTTTACAATGGGCGAATGAGACAGCCATTGAATACAGCAGTTCGGGGGGACACTTACTGAGGGGAGCGACTTTGAAGCTATAGCCAAAGTAAACCCAGGGGAGGGATCCGTACGAGGCGATAGCTAGGCGGACAAAATGTCTGGCATGCTCGAGGATCTCGATGTCGTCAAATGCCTTGTTCGTCGTTGGTCTATTTGCATACAAGAAACAGTTAGTTACAAGTCTCAGATCAACCCAGATATCACTCAACAAGACGTCAGAAAGAAAACTTACGTGGGGTGACGGGCATAGAACTGCTGGACGACATGAAAGCCCCTCCAGAACTCGGATCGAGAAAGGTTCCAACCATGGCCAAAGAACGACGAGTACATCAACTGGATATCCTTGAACGCCGAACGAGTCTGTTCTGAAAAGAAGTTGATCTTTGCCTTCTTGCTCTTGGCATGGGTTGCCTGGGAGTTGCGGAGGTACATGTCCTTCTTGGCTTGGTCTCCGTTCGCCATGATGTTGGCCATCATGTCCTCCTCCTTATCCCGATCTGACTGTGTCAGATGCTCGCCCTTGACTCCTTGACCGATGCTCTGTTGGCGTTGTTCCTGTTGTTGATTGCGCTCGTCATCGTCTGCGTCATCGACAAAGCCGTCGCTATACTGAAGCGCGTCCCAGTTGGAGATAGTCGTCGCCTGAGGAAAGCTGTTGTCGGTGAGCCACTGGAATGACGTCTCGGGAGATCCGGGCGATCCAGGCGTCTGAGTGAATGTGGGCGACAAGGGCGGCGAAATCGGGGATCCAACCGTTGGGTCTCCGCCATTCCTGTGCAGAGACAAGTTGGGTGGCGACGAAGGGGTCCTCAAGACCCTTGTGGGGCCGTCGATTGGGATGGGTCTTGGAAGAGACGAGATGGCTGGGGAGTCGATACTGCTGTTGGTAGAGTTCCTGACACCCTCGGGCGGGAATGTGTCCGAAGTAGTGCTGCTACATGAGACATGGTTGACGCCCAAGGTTGAAGACTCGTCCGAATGGATTGAGTCCAGGGACTGATTCGACTTTGTCCTGGACTTTTGCGAGAGAGTCCTGTGAAGTCCGCCTTGGTCGCTTGATTCGGAAATGGATGCATTGCTTATGCTGGACGCCGCCTGTTGCTGCTGCTGAGTAGGTCCCTTTCCGAGATGGGCAAAGGCAGGGTTCTTAGTCTGATCCTGGAAATGCAGAGTTGCTTGGACGGTGACCATACCGACCTCGACTCCGTTCATGGCGTTCTGAGCAAACGAATTTGCGCGAGCTGGTCGTTGACGAACAGGAGGTGTAGGCACCGCGATATCCTGTCCAGTCTCTGATCCCTTGGTAAAAACATTCTCGTCGTCTGAATGGTGATGTTGGTGGCGACTGGATCCGAACATGGAATAAGAACCATGCTTGTAGAGCGGCAAGTCCATCTCAAAGATATCATCATGCTTCTGACAGAAAGCAGCAGCATCAAACCGAGTCGAGAGGACAGACTGTTCTGGTTCTGTGTTATCATCGCCATCGTTGTCATAGGCGTTTCCGACCTTCTTTTGGAGGTCGCGAAGAGGCAAGTAGGCGCGACCGATTTTGGCGTTCTGACCAAAGGCGGCCTTTTTGTAGTCGTAGACATCGATCTTGAGGATGTCAAATGTCATGTTATGGACGGTGGCGACAAAGTCGAAGGATTGGTGGGTATGGTCGCCGAGGTTCTTTGCGGCCTTTGTGGACTGGGAGATGTTTTGGAGCTTCATGGTGACTTGGGTTTTGTCGTGGAAGCCCCGGCACGAGACACTTCGGAGTCGGAAAGATATGTATTCTATTAGGAGATAGATTGTGGAAGGAGTTGAAGCGGAGGAAAAGGGAGCGTGTTTCGAACGATTAGCTGACTGCATTGGTATGGGACCATAGCAAGACGACATGGGTGTCAATGGATATTAGTCGAATGTGATGGGTTACCTGGGACCACTGTAAGGTTTGAGACCGACAACAGGTGGTGGCAAAATGGACGCAGTTTGCAGTCGAAAACGACAATAGAAGACGTGTTGAGTGAGTCGGGCCGAAATGACACATAAAAAGCCTTCATTCATTCATTCATCCATGTGCACTCGTTCACAGTCACCAAGACTTACGCTCGAGGACGAGGCCGGTGTTGGTGGCATGGGTCATGAAGGAGGCGCCACTGTCTAACCGCGGAAGGCTGCTGGTCTGCGCACGGACTTTTCATCCAAAAAAAAAAAAAAAAGTTGACAAAGCGGGTTTACTTTTGGAACAAGGTGTATTGAAATGGGACAACCACAGTTTAACAAGTTGCAGTGGCCTCTTCTTTGTTGCATCGCTCGAAAGAAAGGAAAAGGAGAGGGACCGAGCACTGGTACGTGTTATGGCGTGTGTTTTATGCGTGACATTGTTGTTGGCGTTGGTGGGTGAATCGTTTGTGTGTATTGTTGTCGATTATAGACAGGCTGCTGACTTTTGTACATACTGTTGCTGTTGCTGTTGTTGTTATTGGCACCCTCACTTCTGCTTTTTTACCGAGGTGTCAATACCACTTGTTGTTGTTGTCGTCGTCTGCCTGTCCCATGCCAACCGAGGGAATAAGAGTAAGCAATAATGACGGATGATGAATCAAGATACCATCCCACCACTTACTACCACCACCACCTCTTCCCCGTCCTCCTTCCTCCACCAGCCAGTCATTTCATTCACACCGAATGACCGGCTCAAGGGTTCGATTTGATCGAGTGGAGATGAACGTACCATTGCTACTCTTACTGCTGTTGGGACTGAGGCCTTTGGACACCTTGAACGATTGAATGTCAACACCCTCGGTAAGAATAGTCTCGGTGCGGATGGTCTGATCCGCAGGCACAGCCGAGAGGGACACGAGCGCAGGCATTGTTGTGTATTCCGTCGTCATCGTATAGGGGTGGTAGGATAGTTGGAGGTGGAGGAAAGGTGCTGGTGGTGAAAGGGCGAAGGATGGAAAGGGAGAGGCGCGATTGGGTATCGGGGGGAGTGAGAGAAGGGTAGAAGTGGAGGAGAGCGAGTAAGGGAATGAGGGAGTGAATGTGGAATGAATGGAGAGGCTATGAATGTAAGTATGAATGAATGAATGAATGAATGAATGGAGGAGAGAGTGTCGGCGGGGGCGAGTGAGCGAAGAAGAAGAGAAGAATCAAGTTTTTGCGTTAGTTTTGAGACGACAAAAAGCGCATCGATCGGGGAGATGATTTAGCCAGTGGAAACCACCGAGGGCAGCGGGACAATGGGGACTAGAAAGAGCCGGGTAGGAGATAGGAGAAGTGACTGAGATTCGAGACACTAGGCATTATTCACTCACAAAGATATATAATATGGCCAATGGGTATCTGTGTGTGCTTGCTATTCAGCAAATGTAGGAAGAGAAGGGGTGGCGAGGATGAAAAAAAAAGGAAGGGGGGTGTGGGTGTCTTTATATATGTCCAAGCAGGTGGCCATGCCAATGAAAGTGGGGGCTAAAGAAGAATAGAAGAATGGTTGCTCACAAGGGCATTCATTCATTCCATTCATTCAACAACTCAAACTAATTCGATACAGTACATCCATCGACATACAACAACAACAACACAGGTCAAGAACACATAAACAAAACAACAGCAACCAACCAAGCAACCAACCAGGCTAATTTCTTAGCCTGGCACATGAAGAAACAAAAACAGACCAAAACAAAAAGGAAAGAACACAACCGTTGCGTGCATCTGTCGTCTGTTCGTGCTCTCTCTCCTCTCCCTCTCTCTTTCTACTTTCTCCTCCACACATGCACAAACACTCGCTCTACTCCAACCAGTCCCCCGCTCACTGCTCTCAACCTTTTTTCTTGTCTTTTTCGTTCTTGCAAGCACACCCCTGTCTCTCTTCCTCTTCTTCTTTTCTTGTGTCAACTTCTTCCCAACCCAACCCAACCCACACATCCACCCACAAACCAAGCAAAGAAGCAAGTGCAAATATGCAAATGGCCCTCGCTCCAATCAACTCTATTTGCATGTCCGGTGAGTGGGGGACGATGGTGAACGAGAGACACTGTGGCATGAGCACATTCTCCCTCGCGCTTACTTCTTTAATGCTCAGCATTTTTTCCCTCTCTTCATCCCTCTACCATTGCATAGGGTCATCACCATTCACTGTCGATAAATTGCACTGCAGTCGATCGCTGTATACACGTTGAATAAAGAAAGGGTGCCCACTTTGGTCCTCGGGGGTAATTGAATGACAAACCCCCATTAGAGAAGAAGAACGACATCCTGAGTAAGCGTATCTATCGGTCCGACAGTGCTATTCGCTCGGTTCATACATGATTTCGCGGTTGAAAAGCAAGTAAGAAACAAGAAAGTTGGCAAAGAGGTGTGCTTCTCCTCTCGAGTTTAGAAGGAGGAGAAGCAATGGCTTTGTGCGACCTAGGCTTGTTGGCACATTGGGCAATGAACCTTCTTTTTACTATCGCAGATGGATGTTCAAATCATGTATGTCGAGTCGAGTACATGTTTGAGTGCACAGAGAATGAAAATGGCGGGCGGCACCCATGTGCAAATAAAAGCAGAGCTCGTTATCTTTAGGCGTTATTTGCATAGTCGAGGGAAAAGGTGAGAGGAAGAAGACATTGGGGATGATCCTTGGCGCTGGTGAGATTGCGTTTGTAATGCTGGCTATTTTTCCTTTGGTAGCTACGGTCCTCTTGACGTTTGCTGTTGTGTTGGGGTTGCAAGTTGTTAAGAAACGATGTCATGGAAGCAGGCCATGAGCCGATGTAAATAGCAAATCGAAGACGTCAATAGTTAGGCAATGGCTATCTGCAACCTCATTAATTTGGTGTGTACATGTGCACAGAGGGCTTACTCTTGCTCCAATCGACAGCCAGACCGCAACTCCCAGACAAGGAGTGGACATACTCGTGGGGTGGGATGAGGGGATACGAACGTATTTTCCGTAACGCTTTAGGCGGGCGTGTTCTCTCATAGTATTATTGATGGTAGATTATTATTTTCCTTCTCCACATGCGCGTGCCTCTTTGTCTCCAAGGTGGAGGTGGGGCGGAGGAAAGAAAAAGTGCGTAAAAATAAATAATGCGGCGGCGGCGATAAGAGAGCGCGGCTGTTCTTTTCCATTTCTTGATTTCTGCAGTGTGTTAGTGAGTGCGAACATGTGTGTGAGTGTAGCATGTGTGCAAGGTTCGCGTCTATTTCATTGACTGAGGAAGATAAGCCACCTGAATAAAGGGTCAAACGAATTAGTCCAACAAGGGTCAAATGTCGATTTCATTTTTCTCTTCTCTTCTCTCTCTCTCTCTCTCTCTCTCTCTCTCTCACGTACAAATACGCATACTCAACGACACTCAACAAGAACAAGGACAAGAGCAACAAGCACAAACACCAAGGATGAGCAAATCAAGAACAGGAACAACAACCAAAAAGACAACAGAGGGAGTCCCTGATGCATACTACAACGACCTCGTCGCAACCTTCCAACTCCATAGCGCCAAGGAAACAGACACACTTTCGCTCCACAGCCTGCAGCGAGCCATGCGCACCCTCGGATTCGACGCCTCCATCGACGACCTTCTCGAGATTGTCGCTAATACCCCTACTCTCAGCATGCACAAGGGGAAGAAAAACAGGGAAAAGGCGAGGAGATCCAAGGGCAAAGGGACATCAACAGGAACATCGAGTCGGGCAAGAAAGAGTTCGTCAGGACGGACGGGACAGAAGTCCAAATATGTCGATTCCGATGACGGCGAGTCGGGTGGCGATGATGATGAGGAGGAAGAAGATGATGAAGATGAATATGGCGTTGATGGGGAAGAGTACTACTTTACTCTGCAGGACTTTATCTCTCTTATGGGACCCAGCGAGGTGGGTATCTATTTCTCAGCCTTTTCCTTGAGTCGAATGTGGATTTGTTCTTTTTGTCAGAAAGAAAGAAAGAAAGAAAAAAAGCACGACACTTACGTCTCGTTTGCCTTTGCCATAACAATGACAAACATAATAGGAGGAACATGCGCAGGATGAGATATCGCGAGTGTTCCAGCTGTTCGATACACAGGGCAAGGGAAGTATCCGAGTGGAGGATTTACGGCGGATTGCATCAGAGCTGGGGATACTGATGAAGGAGCAGGAGTTGCAGGAGATGATTGAGGAAGGCGACCGGGATGGCGATGGAGGGGTGACTGAGCAAGAGTTCTCACGGATTATGAAGAAAGTTGGTTTTTAGGATAGTATTCGCCTTTTCGTTATGATGATCAAAGCCGTGAATGTTGTGCGTGACCCATGCGATGCGATGCCATGCCATGCCAGGTTTGCCAGGAAATAAATTTTCCAAAATCGATATCGCGACCCCCCTCTCCCTTTCCTTTTTTTCTTTGTTCGCTCTCCCTCTCTCCTTCCCCACCGCACACACCAACAAGCTCAATTGCAACCCAAAAACCAACTACCAAAACAACCAACCCAACCCACCCCATGGCTGCCACAAGACCAGCGCCCATCGCGCTCACCGACAACGTCCTCAGACCCGACAAGGGCGGTTCCGCTGGAAAGGCCATCAAAGTCCGCACAAACTTCTTTGCCATCAAGAAGGTAGCTTCTTCCCCCCTTTCACTTCTCCTAATTAGTAAACCGCTTTTCTTTTTGGCTACTTTTCCAACAACGAATAACACAACTTTATTATTCCCTTCCTTACGCGACCATTATAGCTCCAGGTCGACACCATTTACCACTACGATGTGACCATCTCTCCCGAGATCCCTGCGGACAAAGCCCGTCAGGTAATTCTTTTTATTTTACAACGGGAGAAAAGGCGAGCTACAGACACATGGAACGAAAGACAGCCTGTTCGATAAGAGGATGTGACGCAGTCAAAATAATGTGCACCATGTACTTCCCATACACATATAAGAACGCCAAGAGGACACAAGAACCATGGTTATCCATACGAAGAAGCAAAGGGAGCAAAGAAGCCATACGAGCCATGTGCATCCATACAAGGAAGCCAAGAGAAAACAAGAAGAATATTGGAATCATGTTCGCCCATACAAGGAAGACGACAAGACAAAAAAGACATACGCACCATGTACACCCCATACAAGGACCAGGACCCAAAAAAAATAGACACACCATTCTTACACGAATAACAAGAGAATAGAAAGAAAAAGACACATGATCAATACACTAACAATACCACACATTGCAACACTACTATAACTGTAGCTGTGGAAGGTGATCGAGTCAACCTTCCCCGAGTTGGCAAAGAACAAGACCGTGTTCGATGGCAGATGCAACGCGTACGCCGCTCAGGAAATGACCGTCGATAAGCTCACCCGCAAGGTTGAGCTGCCCGATGGTGGCCGTCCTCCCGCCCCTGCTGCTGCTCCTGCTGCTGCCCCTGCCAAGCAAGGCGGACAAGGTGGTGCCAAGGGTGGAAAGGGCGGAAAAGGCGGAAAGGGTGGCGCCAAGGGCGGTGCTGCCCCAGCTTCTGCCCCTGCCCCTGCCCCTGCCCCTGCTCCCCAGCCTGGCGGTCCCCCAGCCAAGAACAGGAACGAGTTCACGGTCAAGATCACCAAGGCCGCCGTCATCGACCTCGAAGAGCTCCACCGTTTCCTTCGCCGCGAGGGTCCCATAACCCCAGGCTGTCTCACAGCCATCCAAGCCTTGAACATTGTCATGTCGCACAAACTGTTCTCCGAGATGGTCAGCGTCGGTCGATCAGCCTTTACCCCTAACAACGCCCAGAATCTTGGCGGCGGTATTGAAAAGTGGGACGGAATCTTTCAGTCTGTCCGTCCCGGTCAAGGAAAGCTCTATGCCAACATCGACGTGGCCAACACCGCGTTCATCAAGGGAGGAAACGCTGCCGAGTTGGTCGCCGAGATCAAGAATGTTCGTAGCATTGACGATTTCCGTGGTGCCCGCAAGCTCCAGAAGCGCGACATCCAGGAACTGACCAAGCACTTCAAGGGTTGCTCCTTCACCGTCAACCACCGTGGCGGAGACTTCAAGAAGAAGTAAGACCTATTAACAGCCTGTTCTCTATGATTCAAATGCTTTTTTTTCGATGTTCAAGTGCTGACTCCGGTTTTTGTTATTTGGCGCCAAATTAATTGTTTTTAGGTTCAAGGTCTCGGAGATCAGCCTGCAGGGTGCTGAGGGCATCACCTTCACCCAGGAGCTGAACAACGGCACAACCAAGAAGGTCACCATCCCCCAGTACTATGCCGCCGCCTACAACCTTAAACTTCGTTTCCCGTTCTTACCCTGCTTTGGAGTCAAGGGTCGCGACAAGCAGACCATGTACTTTCCTCTTGAAGTCTGCAACATTGTTTCTGGAAGACGCTACACCAGACGTGTACGTGTTTGCGATGAATGGGTTCCTTCTACTTGCTTATGATCTGCTGGTGGCCCATAGCACACTAATGCTAACTGCCTTGATAACATCATTCTATTCCTACCGACAGCTAAACGAACTCCAAACTGCAGAGATGATCAAGGGAACTTGCATCGCCCCTGACCAGCGTGCCGCCAAGATCCAGGCCAGCTTCCCCGTCCTCGATTTCGAGCACAACGAGTACCTCAAGGGCTTCCAGATGGAAATCTCCAAGGAGATGCAGGTCGTCCCCGCACGTGTCCTGCCTCCTCCTCAGGTCGAGTACAGGAACAATGTCACTTTGACCCCGCAGTTTGGAGGATGGCAGCTGAACCCTTCCCGCAAGATGGTTCAAGGTGCTACTCTCTCGTCTTGGGGAGTTCTCATCTTTGAGAACGAGCACCGCCTTCGCAGGCCTGAGGTCGACAATTTCATCCGCGAGCTGACCGGGACTCTGTCTGAGAACGGTATGATAGTACCCATGAGAACGCCTCCAGTCATGTACGCGCAGCCAGGAAACGTCGAGCGCAATGTGGAGTCTATGTGGACCACCATTGGCCAAGCTTGCAATGCTCCTCCCCAGATGATTTTGGTCGTTTTGCCTTCGGTGTGCCAAACGTACTCGGTCATCAAGACCTACTGCGAGACCACACATAAAACTGGTGTCATGACCCAATGTGTTCTCTCCAAGAAGGTATCTCGCCCCAGCAAGCAATACTGTGGCATGCTTGGATTGAAGATCAACTCCAAGCTCGGAGGCATCAACAGTACGCTGTCCAAGGCGTCGATTCCTTTCCTCAACCAAGCACCCACCATGATCATCGGAGCTGACGTGACCCATCCTGGTCCGGGTGAGAACCGGCCTTCAGTCGTCGCTGTGGTTGCCTCCATGGATCAATTTGCCTTCAAGTACTCTGGACGAATCAAAGTCCAGGCTAGTGGCGTTGAGGTCATTGATGGCCTCAAATTTTTAGTCTACCAGTTACTTGTCGCGTTCTCGGAGAAGAACAAGACGTTCCCCAAGAGAATCTTGTTCTACCGCGACGGAGTTTCCGAAGGCCAGTATGCCCAAGTTATGGAAACCGAGGTGACAGCTGTTAAGGAGGCCGTCGAACACGTCAACAGTAAGCTCATTCGCAAATATTATTTTGTGGTTCTTTATCCAGAGTTCATTACCTTTTATTCATGATGCTAAACATTTGCTCTTTTATGTGTTTATGCAGGCTCTGTGAAGTTCAACCAGCCCTACAGGCCAACACTGACCTTCTGTGTTGTCAAGAAACGTCACCATGCCCGCCTGTTCCCCATGAGCCCCAATGAAGCGGACCGATCTGGTAACTGTGTCGCCGGTACAGTCGTCGATTCTGTTATCACCCACCCTACGGAGTTTGACTTTTGTGAGTATCTATCCTCCATGCGTTACATACTTTGGTTCATACATGCTATCGCAATTATTTTTCTTGCATTCGCACTAACGCGACGACCCTACTTTATTGTTAATAATCACAGACTTGCAAAGCCACGGTGGATTGCAGGGAACGTCGCGCCCGACGTTGTACCACGTTTTGATGGACGAAAACAAGTTTACCTCGGATTCTCTTCAATCGTTGACCTACCGCCTATGCCACGTCTATGCCCGCTGCCCTAAGTCTGTCAGCATCGTTCCCTCGGTCTACTATGCTCACTTACTCGCCTACCGTGCTCGTCACTACCAGGGCGGCGACTTTTCTGACACTGCCAGCTCCATCAGCGGAAGTGACGCCGGCAACGCCCCTACCTTCACCACCTCGGTAAGACCTTGTTTTGTGTATTTTTTTCGTGGTGGTTTTTTTCGGGGGCTATGATCTGCATCGTTGACTGATGTTATCTTCTTGATGTTTGATACCACGATGTAGAATGCGCTCAAGAACTTGATGTACTTTGTCTAAGTCTCTGACGACAAGGACAGAGATCTGGACTGTGGCACCCTGCTATACATCTCTTTCAAGCGCCTCCAAATGGCAGGCGACTTTTACTGAAGCAACAACTACCAACAAAAAAACCAACAAAAGCACCAAAAAAATCAACATCTATCAGGATCGATAGTTTTCTTTTTCTCTCAACTTTTTTTTGTGGTGACGATACCGTACTTTTTTCCAGGAATGATATCTTAACGACGACAAACAAAGACAAAAGAACCAAGATGTCGATCTACCCCCACCAACCAAGCTGACCAAACATGCACGAGGAACTCTTTCTTTTTTGCGAGAGAACTGGATTTGCATTCTTTTTGCTCCTCCCGCCTCCGTTTATCAGTTTGTCATGACCTCCTTAACCCCCCCCCCCCAATAAAACCCAATGTTGCTGTTCCCTGTCAACAAACATCCGCCACCATGGCGATCACACAATGGAGGAGATAGCAGAGATAGCAATGACATTTATTCGGCGGTTGTATTTTCGCGTAGAAAGGGTGCCTTGCTCAGACGCGGACGACACGCGGCATCACAATCGTCAGGTGCACATGGGGCCATCCACTTCGGCATTCGCGATATGGTCTACCTGGGTGTGTGTCCCTAGCGTATTCGCTTCTGACCGCCATGACATATGTGTGGGTAGTTGCAGAAAAGAGACCCTCCACGAGGCAGGCGGGCATCACGACATGAAAGGACAAGGCCAGAACAAGTATGTTGGGCCGTGCCACGAAGACACTCCGCTCTAGGTTCTCTCTCTCTCTCTCTCTCTCTCTCTCTCTCTCTCTCTCTCTCTCTCTCTCTCTATGCTTGCAATGACCGGCTGAAGTCTTGGCAGGCGGCAGGCAACTCACAACCAGTATAGGACTTAAGACGAGTAGTGGTTTAGTATCGAACGATGAACTTTTATTTGTGGGGACACTGTGTTGAGCAAAAAAGTGGTTGAAATTGAGACAAAGTAGGTTATTGTATTGATTTGATGGATTGATTGATCCTATCATCAGACCTACGCCCTTCAAGGTCTTTTTTTTTGAAGAAGACGCAGCTTTTGCACAGCCGGGGAAGTCATTTATTCAAGGTTAATGACAAGCTGTGGGTGTGATGGTCAGTTAGGGTCCTGGTCAGTGGGCGTAATATATAACAAGAAGGGTGACCATGTGCATCTAAGGGCGGATGCCAAGGGTAGGTCATGTAAAAGAACAAAGAAAGAAAGAAAAAGGGAAGAATGGAAAAATGATGGGCGGAAGGGCAAAGTAAGGAAATGGAATGAATGAATCGGGCTTAGCTTGAAAGGAGGTGTTGGGCAGAGTAGTCGTGTGCTAGATAGGGCAGGTGCAGATGGTAGTAGGACCCTTTGATCTTTCGGGTCCATGAGAACTTCTTGGCGATCTTTGGGCGAGGGTAACTTTCTGTGCTAGTCAATAGAGGCTGAAAAAGGGATGAGAAGAGGAGAAGAGAAGAGTAGAAGAGAAGAGTAGAAGAGAAGAGAAGATTAGAAGAGAAGAGAAGGGAAGAGACGAGAAAAGAAATGACCGGATAAGTAAGTAGTAGTAAAAGAGAAGAAAAAGAAACGAAACACGAAACACCATAGGAAATAAAGAGAAGAGCAAAACAATAACGAAATATGACTGTTGAAAGAAGGGCACAAAGCAGAACAAACAACAAACAGCAACAACAACAGCCTACCGTGCGAATCAATGGGATGAATGGCTAATTGGGGATCGCCATTTTGGGGTAGGCTTGGAAACGGACATAATTGCATTCAAAGAATGCAGAGTGAGCAAACTGTCTCTTCTTGATGGTATCGATGTGGAGCATGAATGTGTATGTATGTGTTGAGGCGAGGCGTATTTTGCTGACAAAGGAAGGGGAGTAGAACAGAGAGAGAGAGAGTGAGAGAGAGAGTGAGAGAGAGATAGAGATGGATTCGGTGGCAAAAATTCAGGTACCGGGTCCTGTTTTTTCGATCGAACACACTGATTGATTGATGGACGTAGATACAGATGATGGTGATGTTGGATGTCGATGATGACGGATACAGGAGAGTATCTCTTATTGCCCTTGTATGAATCCTGCAGGACCCGCGGGGCGGGGAATGGAGTTGTGGCTCAACTGAGAGTGAATGCGATATATATATTCATCATCAACGAAAAGAGAGCACGCCAGTTTGTCATGGACATGGATGACCAACATGGATATGGATGAAACATCCTGGAAGGGAATAAGAGAGAGAGCTGTAAACCAGCTACCAAAAAGAAAGAAAGAAAAAAAAAAAAGGACAAGAGAGCCCTTTTTTCCCTTTCAATCTTGTTCTTCGTCTCAACTGGATGCGATCCATGGAGGGCTATGGATAAACAAGATGGGTTGCCCATATCACTACCCATCTGGAAGTCTTCTGTTAAGATTGTAGCTGCTTTGTCTTGCAACTTGGCTTGTCCTTCCATCTTCCTCCACAAGACAAGTGAAAAAAAAGAATAATTGTAATCCATCCAATTGTGATCGTGTGTCGGGCTGAGGGTACCAGAGTCGGGTACAGATAGTTCCATCCATCGGTATTACAGAAGGGCCGTTTTTCTGTCTGTCTGTGTTTGTCGTCATCGGAAGCAAAGAAAGTACTGTCCAGGTAGTAGCAATTAGTAGCTGGATGATGATAGGACGACTTGGCTATTCACTGCTTCGTTCATTGCAACAACCGCCTTTGGCAGTTCGTTGTCCGTTGCTTGTCTTGCTCCGCATGTTCCACTGTTCATAGGCCTGGCTGACTCCTGTGGCAATGAAAAAGGAACGACAACGGATGATGATCGACTGGCACAGGAATAGTAGTAATAATAATAGAATGGTGCGCCATCCATCCATCCATACGCCAGTACATATATATCGTGTGGCGATGTGTGTGTGTGTCCGGGTATATGGCGAATGGCCCTTTTCTGTTGTTATTGTTGTGTGTGTATCGGACATTCATATTTAATATTCTTCGCCACTTGGATTTCGTTTATTTTATTTTTTTGCTCTCTCTCTCTTTCTCTATTCTTTATCTTTTCTCTTCTCTTCTCTCTCCATCATCTCTTCCTTCGCCATCCTCCTCTCTCTCTCTCTCCCCCTCCTCTCTTCTGTCCAACCTCATCCACAACTCCCTTCTTTTATATATCCCCCTTCCTTCTTTCTCTCTCTCTCTCTCTCTTCTTTGTGGTTGAGCATCTCCTTCACTCCTCTCAAAACTCATCCCTCTCTCCCCTTCATTCACACCTCCCTTATACATATACATTTGCCACCACTTCACAGCAATGGAGTCTGCAAAGCTCGAGTCCCACCTCAACGACCACTTCAACCCCTACGATCTGCCTTCTTCTCCTACTGGTGGTCGTTACTCCCATGAAAATAGCGACAGCCATCTGAGCGACAACGACAGTCTGATCGACCAGCACATCTACCAGCATATCCACTCCACAACGACAAATGGCTTCTACCACGACCTTCTCCAAGAGAAACAACAGTTCTCCAACGAAGACTATGTCCAAAGGTTCTCTGAGGGTACCCAGACAACCCCCTCCCTCGAGTCCTCCCCACCTACACTTGTACAGCAACAACAACAGACCTCGTTCAACCAGAAGCCACTCCCGACCTGGCCGTCTGGCAACACCGCACGGTTTCAGACCCCTGCAGACCCGACTCAGGAACAATCGGTCCGCAAGACACGAATTCACCCCAACCCCCACCTCAGCCAATACCAACAGCAGCAACAACAGCCTCTCCTGCCCTCTCAACAATACCAACAGTACCAACAACAACGATCAAATCAACAACAGCAGATGCTCGATCCACATTCCAATTCGTTGCAGTCCTCATCTCCACCTTCACCTGCAGCTGCAGCTGCCGTCTCCATGTTGTCAAAGACTCCCATGACCCCGCCGAGGATATCGTCCCTCTCCCCGCCAACAAACAACAAGTCTGTAATCCAACAACAAAAGCCCCACTCCCCTCCCCCTTCCCCTCCCCAGCCCGCCTCACTCGACCACCCAAGATACAACAACTACAGCAACGGATACACTACCAGCAACAATGCCTTCCACCTCGAACCGTCCCCAACCCTCAGTTCCACAGAGACCTTCCCCTCCAACAACACCTACAAGTCTACCAACGTCTCCTCCCCCGCCTCCTCCATCTCCATCCCCACCACTAACTCTTCCTCTCCTCAACCCACCCCAGTCGACTATGCCCTGGCTGCCCTCTCTGCCAATCCTTCCCGCCCTTCGATTTCCTCAACCTCCTCGACCTCCAACAGCCACGCTGGTAGCCGCCCTCGACCCTCCAGCTATGCACCCATCAAGATTTCGGATGTTTCGTCCACACTCGCCAATATGTCGACTCTTGCAACCCTGCCAATACCCTCTGCCTCTGCCGCCTCGTCTGTACTTTCTTCCTCTACCCCACCTTCACCCATCAACCCTGCAGGTGCCTTCCTTCCTCCTCTCGTCACTACTCTGAAGCAGCAGCATCAATACATCCAGGAGGATCATTTGCAACAGCCACAACAGCCTGCGCCAAAGTCAGCGGCAGTTTTGGTCGAGTCTTGGTCAGAGCCATCGGTGAAACCCACCATGACCTTGGTGCCTACTTCAGGTGCTTCTGGAGCAGGAGGTGGATACAACATGTCTGGACCGTCCCATCACGGCCCACCCACACGTGCATCAACCATGGACTATCGCAAGCTCACGCACGGTTCTACGAACTTGGGCGATTCGCCTAGTTCATCGACTTCTCGACCCAACAACAGCCAACAGCAGCTCGACCCTCAAGCCGAAAGCTCTGCCCGTGCTCGCAGAAAGCAGTTGTATCGCCGCAACACCTACTCGGCTGAATTGGCCTCGTCCTCGTTCCCCCGCTCGGAGGATGAGATGGACATGGATGAGGTTGAGGACGCTCGACGCAGCAGGATGGATGCCTTAAAGAAGAGCAGCAGTCGACGCTTGTCGAAGCGCAAGAAGGATGACAATGATGACCGTGTCATGATCGGTACTCCTATCGGCGAGGATCACGTCAACTATGTCCTTATGTACAATATGTTGACCGGTATCCGCGTTAGTGTAAGTCCAACACCATAGACTCCTGTCTAAGGATCATATTTCAATGTTGACTTCACACAAGACTATGCAAAAAAAGGGGAGGAGAGCGGATAGAAGCGCGTTGTACTAATAACTTCAAAACAATTCGTTGTTTCGATACCTTATAGGTGTCTCGATGCCAAGCAAAGCTTCAGCGTCCCCTGGTGGACGAGGACTTTACTTCAGCCCACAAGTTGGCCTTTGACATGTAAGACAAACCGATGAATGCTATGTTTGGATCACCCTCTCTCCTTTTTATATTTATCTTGGCGACGTGATACTAATGACATACATTGTTCTGTTTTGAATAGTACTGGTAACGAGTTGACGCCGTCGTCCAAGTACGACTTCAAGTTCAAGGACTATGCACCCTGGGTCTTCCGTAACTTGCGCGAGGATTTCCACATCGATGCCTCTGATTACTTGGTAAGTCGACTCTTTTTTTTTTTCTTCTTTCTATTACGTCTAGAGCAATTGGAACAAAAAGTGGAATAGAGCGAGTGTGGCGGTTTGAAGAAAAAAGAACTCAATCAGGGCTCATCGACCGAAAAAGAGAGGACAATGGAACAGGGATCGGGTCCAAAAGATGTATTTCGACTCCAAAACACCCACAGAAAAACAGGGGCAAAAAAGGTTCTTCCGACAACAAGCATACAAAAGTGTGTGCGACCGACCACACATCCAATTGCATCATGAAGAACAAGATGTACCCTTCATCTTGTTCTGTAGTTCAGTGTGGTTGCGTATGTATACCTACTCTACAGCCAAGAAGCGTTCTATTTTTCGCAAGATTTCATTTCATGGGTCGCGGAAGAATATAAGGGAGCAGGGAGAGAGAGAGAGAGTGGAAAAAAAAAAGACTTGGATGGGACATGGGCGATTGAGAGCCCAGGATTCAATAGGAGTGAACACACACCATACACAAGCAGAGGAGAGACGGAGCCTGATTATAGATCGAATTTGGATGAGTGCGCATGCATGTGCAGCCCAAGGTTTAGCCCCGTTTCCAACGGTGGATATGAACACTGGGAGGTGGAAACGCAGGGGAACAGGGGAATAGAGGGAGATGATAAATGAAAAGTGGGGTGGTTTTCGCATACATCTCAAAAACTTGTTCTCAATGCAAATGATCCTAACCATCTACGTTTTCATTTCAATGTGGAATAGGTGTCGTTGACTAGCAAGTATATCCTGTCGGAATTAGGATCGCCTGGAAAGAGTGGCAGTTTCTTTTACTTCTCGCAGGACTATCGCTTCATCATTAAGACCATCCACCACGCCGAGCACAAGTTCATGCGCAAGATCCTCAAGGACTACTTCAACGTACGTTTTCGCTGCCTGTGTCTGTTTGCGCTCTGCTCGGTTTACTTTTATGTGGGTCCGCTATTAACACGTTCCATCTTTGTGGATTTTTAATATGCTGTAGCATGTGAAGCAAAACCCACATACGTTGCTTTGCCGATTCTTTGGACTGCATCGTGTCAAGTTGCCTCATGGACGCAAGATTCACTTTGTGGTCATGGGCAACGTCTTCCCTCCCAACAGGGATATCCACGAGACTTATGATCTGAAGGGCTCGACTCTGGGACGTGCTATCAGTGACGAGGAACTCAATAACAACCCTCGTGCTACCCAGAAGGATCTCAACTGGGTCAACCGTAACCGCAAGCTGGAGCTCGGACCGGAGAAGCGCCATTTGTTTGTGGAACAGACCAAGCGGGATGTGGAACTGTTGGCCAGACTCAATATTATGGACTACAGTTTGCTCATCGGTATCCATGACCTCGAACGTGGAAACAAGGATAACATTCGAGACAACACTCTCAAGGTCTTTCATGTAAGCCTCGTCCTGTACTCCTTTATGATAACAATGATACAGTATGTCTTGTTGAAGTCATCGCAAATACTAACTTGCTTATCTTTTCTTTTTGTGACAAATATAGCCGGATACGACGAAACAACTAGTGAGGGAACCGTCGCGTCGAGATAAGCGGGAGAGCAAGGTGAATGCGCTGAGAATGGCAGTGAAGGTGTCAGACCCACAGGCGCTCGGACCCTCGACACTACCGTCGGACTCCTTCTCGGAACGAAGACACTGTATCTTTTACGCGGACGACGGAGGTCTACTATCGACAAACGAACAGAATGTCCGGGGAGAGGATCTCTACTACCTCGGCATCATTGATATTCTGACACCTTACAACTATGTCAAGAAGGTTGAGCATTACTGGAAGGCGATGAGTCAGGACAAGCACGCGATCTCGTCTGTCAATCCGATTGAGTATGCGTCGCGATTCTTGAGCTTCATGATTCACGCCATCAAGGTCAATCATGATGTCCTCCCTGCCCTCGAAGCCAAAAGTCACCCCCACTCTGAGTAAACATGACCCTTTGTTGACTCTTTTGGATCGAGCGCATGGACGAAAACGACAGCCGACTGACAGCATCACAGGGTAATCATTCACAAGGACACCAAAAAAAACATACCGAGAACCAGTACGCCCTTCCACCGCAGAACTACACCTGCACCTTTCAACATAACAATCGACCGCCACATCGATTGATGACTTTTTTCATTGTTATGAATACCCCACCACCCCTTTTTATGACACCCTTTTCATTTTTATGACTACCCATCGTACCCTGGCTCTCAACATCACCCTCGTCCTTTGTCAGCTTTCAGTTTAGGTTTCTTCTTTGTTCATTCTCCCCTAGTTCTCTAGTCCTTTCACGACTCCCCTCTTTCCGCGCCCTTTTTTTTACCACCCACCCAATCCACATAGACCTTGTTTTTTTTGTTATATTTGTAGAGTAGACACACACCCACATTGACACATCCCCACGCATCCAGCCAAGGCTTTTTACAAGCTCACTCCTGTTCCTTCAAACTTCAAACACTCTTTTTTTTCCGAACATAAAAAGATTCTTGAAACAAAAATTCTTGACATGATGTGCTTTGTTTGATCAATGTGTGTGTTTGACCATTGACACATTGACATAGGCATTGAAAATTAATTAGGGGGTTTGATTATCGTTTTATGTATATTGTCTTTTCTGAAACGATGTGATTTGAAGGGAAAACAAGGAAGAGAAAAGTTTTAGATAGCGAGAGGAGCGTCAATGGTGCGGATACGAATACCAGCCTTAACACAGGTAGACTTGACATCCTCCAGAGGAACCTCATGTCTGTGGAAGATTCCCGCGGCCAAGGCGGCCTGAACACCCGTCTTCTCAAACACCTCCACGAAATGATCAGCGCATCCGGCACCGGAAGAGGCAATCACGGGGATGGAAATCGCAGAGCGGACGTCTTGGATCAAAGCCAGGTCGTAACCTTGCTTCATTCCATCTTGGTCCATTGAGTTCAGGAGGATCTCACCGGCGCCAAGGGCTTGGCATGCGACGACGAGTTGACGGACGTCCATGTCGCGGCCTTCGCGGCCGCCGCTGACGGTGCATTGGTACCAGCAGTACTTTTCGCCGTTGGGTCCGAGTTGGGCGGGTTGGATGACGTGGTGGGTGGGAGCGTCGGCGGGGGAGTTGACGTAGACCTTTTTGGGGTCGACAGAAATGACGACTGCTTGGGATCCATAAGCGTGGGCGATAGTTTCAATGGCGCTGGTTCCGTCGCCACGGCCACCGAGGGCGTAATACTTCTCGGCGGCATAGACGGCATCAGAGCCGATAGAGACTTTGTCGGCACCGTTTCGGAAGTATTCTCCTGCGACTTCGAGGGCTGGGTGGATTTTGCCATCGGGGTCGACGACGTCCTTGATGCCGCCTCCGATGGTGAGTGGGACAAAGACGGTTTCGGAGGTCCGACGGAGGACTTCGAGCATGGGGAGGTCGAGGAGGGGGCAGTTCCTGAAGGAGGTGATGTTGAGGAATGTGATCTCGTCTGCGCCTTCTTCAAAGTACCGACGGGCGAGTTCGACGGGCTTTCCAAGGTTGCGGACGTCTCCCTGCTCCTGGCCGTCAGTGGATTGTTCGCGGACGTCGTATTGATCACCCTTGGTGACGACGAGGTCTCCCTGATCGTTGGCGCGGACGTCCAAGCAAGCGACGATACGTTTCGTGAACTGGTCCTGAGTGGGCTCAGGGACGAAGGTAGGCGCCAAGATCGACAATCCACCACCGGGAGCCAAAGTCGCAGCTTGAATCAAAGCAGCATCGCCCTCAGCACCAACAGCCGCATCACCATCCAAGAACGCCTTCAACACATTCACACCGGCGAATCCAGACTTTTCAGGGTGGAACTGTGTGCAGAAAATGTTTCCTCTCTTGACGGAAGAAATAAAGACCTCTCCACCGGATCCCTCTCCACCATACTGTGTCGTCGTCAGACACCATTCCTTAGCCTCCTGAGAACCCTCAATAAAGGGCACCGCGAACGAATGGACGAAATAATAAGCCCTCCCTTCCTCCAACCCACATCCCTTGGCCCTCTCCTCTCCCTGGATCGTCCGTGCAGTATTCCACCCCATATGGGGCACAGCCTTCTGGGTTGAATCGAACAAACGAACTCGACCGGGGATGACACCAAGTCCAGGGACATCCGGACTCTCGTCAGATCCCTCAAAGAGGGATTGCATACCGACACAGATGCCCATGAAGGGTTTGTTGAGGGACAGGTATTGTTTGAGGGGTTCGGCGTAGCCTTTGGAGTGGAGGCTTTGCATTGCGGACCCGAATGCTCCTACTCCTGGGAAGATCAGTTTCTATTGTTTGTTGGAAGTGGGGTGGGTTGTAAGTAAGAAGGGGAGGAGTAAGAGGGGGGGGGGGGTTAGGTATATGTTGGATTCCATGTGGTAGATCCCGCAATTAAGAGTAGTTTTTATTTTGTTGTGAAATACCAAAAAAATAATTCCCCGAACGAAACAAAGCAGAAACAGAACGCAAAAGCAGATAGATGGATATCGATCAAATAAAATAAAATAAAAACAAGCTCAGAACAAACACAAAGAAGAAAACAGCAGCAATAAAAAAAAAAAGAGGACGTACGTCGGCTTTGAGAATGTCAGAGGGGTCCTTGACGTAGGTGATGTCGTGGCCGAGCTTCTTCACGGCGTTGACCAGACTCCGGACGTTTCCTGCGCCATAGTCGAGCAAGTATGTTCCTGTCATTTTCCGTTTGTTTGTTTGTTTGTTGGTTGGTTGGTTGGTTGTAAGACGGTGAGTGGGTATGAGCTCGAGGGTATGTATGCAAGAAGGAGAGGAGCGTGTGAATGCAAGAACAGAGAGTGGGAATGGAAGGAATGCAATGGAGAAGAGGGATAGAAAAAAAGGAAGAGAGAGTGTAGAAAAGGTCTTATCAATCCTCTTCCCCCTCGTTCATTTATATTTTTTTTGAGCAGTCAGAGTCAGAGAACACAAAATAACCTGCCACCTCAGCTTGAGTCACCATCATTTTTGCTACTTTGTATCTAACCCCCGCTCATGTCCACACAGGGGTGCCTGCCCCACAGGGCCACAGGGCAACAACAAGGAGAATTATCCTTACAACTCATTCTGCAGTCATAGATCCATTGGAGAGTAACAGGACGTCAATTGAGGCTCCGGCATCTGTCCCTTCCTTTCTCTTCACTCCCTGTTTGGCCGTTTTGGATGAACCCACTCTACTTCTCCACGACCTTCAAGCAAACAACGCAAACGAAAACAATAAAGAAAAAAAGTACAGATCATTATTATTAGGTTGTAATAGCAGCTATGTTAAAAAACTGTGGTTACTTCTATGCTCTTGATGCTCCCAAGAACACTCTCTCCAATCTCCTGCGTCTAACCAACCTATCAACCTACCAACCGTGCAAGTGCCGCCGGAGGAGGACAGACAAGTACATGATAACACCCAACCCGAGCGCCAAAAAGCCCCATCTCAACATATGACCCACAACCGTCGTCAGCTTCTTTCCGAACCATCTCTTGGACTTCCAGTTCGGGTCGATGCCATAAGGGTTGGGCTCGTGATGTGCCCAGGCCAGGTTGTGGGGGTGCAGGGTGAACAGTGCTGAGACGGGCTTGTGGTCTGACGAGAGGTAGTGTGGGTGTGAGGTGTAGTAGTGGATCTGCAACGGGCTCGTGCAGGGTTCGCCCAAAGGAGAAGATGTTGTGGGAGACTGGGAGAGACCGACGGTTGCTTGTTGGAGATGGCTGCTGCTGTTTCTGGAGGTGATGCTGGTCAGCGTCTGGTTGGACCTGGCAGTCGTAAGAGGCTGCTGCTGTCGATAGTTGTCGCCAGTTCCGAGTGGGGATTGGAACAAGCCCGCGGTCACGGGTCCTCTGGAAGGTCCACTACCTCGCTTGCTCAGACTCGAGAATGCACCTCTTGACTTGGACCCGCTCCAGGAACCCAACGACGATGCCATGGAGCTATAGTTTCCTGACTGAATCCTGGTATTGGGCGACGACTCTAATGGCAAAGTACCGTGGCCCAACTCCCTCGAATGCTCATCCCACGCATCCACCTCATCCTCGTGGGCCTCATCAGCACCGCTCGCATCCTTGGGTTTTACAAACCAAAGTACACGGTCCGTCCATGCAGGAACCCGTTTCGAGATATCATACTCTGTCGCCGACCCCATCTTGCACTTGTAAGTCGGTCCAAACGCCAACGGAGCCTCATGGAACCCCTTGAACACATTCAGGGTCTTGCGCTGGGCCGAGAGTTGGTCATGGCTGTAGAGTTGTCGCAACTGGCCCGCCTTGATCGCATGGACAATCTCGCTAGCCGTCAGGTCGGGCATAGTTGATTGGGAAAGGAGGTCCTCGGTCGATTGAGATTTCTGCTTGTTCTTTTTCTTGTAGGAGGACAGGGAGCCGTCGGATTGGGCCAAGTCCAGACGGTAGTTGAGGTCGCCCGTCCAAAAGATGTAGTCGCATGAGAAAATGCTCTCCTCCCAGACCACGGCTTTCTTCCCGTCTTTGTCGCTGTGGCTATGACGACGGTTATGGCGGCGATGGTGATGATGATGTCCTCCTTTGCTGGAGTTTTTTCCTGACTCCTTCTTGCTTCCTCCCAACAGAGGTTTCGAGTCGCTATCCGCCTGGTATAAATCATCCTCCGTCTGCAAATCCTCCAACGACTCGTACGCTCCACCTCCACCTGTAGTTGTCGCAGACGAGAGAGTAGCCATCGGGGAAGAACCAGCAGTCGAGAGTCGTTCCTGGTGCTCAAACAACAATCCTTCAACATGGTTATCCCTGTCGTCCAAAAAGACCATGCGCTGACAGATGGCCAGATAATCGTCGTTCCTCCGCTTGATCTTGTTCAGGTGCGCGCTCAGATGGGCGTTTATGAAACAGATATCGAAACTCGTCCTGTGATGCACCTCCGCGTTACTGTTGTTGTTGGCAGAGTTGTTGGAATCGTCCTCTGAGCCGAATTGAATACCGGTATAGGTCGTCGTCCCCGTGGCAGTGGTGGTGGTGGTGGTGGTGGTTGTTGTTGCTGTGGTTGTAGTGGTAGAGGACGAATACGAAGATCCCAAAGACGACGTCCCCGACACACTCGAAGACGGTAACCGGATAGACAGTTTGGTAGCAATAGCGCCCTTATTGCCCATCATAGCCGGTCCAGTACCAACAGAGGCATTCGAGATCCGTTCAACGAACTCGGTCATAGACCCATCCCTCGTCAAAACAAACAAAATCATCCCCACCTGCGCCGTCTGCGACACCAACGAGAACCTATATCCAGGACAAGTCCTATGCAAAGTACGAACAATCAGGTTGGCAAGGTCATCGATGCGGGTACGGATCTGGTAGGTGCCGTGGATGAATGCGTCGGGGTAGGGTACGAACTCCTGGAGTGCGACGGCGACGATATCTGGCATGATAGGGGGTGAGTTTGTCGTTGGTGTACTGTTAAAAGGTGTTGCGGTCGCAGCGGAGGCGGAAGAATGGGTGGGGCTGCTGGGCGGGGTCTCGGGGGTGAACGAGGACAGGGATGGGTGGGTTGCGAGCCAGTCTGAGAGGTCTTGCTCGATGGGCCGTTGGTTCATGTTGAAGGTCCCGATGAGGACCACAGGTGTCAGTTGTGCCATGGCTCTTTGTGTCGTTTTTGGGCGTCGGCGAAGAGAGTTGGTGAGAAGGACCGAAGGAAGGAGGGAGGTGGGTATATTATGGTTTGCGGGTTTGAGGACGAGGAGAAGACGAAGAGGGGGGAAGAAAGAAAAGGAGGTGGACTTGAAGGTGGAGGTGGGAGTGGAGGAGGGGGCAAATAACAAGGGATGGCAAAAAAAAGAAAAGAAAAGGAGGTAAGAAAGGGAAGCCGGAGGTAAAAAAGGGAAGCCAGGTGGAGGCGTTGTTTGTTGGCTGTTGCTAGCCTATGGAGAAAGGAGAAAGGGGTTGATGGGTGAGGTAATCGCCAATTACAGTTGGTGATAAAGTGCGGGTTATGGGGTTATGGAAAAACAACGACTAATTGACCAATGGATATCACATCTGACGGGTCAGAAGAGAGGAAAGTCCCAGTGCCAGTGGACTCTTGGACTGGATGTGGGAGTGGTGTATGTGTTTGCTTCTTGGTTGTGTGTAAAGATGGAAGCGGGTCAGTGGGTATGGGTGTGAAAAAAACACTCAAAGGCATGCAAGATGACTTCACCGATAGGCCCCAAGAATATGGTGCACGTGACTTGAAGGAGAGGCCTAGAAGGGTGGAAAGGGTCTGTTGCACAACAAAAGCAAAAAACAAACAAAACGAAAGCAAGCACATGTAGTAGGTAAGATACAACGCGTCGTTTTTGCTTTTCTTTGTTGACGTGTTACATACGATGTGGTAACTGATGTGGGTGATATGGATAGAGCTTGTTGGTTTCATATCGCCTGATCAATTTGAACAATTTGATCTTCTCGACGCGACTTTTTTTTGTCTGAATACGTTTCTGCTATTTCAACAAAAGGTATATCTTCGCCTCAGATCAAATGTGCCCTCACCGCCGCTGGCATAACGATCTCCGGTTCGGAGGAGATGCCAAAAAAAATTAATCAACGGACGGACGCCATAACGAAATGCCACACCGGGTATGGCATTCAGGTGACCTACTTCATCGCCATGATACAAATGCATCATACTCAGATTCCATTGCAGCGCGTCCGCACACCGATGCCTTTCATGCCTTTCGCTCCATGAAGCAAAACGTACATTTTCGCCAGACAGCAATTGCAACGCTCAAGATGGCCAGATTGGAATATGTCATCCTGCATGATGGCATCCATCAGGATAGCGGTTATCGCTTAACCCTTTTATTGATGCGCATATTCCTTGCTCGGTGAGGATATGTCAATTACTTATTGTCGGGTTGGAAATTAGACATACTACGAACACCACAAAGAGCGATAATGCCTGCTTAGATGGCTAAGTGAAAGACGTAAAAAAAACCATGCTACTGCAGCCCAAACGACAAAGGAGAATTCCATCCACTTTGCTATGTACACTAGAGCCGACAGTGTGTGAAATGATGGACATGAAACGAACGATCCTCTCGCTGCTATAATAGCTCGCAGTATTCTTCATCTCTGTACTTGTCCTCTCTTCCCCACCCTCTTTGGCTCTTTTTCCACACACTCCATCCGACTCTGTCCAGCTTCCCATCCTTTCACTCCACTTCTCAAGCATTGATCATGTACCCTGTGATCGTGCCTTTCCTCCTGCATTAATACCAACCCCCAACACTCCCATCTACCGTCCTTCATCTCCTACCACCACTTTCAGGCTCATACACATCATACACTGTATACACGCGCGCTTAAAACAAAGAAGAGAAGTAGCACCACAGCCCACATTTTTGCTCGCTCCATCTCTCCACCGGAGTACATTCCGTCCTACTCAATCTCCTGCTGCAGCCAGGGGTGTTCTGCTCTGTGGAAGAGGTCGAACAGGTAAGCAAATGGTAATGACCACGTTCTTGTATTCAGTCCTTAGAAACGAACCAAAAAAAAATCCCTCTTTGGCTCTTTGTGCACGGTGGGGGAACAAAAAAAAATAAAAAAATAGGAGAGTCTGGTTTTCTTTTCTGTCTAGAAAACCATAACAGATGGGCATGGTATGGTGCGTGCGTCATGAGGCATTCAGCCCCATAGCAATTGATTCCCTATCAATAAATGATCCAGTATCTTTCTGCGTTCATTTGACAAAGAGAGTGAGGAGATGAATCAATGGACCAAAGAGGAAGAATTTGAAGTGAATAAGGGAAAGGTATTGGGATATGGTAAGGACCATTGGGCTTTTGCCTTTTTTTTCCCCCTTGTATCAATCGAGTTTATTACTCTCTATCGCAACAGCCGACATTTTTTTTGGGCGGCATGGTATGTGAATCTGTGGGTGGAGTGGCTTTTCCTAAGGAGTGGAGAGTAAGGAGGGCTTTAATTGAGGGTGTTTTGGGGCATTGTTCTTTGTGTTTCTGGTTGACGGTTGTTTTTCCACGATGGGTGCTCGCCTTTCTACGGCTGTAGACCACGGTACGGAATGGGTGTCCGAAGGATATAAGGAACAAACAACGATTATAGAAACGAAAGAGAAGGGGCGTCATTTGATAGTGAAATAGGTTTTAATGACTTGCTTGACAAAGAAGAAAAGAAAAAAAAAACAAGTGAGAGTACGAATATGCGATCAACAAGGGGCAATGCCTCAAAGTGCCAACCGCCAAGACAAAACGCATGTCACAAAGAAACCAGCATGGACTATTGAACTTGAGAAGGGAATGGTGTAAGGGCACATGATGGGAGACATGATGTATGAGAGCCGATATTGAGCCGTTTGTACCTTGGAACTTGGCCCTTGCCTCTTTGTTATTTTTTTGAGATGATGAACGTGTGCGATGTGAAGCGTTAAATGGTCCTCTTCTTGTTCAATCGCGTGCTGTCGTTCGACTTGTATTGAGTTCGTCTATATGTTTGTGACAAGTCGACGAAAAGAATCACGAGAAGAAAGCAGAGTTACGCAGACACAGCCAGAGCGAGGAGAGGGAAGGAAAGGAAGGGAAGTAAAAGGGTGCGGACCAAGAGGAAGAAACGAGTGGATCTTACGCCATCCTCGAGTGAATTATTATTATCGAATTTTCTATTTACTCCTTCCACCCCCTTGCTTTTCGAAGGGAAATCATTCTCCCTCTCGTCTTCCCCCTCAATATTACTTCCATTCTCAACGTTCATTGCTTCCCATTTATTCCGCATGGCTTTCCGCCCCTTTCCTCTTCCTCCTCTTCCTCCTCCTCCTCACTCCCCTTCCCTTTTTCCTCTGTTTCAACAGCAAAGTTCCAAGGCGCCTTTGAAGCAAGGAGGTGACCCTGAGGTTGAGATATGCCCTTATTAGGAGTATTAGTTTTAGTTCTGAGGCTGATAATTGGGTAAAGGGAACCAAGGGAATCTCAGTGGACAGGGTCCTGGCCTGCTATGTTATTAGTCGATGAGATAAAGAAGATTTTTTCGCCCTCATGGACTTCTCTCCATCCCCTGTCGTTCTCCAAAGTTTAGATATCCTGGTCCTGACCTAGCCCGAAATTGGCCCCAGCGTCAAGATCAGGGGCAGAATGGCTAGGTAGCCGTTGGTTGACTCCGGATCTACCTGAGGTTGAAAAAGAGGAGTTGAATCAAGGAGAAAGTGAGTAGGAGTAAAAAAAGGGCAAAAGACGTTGTATGATGACGAATATGTAGATATGAGTGACTATGGCTTGCTGACTCCATCCGAGGAACAAAAAAAGGGAGCAAGCAAAGTAAACCTGAATTATTTTTTTGTCATATATTTTATATGTGTGTCTTGAATTGATTGCATTATTCATCCATTGCTCTGTCGTTATTGCGTTGCTTTTCACTCAAGCCCCATTTTTTCATGCTCTTGGCTATTTCTATATAATCAGCCAGTCAGCCATGGCTTGTGAATGACCTGTTTGATATGCTTGTCTGTTGTCTGTTGTGTGGTATTGATGGTGGTATGGAAAGCTGTGGCATGATACATGGCAATGGAAGGATATGGCGTGGTTGTATCAAGTACGCCTCTCAGAGCATATCCGGGTCAATACAGTCCGTGGCTCATTGTCCCATTGGATGGATCTACCTCAGTCTTTATTATCTCCTCCATTCATCGGAAGCCATTCACCGTTATTCAATGAGAGGAGGAGTGTCAATCCACAGCGGCAATGTATCAGTGTCCACACACCATGTTACTAACGCCCTCTTCTTTCTGTCGTCCTTCCTCTCCAAATATAAAGTCGACCATCTTCGCACTTTTTTCTTCTTTTCTTCCCCTCTCTCTCTCTCTTATTGTTCAATTGGCCTTCTCTTCTCTTATCTTCCTTGTTCGCCACTCGCATTCGTCTTTCCCTCTCAATTGATCATCCTCCATTCATTCACCCCACACTCTCCCTTCACTCCACTCACTCCATCCCTTCCTCTCTCCCCACCGCTCATTGACAATTGACGGATCATCGCGAATCGCAGATCGACATTCCACCACCCTATCTCTCTCTTCCTTCTCTTCCCCCCACTTCTCCCTTCTCTCTTCTTCCTCTCCTCTCTTTACTGCCTTTGTGCCATTGCCTCCTTCCCTCAACATTTCCTTTCACTCACCCTATCCTACCTTGACAAAGACGAAGATCTGAGGGCTCTCCTTATTTTTTCTCTTTGTTTACTTCCCTTTCATCTTTGCCTTAAATTCCCTGTACAGATCGAACCTTCATTCCTTCAGCGCACATACACAAAACAATGGCCGTCGACAGCAGTATACCACCTCATCAAACTCATGCTGCCAACACTCCTTCTTCTTCCTTTGCATCAACATCTGCATCGACACTGACACGCGAGCACCTCCAACAACACAACCAACGGCAACAACTTCACCATCATCGACCAGCACCCGTGCGACCCATCTGTACTGCTCTCCCTCGATACAACATCAATCAACAACAACAAGGCCTCCATGAGGACACTCCTACCACCGCTACTGCCAACAACAACGATGCGCTAGCAACTACAACAAGAGGGATCGACTTGAGTGAACCCGAGACTGCTGGCACTCTCTTCTCTCCCAACGGCGAAGGTGATCTGGTGTTTGCCAACAACAAAATCACATCGTCAAGAGAGTATACTGGATACCCTTCTCACAACCCCTTTGACGATCCATCATATCCTGTCGATAACAATGAGGCTGAGGCTCACAGACCAGTCGGCCCCTCCTCGCTGACACAACAACAACAACCAGAGTCCGATCAACAGCTCCCAGAACAACAACCATGGTCCAACGGTCGTCATCCTCTAACAAATCGCAAATGGCTCTCACTCTACACCCGCTTCTTCCGCCTCGACAACACTCCCGCAACACACTCTTCCCAGATCGTCCACTCGACTTGGATGTGGACAGGCGCACTGTTCTTGATCCGTTTCACGATGTTCTTGTACGCTTTCTCTGTGCTGTTGGCGGACATTCTTCTGACAGACCGGCCGCGGTACGAGTTTTGTTATCTGACTCAGTTGTCGTATCTTGGCTTGGTCTCCTACCTTGGCGTAAGTGTATTAGCAACTCTTTCTTGCATTCTTGGCGTTGAATATGTGCGATGATGGTGCGAATTGGTGGGATGGGCTATGTCAATTGGGTCCTCTTTCTTCGTTGAGTTTTCTCTTATCGGCGTTTGGTATATACTTTCTGGCTGTCAATTGTGTGCATGCATGCAGTTCTTTTCCCTTTGTTTTTTCTTGACTTTCCTTTTTCTATTTGTTTTTGTTCGTGATTGACATGGTACTCCGTTTCAAAGGCTCGAACAATTCAGCCCGAGCCAGTTTGAGGGCGTAATGCAACAATTATCCCTCTTCATCCTTTTTGTTCTTCCTCCCTCATTGTTTCGCCGTCCTTTCACGTAAAGGGTCCGTTGTTGCTATTTATTTTTTCACAATGTCTTATCGCATAGCATCTCCGGTTCATTTTTTTTGGCAGTTTGGTTTCTCAATGTGCAAAGGAGGGAAGAGGGAAGGGAGATCTGTAAATTCTACCTCGTGGTCGTGGACGTAGCTGAACAAGCGGAGGAGAGCACATCGCTTTCTGCGGAGTAATAAAACTGCGCACGATTTGTTATTCCTTTTTCCTTTTCCTTTTTCCTTTTTCCTTTTTCCATTGTGCGATGAATTACCCAGTGGTTGATTTTTTTCTTTTGCGCAATTTTTTCTAATCGTTGGAAGAAGGGGAACCGGTTTATGCGTCCATTGTGTCCATTGCGTCTGCGGCGTGTCTCATTCTTCCACTTCGTTCATCTTTTGTGTTTGTTGCGAATGGCGTCAATTGCACAAACTCGACGAAGCGGAACTAAAGAAAAAAAAACTCACCGATAACTTTTTCTCTTTCCTCTCCTCTTCTCACTCCCTCTGAAAACCACTGCATATTGACCATGTTCGACATAACGCAATCTCTTTCTCTTCAAATAGACGGTTTCATGGCACACTTTGAGCGAATGGCGCCGTGAGCGCGGTCTCCGAACAATCAAGTCTTCTTTCAACAGGCAAGACAGAGAAGCAGGTTCTTCCGCTGCGATGGCAGAGGCGATGGTGGTGACACGGACGACGACAATTGAGCGACAGCATTGGTTCCTGACAGATATGAACTTTTTCCTGTACCACATTATCTGCACCCTTCAGTAAGTCACTTCCCCTGTTGTGCATCGTTTGATTGTTCTTGAATGTGTTTGTTGTTTTATTCGCTCAAATGGAATGAAGGAAGAAAAGGGCGGAGGTGTGTGCGTTGAGGTGTTTGTGTGTATCACCCCCGTCCGTCGGAAGAGGAATAACCGTTGAACAGTGCGCAGAACACACACCCCCTTCGTCAGTCATCCCCTACACAACAACAACGAACAGAACAGAGTTCATTATTTTCCATTCCTCCTTCACTGCTCTCATCTCCAATCCAGCCTGTTCACCCACCCTCATTCTCTCTTATCGCCATGTGTGCTTTTTTGTCCCTCTTCTTTTTGTCTCCGATGGGAATTGCTTCAGCGGTTGAACCTTTTTGCCACCTTCTCTCATTCTCTCTCTCTCCCATGGCGCCATGATGTACAACACGTACCTCTACTCCAATACACTAACCCATCCAACTCCTCTCCCATCCCATCTCCATCTCCCTTCCCCCTACCATCTAGTGTGATCGTCCCACTCCTGTTCTGGGGCTACCTCTCCGTCCAAGGCGAAGCCCGATCAATGGCCATCGAGATGTCTATCAACGCCCTCTGGCGGAACTACTCCTTCCACGGCGGGGACCTCATCCTAGTCCTCTTGGAGATCTCCATCAACTCTATGCCCTTTATCCCCTCCCACATCTTCATCGTCTTCTTCATCTGTCTCTTGTACCTGGCCGAGGCACATCTGGTCCATTATGTGGATGGGTTTTGGATTTACCCGTTCTTGGATACGAGCGTAGGCCCGGTTTGGGTGGCGATGTATTTTGGCGTTGGGGTAGTTATTGCGGTGGCGTTTGGAGTGATGTATTACTTGCATCGAGGAAGGAATTGGTTGTTTGCTAGACAGGCTGCTGCCAAGGTCCTTGCTTCTGCTTCTGCTGTTGAGGCGGCGGCGATGCCTGAGATGGTCGTCGTGACTTCCTCAATCCCGACAGTTCGCCCAGGCACTCACCTCCAGACGACCTTCTCATCCACCACCCGACTCCCCTCAGGAACCGTCTTTATCTCAACAACCACTCCCACTCCAGTCAACTACGACCCTTCCTCGTCCTCATCCTCTCATACCCACAACAACCCAATCATGACCCACACAACTACCTCCACAGCACTCTTCCCAACCACCGCACCCCCCACCACCATCCTGACATCTGGCGCAACAGGACTCGAACAAATGCCCAAACCTCTCTCGATCCCGACCCAGATTCTGATACAGAGCCGTCGTCGCAGTTACAGTAACTGCTCCAACGACAGTACGACTTCTACACTTGTCGGATCGGATGAAGGGATGAACAAGAAGGACAAGGAGAAGGATTTAGAGGCCGCTAGCGGCTCGATCTCCGAGAGAACGGCGAGAAGACTGTCGATGAGTGGTGTGACGCAGCCCCAGGTGGAAGGCAGTGGGCTGAGGAAGGTTGAGGAGGAGGATGGCTATGAGACCGAAGGCGATCGGTAAAGGTTGTCCTTTTTCTTTATTGTCAATATCAACACGCTTGTTTATAGAAAAAAATTCCATGCCCAAACAACACCATTACCCTTGTAACATACAACATCCAACTGTAACAAAACAAACAATAAAGCAAACCCCCCCAATCTGCATCCCAAAAAAAAAAAAAAGACAGGTTTATTTGCGTCCTTTCCGTCGAGAATGGTTGCCAGAAGGCGGTGAAGTCTGTGGCGGTTGAACAACAACGCCCACAGTTCCATTCGCCAACTCATCCTTCAGGGAACTCGACTCAATCTTCTGCTGCGTGTCCAGATAAATCATCATATCCCGGACCTGATCCTGCAACTCCAGGATCTCTGCCTCCTTCTCCTGCAACTTTGTCCGGATACTGTCCTGGTTCGTCATCAATCCAATATTCATCTCCTTCTCTTCTTCATACTGCCTCTCCAGAGCCTGCAATCGCTCCTGCATCTTTTCCATCCGCTTCTCAGCCGCCTTCTTCTCCTTGACAAGCATAGGCAGTTTCTCCTTCTCAAGCGACTCGGCTATGATAGCCAACTCCCGATTCTTCTGATTCATCAACGACGCCTCCTGCTCCCAGTCCTTCGCTTCCTTGCCCAGCTGTGCAAGCTGCGCCGTCATGGCCGCCATCTGCGCATCAAAGTACAACCTCTGCGACTCAAGTTGAGATGTCAACAGATACGTGTACTCCAACCCAATCGCGTCCAACTTCTCCTGCCCGACCTGGACAGAATGCTGACTCGGCAACGTTCCATCGACCGCACTGGGCAACTCGACCAGTTTCCCATCAGCCTTGTTCTGGATCAACCGGTGCACATACCCATCGCCCGCATAATCCCACACGCGCTGACTCTCGAGCTCCAAAGCGTATAGGTGCGAGGTCTCGTAGTAATGGTGATAGGCGTGCTTCTCTTGGTACCGTCCACATCCGATATGACCACAGATCAGACAGATCCACAAGTTCTCGGTCGTCCCACAGATCGCACATACATTCTGGTCCTCCGACACCCCATCCGTCGTCGCCGATAGTCCTGTACCTGAAGCGGTGGTGTTTGAAGATCTGGTGGTGATGCTATTTTGACTGTATCGACAGACAGGACAGCTTCCTTCGCCCCACTTGCTGAGACAGTGGCAATGAAAAGTGTGTTGGCAGAGGATGGTGAGCAGACCTGTGACAGAGGAATCCATACGCTCCAGACAGACAGGGCACGTCGGCAGTTCTGCAAGTCCGTGATCTGACTGTAGCGAGGACATTGACAGACTGTTGTTGCTTCCATGTTGTTGGTGGTGAGGCGATCCTTCTCCTACTTTTGGCTGTGTTGCTGCTGTGGAAGATGAATGATGGCTCTGGAGGAATGGGTCGTCGTTGAGGAAGGGGAAAGCATAAGGTGGCATACTTCCTGCCCGGATCTCGATCGACTTTAGATGCACCACATGGCAAATTTCCGGCTATTAGAGTCGCGCAGGCAGAAGAGTAAGTGTTATTGTGTAAGTAGCTATTTCATGTCATATGAGGTGTAAGAGTTACAAAAAGGGGGGGTGCCATACCTCAAGGGAGCTGAATGCTTTGCCGTTGTAGCGTGTGTAGAACTCTGTGGTTGCCTCCTTGGTCCTGAACTTCATCAGCACCATGAATCGATTCGGCACCGAGTCACTATTAAAATGATCATAATTAATTTTCGTTCTTCCCAGAAATCATAGGATCCCATTAAAGTATCCAAAAAAAAAAAAAAAAAAAAAAAAAACGATAAACTTACCGGATGATGCGAAAGTGAGAGACGTTGGGACGGACAGGTCCAACAAAATTCAAAAAGTCGCCTGGCGAGAGGTAGCTAGGCACAGCCAGGACACAGACTGAGGTTCCTTGGTCCGGTTGAATAATCTGCGTGCCATGCTCGTGTGTTCCTGCCTCTGCTCCTGTTGCTACTACTGGTTGTGCAATCGCGTCGGTTGTCCCAGTCGATAGCGCCGCCGAGTAGGAGGTCGTTGTCGTGGTGGAACTTGCCTCTTGCTTGGTGGTGGTAGTAATCTCGCCGGTGGTGATCTCGTTAGTGTCTCTGTAGAGGCGCAGAATCCCGTGTACAGGCTCCGAGTCCATAAACCTCGTCGTTGCTGTGGTTACAGTCCCGGCAGTAGTAGTCGATGGTGGCATTTTCCTGTTCTTGGTAGTGCGGTTCTTGTTATTGCTGTTGTTTGCGGTAGCGGCTGTCGCGGAAATGTTGCCTGACTTCTCTTTGATGACAGGGGCAGAGGTTGCTGCGGGTTGGTCGAGAGAGGAGACAGAGATATGTCCGAACCTGTAGTCGTCTTTTGGGTGAGGGATCGTCAATGCTGTCGATGCCTCTTGCTTGTTATTCTGTTTCTGTGCTGAAGAATGCGAGGTGATAGAGGGTGTACTCTGAGGGGGCAGTTGTTGCTGGCGGTGTGTCTGTTGAGGAAAAGGTTTGAAGAGGGTCTGGAACCGTGCTGTCGGCTCTTGAGCAGGTCCGTGTCCTTGATGCTGTGACTTGGATGGTGCAGTGGAAGAAGTTAATGCTGCAGTTATTGAGTGAGAAGGGAGTTGATCTGGTTGCGGGGAGGGTGGCGATGGGTAGAGGTCCAGTTTGAGGTGGTAAGAGTTCATCTTTTCGACATTGTCCCTGGAGTTTGGAGGAGGAAGGGAAGTTGAAGAAGTGAATCACAAGGCACTCGCGCACCCCTTTTATGCGTTATACAGTTGGCTTTTTGTGAAAAAAAGTTCAGAGGAACATCGACCGCAGTCACATGGACATTTGCTTTGCTAATGCCACTCTTGCTTGCAAGAGTTCCTGCGGTTCCTTGTAGAAGGTGCCAGACACCAGCTTGTTAATGGAAATGATGTGTGTGCAGCATTATTGGTACAGGTTTATTGAGAACAAAAGGAAACAATGGAAACAAGGGGAGGGGGGCAAGAGTAGGGGCTGGGTGATAGGCATCCTTAAGCATCATTACTCTCGGCAGCAGGCTTGCCTTTATGGGTGGCAGCTGATCCTGCAGAGGCGCCGCTTCCACTGGAGCATCCACGGCAGCCACAGTGTATGCACTCAATCACCTTGCCATCCTCGAGCTTGTCCCTTGGAACTCTGCACACACAGGTCGTTCCGAAATTTGTGTCCTTGGGCTGAATGCATCTCAAACAGCACACCTTCTCGTATCCCGCCTATCATTGTATTTGATGCGTCAATGGGAAAGACTGTTAGTTTCTAGTTGAAGTGGTCCATATGCCTCCTTGAGTATCGACGTAGATTATTGATCCATGGCGAGTGTGCAGGAACAGACAGATCCGTAAGGTGTCTATGTTGGTTGAGATGATCCCGAAGCATATGTACCTTCTTCCACTTGGCGATGAGGTTGGCGTCAGCATATCCCTGCTTCAACAAGTACTCGTACAACTCTTTGGAGATCGCCTCGCGCTTGTAGTACAACTCGTAGACATATCGAGACCGCTGGTGGTGAAGTCTGAAAATCGGCCACAACGCCTCAATCTTTCTCTTTCCTTCGTGAGGATCATTCTCAGCTATTGTAATAGATAGGTTGCAAGAAGTCAAAGAAGTATGGTGTCAGTACATTGGTTGTTCGAAGAGCACTCTTGCCACAGTTCGTGTTCAGTGGTTGAGTACGCATGCATGCTGCCTCCCGATGTGCATTGCGATTGTTGTTGTTATCGAATCCAGTGTCCGTTTGATGTGAGATTAAGACTTGCCATCCTTCATTTTCGTCTGGAATTCCCTGAGAGTGGGCTCGATGTCGTCGAAACCCTCGGGGGCTCTCTTTGTGCGCGATGACTTGATCTTTGGCATGGTTGATGTGTCTTGTTGACTGCTTGGAGGGTGTTGATGTGAGAAATGAAGAATGAGGACGATTGAAAGTTGAGCTTCGTAAAAATACAAGCCTCTGGCCTCTTGGAAGAGGATGGTGCACGTGACTATGAAAAAAAGGATTGCGATTGGAGACGCAAGCTGTCGGGCCCTCGCCCTTTTAAAGACTGTCGATCTCATACCCCCTGAACCTCGCGCGATTCCCAATGGATGTCCTTCTATTTCTTCAGTCCATACAAAATACCACACTTTCGTCGAGCAATCGAACCAGGCCCTGATAGGCAACCGCCCTCCCTCTCCGAACTGCAACAAGCGCAATGGCCCATGCGCATTGGGTCTTGAAAAAAACGCCTCCCAACTTGCAAACAAACAGGTTGCGACAAGAATGGCCAGATCCCATTATCTTAGGACGAAGAGGTAAAGGCGGATAATGCAAACGGTCGGGGACGCATTGAGCCGGTGTTGTGTCAAAGAATACCAACGTGGTAAAACTTTTCTCTGAGACAATCTTTTTCTTATGGCATATCGTAGGTGTAAAAAAAATAGAAAGCGATCGAGTTCTAACATTTCCAATCGCTATGCTTTAATCTTGGCAACGGCGTTTCTATCTCCATAATTGAAAAAGGCAGTTGCGATATGAACAGAAATGACCACTTATGGCACCCAACTTCGGTTGCTTCAGTTCAGACACAGGAGGAGGGGATCACATAATAATCAAAGGGGTCAGGATGGCGAGTGTGGGAGAGCCTAGATCTGCGGATCATATGATCTTCATGGATAGGCATATTAAAGAGATCCACCATCATTTGCCTGGGTTCAGGCTGGAGGATATTTACAGTCGTATGGAGATGGTAATGTACCTTTGGACGATTCCTTACAGCAATGGCGAAGGTGCTGGCAATGCCTCTCCGGATCGTGTTACTGGGGGTCGCCCAAACTTCTCGCGTTTCAATCCTGCTCTGCGCGAACGCGACTGGTGAAGACAAGCGGAATTTTTCAGTTTTTTGTACGTATATGAAAAAAAGGATGGTCGTCTCGTTTGCAACAAACAGGAAGGGGTGTTTTCCAACTAAATGGTCATTAACTTCGCTTCTTCCTCCTGACGATTTACAATTGTTAACGCAACCAAAGCAAGAAATACCTAAGAAGCGCAAAAGCAATGTAGTCAGTGAACAAAACATTGACTACGCGACCTTGAATGATAATGAGGGAGGAGAAAAGGAACCGATATCGAAGGATCAAAAAGCAACGTCACTATGAATGCTTGGCTGCCACAAGCCTATTATTTCTGTTGATAAAGGAGAGATTGGAGAAGCGACAGTTGGCGAAGCAATATGTGATAAAATGTTAGTTGGCAAAGTGGGAAATATTACTATGTAGATGGAGAGCAAGGACAACGATCAATCAATTTTTGTGTAACATAATAACTAGCATTGCAATTGTGTTCGACTTTGTTGATAAAGCTTATATCAGTCAAGCTCTCTCCTCGCTGTAAAAATAGCACACAACAGCCGCTGCCAAATTTTGGAGTAAATACCCAATATTTCTCTCTTTCACTTCGACTCTTCTTCTCTCTTTCATTCCAACTCTTCTTCCAACCCAACCATTCCCCTCACTTTCGCTTTCCCACACAAATACACCGGTTTCTCTACCATCTACATGCAGGACATTCATCCAGAGTCAGCAATGGAGCTTCAATCATTTCGCTTGATTGGAAGCAAGAATATTGAGAAAGTCCGTTGCGACCAGGTTGATGGACATTATATCGTCTACTGGGAGGACATCGAGAATGGATTCCCAGGGGTCAAACACGTCAAACACGACGATGTCATTATCAATTTGATGAGAGATTCGAATCGACAAAGGTAATTAAAGGATGGGAAAGTGCATGTTTGAGTTATAGTAACGAGGTCCAACCATGCTGACACTATGTTTACTCTACTCTAGAATTATACCTCACTGCATCAAGCACTACCCGGGTGTTGTCCTGGACGTAGTTTTGGCCTCTGGTGGCAATCATATTCATGACGGCTCTGCGATGACAACTTCAAGGCTGGCTCCCACTGATAGTCGAGCCGAAACTCCCACCCACACCAGAGGAAACACCACGCATATCCCGGACCAGTTCGTTTCTCTGGCTGCCGCCATCAAGGAAGCCCGCCGGTCTGGAAAGCCATTGACCTCTGAAGCACTCTCGTCGCTGATTGCCTCGAGGTCGACTCCGGTATCGATGGCCAAGCCTGGCTTTGAGAGAACAGTCATTCACAAGCTAGATGGACTTTACGACCAAGGCGCTATGACCCAGCAGATTGCCCGGGAGGTTTGGGAGATGACAAAGCAGATGAACGATCGATTGATTCTGATCCAGAGCAAGACCGAGGCCATCTTAACGCAGCAGTTGGAGCTGACCGAGTATCCGATTCCTCGGTTGTTCATTGTCCTGCCAGAAGAACCAGCAAAGTACGATCCCGGCAACTGGTTTAGAACCAAGTTTCGACTGCATTTCATTTGCGAGTGCGGCAAGCATACCGAGACCAAAGACAGCAAGGTACCACATCACCTCCACCTGGCAAAACACCAAGGATATCTTATCCGTGAGCCGACCGAGTTCTTCAAGAAATATGGCCCCTTTCTCTTGTTGATGCTCGAGCTGATCAAGTTTGGCACACGTATCGCCGGTCATGTCGTGCCTACCTTGGCTAGTCTCAAGGTTGTCGAGTTGGCTGACTCTGTCAGACAGTCTGTCGAGTCGGTCACGGCCAAGATCGATTACTCGCTCGAATGTATCGATAATCAATTGGCCAAAGTCCAAGCATCATCTCCAGGGGATTCCACCGACACTGAGCCTCAAGCAGCAATGACACAACAAGATTTGGCCAACTATCTGAGCGATGTCGAGGGTCTGGAAGGTGTCGAGTTGCGTCAGTTGGGATCACTCTTGAAGACGTCGGAGGAGGAGAGCCTTCTTGGCAATCTCTATCGAATGACAACCTCTGATGGCCATGTCAAATGGGTCTGCTACGAACACTACCGAGTCAGCTATCAAGAGAAGAACACCCAGAAGCTCCGCGATGTGGTCAACCTGGCGCGAGGAGAATTTGATGAGCAGCTGGGGAGGGTCGAGATTGTCCTGACGTCCAGGTTTGCCGCCGCCGAGTTTTACAATGCCGTCAGCAAAGCCAAGGGTGTCGTCGAAGTCATCATGGATTGGGACTATGAGTGCGCAAGGAGCGACCTTGAAGAGTTGGAGGACGCCCTCAAGAAGTCAAGAGTATCGATTCTTCGACTCGATCTCCGACGATTTCGTACAAGCCTCGGCAGCAAACTATTAACGACATCTGCTCAATTTGGAGCACTATTTCGCCTTCAGGAACTTTCCAACATGGGAATCATTCACATTCTCATTTCCAGCGAGTTGGTCAAGCTTCTCAGTTTTCAACCAAAGAAGCCGTCTCATCTTTGCAAGTTATCCTTTGAGGTGGCAACTGGAACGTTTGGAAAAAAGGAATTTGGAATACTAGTAGAGTCGCTTAAGACCAACTCGACTCTGACCATTTTGAGCTTGAGGAGCAACTCGATCGGCGACAACGGAGCTCAGGCGCTGTCTGAGGCACTCAAGACCAACTCGACTCTGACCGCTTTGGACTTGTGGGGCAACTCGATCGAAGGCTATGGAGCTCAGGCGCTGTCTGAGGCACTCAAGACCAATTCGACTTTGACCACCTTGACCTTGCAGCACAACTCGATCGGATCCAACGGAGCTCAGGCGCTGTCTGAGGCACTCAAGATCAACTCGACTCTAACCACTTTGGACTTGCGGATCAACTCGATCGGAGACAGCGGAGCTCAGGAGCTGTCTGAGGCACTCAAGACCAACTCGACTCTGACCACTTTGGACTTGGGGACCAACTTGATCGGATCCGATGGAGCTCAGGCGCTGTCTGAGGCACTCAGGACCAACTCGACTCTGACCACTTTGAACTTGGGGCACAACCCGATCGGAGACAACGGAGCTCAGGCGCTGTCTGAGGCACTCAAGACCAACTCAACTCTAACCACTTTGGACTTGCGGGTCAACTCGATCGGAGGCAACGGAGCTCAGGCGCTGTCTGAGGCACTCAAGACCAACTCGACTCTAACCACTTTGAACTTGGGGAGCAACTCGACCGGATCCAACGGAGCTCAGGCACTGTCTGAGGCACTCAGGACCAACTCGACTCTGACCACCTTGAACTTTCGGCGCAACTCGATCGGAGACAATGGAGCTCAGGCGCTGTCTGAGGCACTCAAGACAAACTCGACTCTGGCCACTTTGGACTTGGAGCTCAACTCGATCGGATCCAATGGAGCTCAGGCGCTGTCTGAGGCACTCAAGATCAACTCGACTGTCACCATATCAGGTCTTTAACCTAGATCGACTATGCAACCTTAAAGCTAGAAGAAGGAAAATGAATACCTTTTCTACTTAATTAAACAAGTAAAAAACAACAAAAATATAGGCAGTGGCATCTCACTGGCCCCAAAGCTCCCGCTCATTCTGCACCCCATGTCTTTTTACAATGTCAAACTAGAGTCAAGCTCAACAGGGTCTTCTTTCTCGCTGATTTTGCCAAACCCGTTCCCTTGGCTATAGTTTCACTAGATAGGGGCAGTGGGTTGTTTGAGAGAGTCATAGTTAGTAAAAAGTCTCGAGCAGATCCGTTCAGTTATCCAGGTAGGTCCGTAAGAATCTCTAAACCTCAGCACAAGAGCCCAATCCACCCATTCCTTGGAGCTAATCCTTTTCCCAAAGTTAACGAATATATTTTTCCAACTTCCCTCATCTATACTGTTCCAAAAACTAGAGTTTGTTCACCTTGGAGAACTGCTGCGGTTATGAGTAGCAAAGAAAACTAACGTTGGCCTGCAAATGAAAAAAGTGTATTACTCACAACAAAGTTGAAGCAAATACCCACAGCCTTGCGGGTCTGAATACCCACAGCTCTCCACTGCAAAAGACTGGGTTTTCCATGCCATTATTTGCGTATCACCTAGGCAAGCGTCGAACTCTCTATCTACGAAAAAACGACCGTAAGGGACTTTAATGTTTGCCGTCACCGACACTGGATTTATGACGGTCCGCGCTTTCTCATCTTTGACAATTTTTTACTGCGACATGGACCAGCAAGGACGCTATATCGCCCCTCATGGACGACAACACTCCAATTACCTTTGGCTGCGAAACCCCCTCGAATTAAGGAACATCACCCTTGTTCGCCTTCCTCCCAGCACAAAATTCTACATACAGGCGTTGGAGTTCATCAATGACCGATTTTTTTTCAAGCTTCGCTATTGCAAGGATATGCTCGAGGTCACGAAGACCTGAACTTGCAGATCCTGCTCACCCCCACCCAGTCCCAGAAGCGGATCTCTGGCCACTTCTTGCAACCTCCTGGGACAAGGTTGAGTCGTCCTGTATCTGCGTGGGATTCCGTGATTCCTACATCATGGATCAAGGAACCTCGAGGCTTTTGGACTAGAATATGATAGCTGCACTTATACGTTACAGGGCGGTCTTGACCGACCGGTACTCGAATCAGTGGGTCGAAATGCCTGACCGATATCAACCGTTGGGTTATATCGACATTCTTTTTAGTAAATGGTTCGAACGCGCTGACATTATAGGCTGTCTGGGAGACTTTGGATTCTGGCAGCACAAGGGTCTGTTTTCGACCGCAGAGAAGAGGGCGTTGTTGATGGAGACGAAGGCGTGGTTGTAGAGGATGCTGCTTTGCCTGCCAGTGAGATGCCAGTTATCGAGAAGGAGCGTTGAGCGCAGATGACCAGAAGTTTCTGAGTTATTTGGAAAAACTGAGTGGGTTTGGCACTGGTATGATTAGGGATGAGATCAAGGAGACCGCAGAGTTGATGAAGTTGACTTTTTGAAATCCATCAGGCCTTTGATTCCTTGACAGATTGTATCGAGTGAGAGCATCGATATTTTTCTCTTGCGGAGGAAGTAGTCGTTGGCGGTCCAGAGGAGTGACATCTGACAGTTAAGTATAATGAACTATTCCCCAAGATTGACTGAGATGACAACGACTCAACCATGCGCGCTTCCTGCCAGACACATGAGTGTGTTGAAAGAATGAGTGGAGTTTATGGCGATGGATGTAAGAGTAATAAACTGAGCTGCTGTTGGTAGGGCCGACGAAGCAGGATTGTATTTACTTCTTGTCCTGGTACTTGGCGACGGGGACCAAGGTGGGGTTGAAGTCGCGCTCGCATTGTGAAAGAGCGTATCCTAATCCAAGACCAGTCGACACCGAGATGGGCCACGAACGCTCTATTTGATGAATACAATTCGAAAATAGTGTTAGTATGAGAAAGTGGCCCTGTGGTGAATTCTCGGTTCAATAGGTGCTTATCATCTTGGTGCTCCGGTTGTGATCCTGTTAGTGCTCGGTTTTGACGCGACAGAAAGTGTCGTTAGGAGTGTTCATGATAGGATAAGTTGGACGACTTACTCTTAAAGACGAGGGCGGAGGCGACGATACCGACACTGAGACCGATTCCGGACTTGACGATGACGTTCGAGAGGCACTCGTCCCACTATGTCATTTTAAAATCATCCGCGTAGGATAGAAGGAGGCCATGTAACGTCGTTAGTGATTCCGTTGCTTCCGGCCCAGAAAACACTATATGATCCCGATCCCAAATCGCTCTCTGATGCTAATTCTCCCGAGGACATCCAGAAGGTGTTTTACCTTGCGGCTAAGAATATCCTCGCTGGGGATGGCTGCTGCCTTGGTGTTGTTGGTGGCGGACATGGTTGGTGTGTTGGTGCTGGTGTTAGTTTGTGAATGCAAGTGAGAAGCGGATTTGGATCATCACTTTCTTTCTCCCCGAGCGTTCCCCATGGCAAGGATCAATTTTGTTAAGGGGTGCCGATTCCGTTGGAAGAGGATTTTGGTGGCGTTATTTTTTGAGGGGAAAACTCTTTTCCACAATGCCAACCCAACAGCAACATCAACACCAACACGGAGATGGTGACCCACCCTCTCAACCCCTGCCCTCAATCGGGTCCCCACCATCCCCTTCCTATGCCTCCATGGCAGCTGGAACCCGTAGTAACAATAAACTTCTCATTCACTCAGTGTTTACCGACCCCGAAGAGGGTCACCTTGCTGCTGCCGCTCTTGCACCAAAGGGAGCTCGACTGGGCGACCTGGTGAACCCAAGAGCTGTTGCATACATCGTCCCCAAAACTATTTCTTCTGGCGCGTTTTCGGATGCAGTCAGATCCACCCACTCAACTCTGTTCAAAGCCCATGATGACATAGCACCTCTCCATATTCTTAGCAACATGGCCTTCCCCTGCGCTGACAATGTCCACCATCGCATTGAAATTGTGTACCATGAATCTCTGGACACTACAGCTGTTTCCACCACTCCCATTACCGTCGACGACAAGCAGTTTGCCCCCCTTTCATCGACTGTTCCTCACATTATCACCCGTTTCGTCTTCACGGATTACCAGTTCCAGACTTCCCTTGATTTTGGCACCCACCTGGAGCAGTTCTGCTCTTGGTACTTTGAGGACGCCAAGAGAATGGGCAAAGTCATCAAGATCGAGATCCCTCTGTTCCCTACCCCCAACGGCAACCACGAGGCTCGCAGCCAGTTCGCTGTTTATGTCAAGAGTGACAAGACTGCGGACGAATTCAAGATTGACCGCTTGCTCTCCTTGGGCAACCGTCAAAAATCTCCTTGCCGTATCAGTTGGATGGGAGCCTCTCCCTTTTGTAACTATTGCAAGGGACACGGGCACCTCCTTCTCCATTGTCCCAAGCGCTTGGCCATCGTATGCAGTGCGTGCAATGCGAATGGCCACGTCAGCTTCACCTGCTCAAGGTTCTCGGCTAGAGATGCTAAGAGGGCGAAAGGTAAGATGCCTGTGAGAGGGCAACCCACTTCCACCTCTTCCGCTGAATCCTCCTCAGCTTTTACTTCCTCTACTTCCTCCTTTTCTTCTTCCTCTTCTGCTTCCTCTTCTTCTTCTTCTCATGATTCCTCTTCTTCTGATTCTTCAACCTCCTTCTCTTCTCCTTCCTCCACTACTTCCTCTGCTTCTGCTTCTGTACCGCCTGATACAATTTCAAACACCCATCTCGCTTTGACCACTACCAATGTGACCCATCAGTCCCAGTTAGTGGTTTCTCCTTCCAACACACCAAAAGATGACATCACTATGACCGAATGTCATGATCAGGCTCAGGATAAAGGAGAAGAGGTCTTTGATGAGGATTTCAATTTGGAGGGAGCTAACCTGGGAGACCTTGACAGAGCTACCTACAATACTGAACACTCCATTTCCTCCGACAACAACGACCTCCCCATGGAGGATGCTATGGCTGCTTCTATAGCAGCGCGGATCAAGGCAAGACGCTCCGTAGCCAAGACCGCGGTCGCCACAGCAGTTAAGACCATCACCAAGACATCCAACAACATCTACACCAAAGAAGGTAGACCTGCCACTAGATCTACTTCTACAATTAAAAACAATCGGTCACAGTAATGCGGATCGCAAGCTTGAACGTGCGAGGTCTACGTAAGCAGCACCTTCAAAACAACAATGCTACCGGTCCACCTCATTTCTTCACCTGGCTTCGACAAACGGATTTTGACATAATGGCCCTTCAGGAAATCAACCTACCAACATCGCCAACCACTGCTGATCAGATCAATTACAACCAATATCTCAACACTCACAGCTCTGTTTGGTCCCCCCACTGTGCACTCCTTCTTCGCAATCCTGACCTCTCCTTCTCTAACACCTCTTACGCAGAACAAGGAAGGATTATTATTACCACCGTCACCTCTTCATCTTCTTCTTTTATGGCCACATTCTGTGTTATGTATGCCCCAGCCAACAGGACAGCACGAAGGCTATTCATGCTGAACTGTCTCTCCCTCCCTTTCTTTCTCTCCCCTCCCCCAAAGGCCTTTCTTTTAGGCGATCTTAACTACATACATTACACTCACCCTCGTCCTCATCCCCTGTTTCAGGACTGGGTTGATACTCATCTTGTAGACTGCATCACCCCACTTCATACCAACCCCAAGCCCACCTGCACCCCTGCAGGAAACAAAGTCCGTCATACCATTGATTACATTTTCTCCTCTATCCAATTCCTCTCACAGGTATCTAAATCTGAGCAACTCTGCGCATCTCCTTTCTCGGATCACGACATGCTACTACTGACACTCTCCCCCGCCTCCGCCCCCATGACAGGTCGAGGGATATGGCGAATGAATACCCAGCTCCTCAACAACTGCGACTTTATCAAGAATCTCACCGACCACCTGGCGACCTTCTCCTTACCCCGTCCTCACCAAAGCAAGATCCAACACTGGGACAGGGTCAAGATGGAAATCAAACGTTTCTGCATCTCAGCCTCCATCAAAAGGAAACAGGATCGACAATCCGCCCTAAGAGACCTCAACATACAACGCCAAAACAAACTAGCCCAGCTCCCTCTTGCAACCGGTGTAACTAAGGACGCAATCATTCAGGATCTGGAAGCTTTGGAAACATCTCTTCAACAACATACATCGGAAGAACTGGATGCCTATGCCCTCCGGTCGGGAACCTTATGGCGTGAAAAAGGAGAAGGCAACACCGCCTACTTCTTCCGAGCCATCTCTCAACGCAACAAAAAACGACTCGTCCCACACCTACACAATCCTGCCACCGATGCCTTGACAACCTCAACCAATGAACGTCTGGAAGTAGCAACAGACTTTTACTCGCGCCTATACTCCTGCGACCCCTCCGACCAGAATGCAACTAACCGACTACTGGATGCCATCCCCCCACATGCAACCCTATCTGACCAGGATCGCGCCAGACTCGAAGGGACTATCACATCTGATGAGTTAGACCACGTTGTGAGCAGGACGCCCCTTAATAAGGCCCCAGGCAAGGACGGCTTACCCTTTGAGCTCTATCGATACATCCTCCTCATACCCTGGATCAAGGAACTATTCACCGCAATTATCAACGATGCGCTGACACTTGCCTCTTTCCCCACATCCTGGCAAGAGACAGTGATGATCCTCCTCTTCAAGAAGGGCGATGCGACAAAACTGGCAAACTGGAGACCTCTTTCACTCATTAACTCGGATGCCAAACTCTTCACCAAAATCCTTACCCTACGGATTCAACCGTACATGACCAAGCTGACAGAATCGCACCAAACAGGATTCACGGCAGGACGACATATAGCAGATAATGGCTTAGTGCTCTCAACACTCCGAGATTACTGCAAGGCAAGAAGGACAAGACATATTGGCGTACTACTGGATCAGGAAAAAGCATACGACCGTGTGCATCCTACCTATCTTCAACAGGTCTTGAAACGACTTGGATTTCCATCATGCCTTACGGAGTCGATTATTCAACTTTTCTTCTCTACCAGGATTGCACTCAATATCAACGGCTTTGTGTCAGACACCTTCCCACAATCAAGAGGACTTCGCCAGGGTGACCCACTATCTCCCCTCCTCTTCAACATAGCCTTTGAACCGTTGCTTGCCTCTATCGAACGATCCCCGGCTATTCACGGTATTGAAATCCCTGGTCGCACGGATCCCATCAAGCTCAGCGCCTATGCAGACGACCTCATGACTCTCATCTCCTCCACAACCGAATGGTCAGCATTGGAGGATACCCTACGGACCTATGGCCGCGCATCCAATGCCAAAGTCAACCTGTCCAAAACTGTGGCCTTTCCTATGGCCCCCTCCTACTCCAAAGAATTGCAGACCCACCTGGAACATTTGGACGTGCGATGGCATGACTACAACTCCGCCGATGCTTTGATCTACCTTGGATTCCCTATCTTTTTCAACCGCGATCAGGAAAAAGACTTCTGGGACAAGACTCTGAAGAAGATACAATCAGCCATAACCATACACTCTTCCCGATCCCTCTCCGTCCTGGGCCGAGCCACCATCATCAACTCTCTTATCCTCTCCAAACTTTGGCACCTATCCTGGATTGTCAACCCCCCGCTCGACTTTTTGCGAAAGGTGAAGGCTGCAGTCACCAAATTCGTATGCTCCTTTAAACCAAGGCCATCATGGGAGGTGATCACTACTCCAAGGGACAAGGGTGGCCTAGGCGTTATTGACCCAGCTACTCAATGCCATGTTTTCCAACTCAAGCATATCCGCAATGCTCTCTCCACTAATGTCTCTTGGGGTAAGGACATCATTCTTGATATCATCCGATGGAGGACCAAAACGTCTCACCGCCTTGCCTTCCTCCTAGCACCCCTGGACGGACAGTACAGATCCTTATTGGCAGGGTTTCCCGGTCTGCAACGATTGGTATCTGCGGCGTCCCTCCTCCCTTCCCTCAAAGCACTGGCCCTTGCTGATCCCTTGCCGGACTCTGTAACACTTGCCTCCTCACCAATCGAATGGTGGTTTGAAACGACAGATACCACCATCAAGACCCTCAGACTCCGAGTGGAAGAGCTCTTTCAGTTTTCTCCTGACAACAATGGGCTCCTCCAACTGGTCAGAAAAACACACCTTTCCCCCAAGCTCCGCCTTGCTCAAGTGGAACTAGGGATCCAGGCCTACCAAGAACGTCGTCGAATGCGCCACAGTATGCAGCAAGCACTCTCGAACCCACCCAAGATCACGCAGGATGATACATTGGCACAGCATATCCTCTCATCTGTCTTGATCCCAAACGACAGTAATCCCATCACTCTGGAATCGGCCACGAACAAACACCTTCGAGCCTTTTTGAGGCAAGACACACCACTAAACCCAAACTCCTCAACCCAACCAGAGACGGGAACCTCGAAACAGTGGCGCCAATTCTGGAGCGCTAAAATACCACACCGGGCCAGGACCACGTGGTGGAGATTTAAAAGGGATTGGCTTCCTTGCGGAACTCTAAGTCAAAAAATCTGGAAGCAGGATCCTCATTGTAACATGGCCGGATGTCGTGAGCGACGTGAGGACAAGGCGCATCACATCTTTCAGTGCGCTCCTAAATACATCGCTTGGCAAACAATCCTCAAGGAACACACATCCAAACCACTTTGGTCAGATGATGACCTTGATAAGGTCTTGTCTTTCCATCCTCCAACCTTTGATATCAAACCCCAATTTAACATCACTATCCCACAATTGCTGGCTTGTTGCCTCATTGGTATTTCATCAGCCAACACCGTTCTTTTTCTTCATCAACACACTCAATCTAGTAGCGATATCATCCACACCATACTTCGCGAAATCACCAAAACCATAGCACAAAATAACTCTATCAAGGCTGTTTAAGCCACAATAAATCCTCTCTTTTCCCTCAAAAAAAAAAAAAAAAAAAAAAAAATATTTTTTGAGGGGTAACCTGAAAGTTTCCTGAATGCCTTAGACCAAGGCGTACCTTATCATCACAATTGGAAAAGCAAACGCCCTGGTTTAAGTAGTGGACTGTTAGTCATATCTCCTGCCTGCAGGCCATCGCTCACTGTGTCAACAACTGTTGTTGAGATAGTTGTTGAACAAACCACACAGACGATGAAAATGTAGCGTTTAGTTGACACCAGGTGCTGTCCATTTGCGTGCTGCCTGAGCATATCAACAATTGTCTATTCAAAGTATAGGATAAAGTAAAGACGATGGATGCCTTAGTGCGTAACCTTTGTGTATGCTCTATGGACACGGTGCAGTTTTTTTCGAAGCATTTATGGTAAATTGGATCGACATCACGTGAGGAATCTGGGGTTATTCGTTCTTTGACCTTCTGTTCGCAGGAAAAAAAAAGAAAAAAAAAAAAAAAAAAGACCTACCTACTGTTCGCTGTTCCTTGTTCGCGTTTTTGATTTGCTCCTTTTTATCATCTCATAACCTTCCCCTCACTTTCCCCCACCCACCACACATAGCACAAGTAGCACAATGGTAACGACCAGGCTACATTCACTCCTGTAGAAGACTCTTGACCCATCGGTCAAGGAGAACTCAACATCATGAACAGAACGTCAGAAAATAGTCCGGCATCACACAGGAAGCCTTCTTCCTTCGACATCGCATACTAAGCTGATCGAGGTGACCAGTCCAGGAATAAGCAGCATTATTCTCTTTCTTGCTCATTCTTGGACCCTAGAACTACCAGGCCCCACTTACTTACTTATACTCTCACTTCCCCCTTGTTCTTCCTGCTAGTCTTTGGCTCCAGTTCAGATTTTCCAGGACAATGCGACTGAAGAGCGCGCAGAGAACGCTCGTCTGGTAAGAAAATATGCAGATTTCTCTACATTTCTTTGGTTGATCCCTCCAAGCGACACAACTTAATTTCTTTCTGTAGGCAAAGCACTTTTTTTTATTGCGTATGCTGTTTTGACTGACGAGGTTTTTATTTTGTGCATGTGGTATATAGTCTTCCTTCATTGGCGCTATCGCCGTTGGAGATCTCGTAAAGAGCACACTCGGACCCAAGGGCATGGCAAGTGCCTATTATTTTGTCAAGTTGAACCCTCAATTGCTGATCGCTGTCCAATTGAAGAGAGAAACTAACGGCATTTTTGCTACATGCCATAACCTGGACACCTCTTCCAACTCATGATAACGACGACAACGACAATGATTGACACGTAAACAGGACAAGATTCTTCAATCCGCTTCTACTGGAGAGATCATGGTCACCAACGACGGCGCCACGATCTTGAAGTCAATTGCTCTCGACAACGCAGCAGCCAAGGTTCTCGTCAACATTTCCAAGGTTCAGGACGACGAAGTCGGCGACGGCACGACCTCGGTCTGTGTCCTCGCAGCCGAGTTGTTGAGAGAGGCCGAGAAGCTGGTCAGCCAAAGGATTCACCCCCAGACGATCATTGAAGGTTACCGTATTGCCAGTGCTGCAGCCTACAAGGCCCTTGAAGAGTCTGCAATCGATCATAGCCAGGATCCTGTTGTCTTCAGGGAGGATTTGATCAACATTGCTAAAACGACTTTGAGTTCCAAGGTTTTGTCACAAGACAAGGAGTACTTTTCAAAGTTGGCGGTCGATGCTGTGTTGAGATTGAAGGGAAGCACCAACTTGGAGAACATTCAGATTATCAAGAAGGTTGGAGGGCGTCTTGCAGACTCTTACTTGGATGAGGGATTCATTCTGGACAAGAAGATTGGTGTCAACCAGCCCAAGCGCATCGAGAACGCCATCATCATGGTCGCCAACACCCGTACGTCTCTCGACTGTTCATTGCCCACTTGGTACATTGTTCCTGACCTAGATGCACCGTACTAACTGTCTCAATTGGAAAATATGACAAAATAGCTATGGACACGGACAAGATCAAGATTTTCGGCGCTCGTATTCGTGTCGAAGGAACCGGCAAACTGGAAGAGTTGGAGCGTGCAGAGCGCGAAAAGATGAGGGCCAAGGTCGAGAAGATCAAGGAGCACGGCATTACCTGCTTTGTCAACCGTCAATTGATTTACAACTGGCCCGAGCAGCTCTTTGCCGATGCTGGTATCATGTCGATTGAGCACGCGGATTTCGATGGTGTTGAGCGATTGGCCCTTGTTACTGGAGGCGAAATTACTTCGACTTTTGATCACCCTGAGCTTGTCCGTCTTGGTCACTGCGATGTCATTGAGGAGGTCATCATTGGCGAGGACCGCGTAAGTTTTTTTTTGGGGGTTTAGGAGTGGTGGAGTCATCTGGACTGGGTATCATGGCTCATGGCAACAGGAACCTATTGAATTCTTTACACGGACTGACACTTCAATTTTGTTTCTATGTATGTCATCCATTAGTTGATCAAATTCTCGGGAGTTGCTGCAGGAGAGGCTTGCACGATTGTTCTCCGCGGTGCCACGCACCAATTGCTGGATGAGTCCGAGCGCTCCATCCACGACGCCTTGAGCGTCCTCACCCAAACCACCCAAGAGCCCCGGACAGTTCTCGGCGGCGGCTGCTCCGAAGTCCTAATGTCCAAGGCCGTAGACGAGATCGCAGCCAAGACCGCCGGCAAGCAACAGGCCGCCATCGAGGCCTTCTCTCGTGCGCTCCGTCAGATGCCTACGATCCTTGCTGACAATGGTGGTTATGATAGTGCAGATCTGGTGGCCAAGTTGAGGGCGAGCCATTATGAGGGCAACGCGACGCATGGGCTGGATATGGAGAATGGTGCGGTGGGTGATATGAGAGAGTTGGGGATTACGGAGAGTTACAAGTTGAAGAGGCAAGTGTTGTTGAGTGCCTCTGAGGCTGCGGAGATGATCTTGAGAGTGGATAATATCCTCCGTTGTGCGCCAAGACAGCGCCAGGGATAAAGGAAGCCCTTTTCACGATGGAGGAGAGTGAAGGGCATTCGGTAATGTAGTTCCAAATATATGCATTCAACGTTATTCCTATTATCGTTCAGCAATGTTGGATTGGCTTGAAGAAATGATGGATCATGTTTTGTGTGTTATTGTTTATTTTTTTTTTATATCTGCGATGCTAATTTACTCTGTGGAGCAAAGGAATTAGCCGCGGCAGCTTGACCAGAAGGGGAACCCGCACGCGGAGCAAATGATCAAGTAGAACAGGACCTAGTCATTCAAAAACGCATCAAGAAACGCCCATAGTTAGCAATTTTTGTTCACATGGGGCCGCGAAAAACATCTTGCAGAAAAAGGCAACAGGGGGCGCGACAAAGTGGGAGTGCAAAGCAGAAAACAAGCGAGAGAGGGAAAAGAAGAAGGACTTACGATGATGACGGAGGTCAAGATGATGGTCAGTTTTGTGTTCTTCCACCACATGGTCCTCTATATGTTCAGAAGAGCAAGAAACAAAAAACAAGGGGATTTGGTTAATTTCCGCACACTAGATTCCCTGAATCGTCTCAAAGGTCCGTGATATCTATGATCCCCATCTACAGTGCTTTCAATGTGTGGCCAATGCGCACCGTCCGACTGTCCATCCGCCCTGTATGTATGTCCGAGTTCGGTACGGATGGTATAGTGATGATGTCCTTCCCCGCTTCCCTGCTTGCTTCCTTCATATGTATTATTAATACCTTGAGCTGGGTGCTCCTTTTCTTGAAGGCAAAGGCCTGCTGGTTCAAGTTATCGGTCTTGTCAACTAAGAGTTCAATCCTCTCTCCACGTTCCAGCACGCGCTCTGTGTGTTGTCAAGAATAGTTATCGGTATTTCCGTCCATGTAGATGTGGTTGTGATACAAAGGAAAGAGAGAAAAAAAAGGGGGAAGGTGGTAGTGTGACAAACAAAAAAAAGGTGGGTTAGTCAGTTGGGCATTTATGTGTGTGCAAGTGAAGGGCAACGAGTTTCCCGATGGTTCTTATTCACGCGGATGTGTATTTCCTTAACACACGAACACAAAAAAAGGAGAGGTAGAGGGATGGGATGCTTTCTTCTTTTTTTGTTGAAGGCGCGTGGGTGCGTGCTTGTGTGCGGTTGTGTTCAAGTAGGTGTGATTGTAGTTGCAAACGTTGCAAGTAGGCCATACCGATGTTGTGTACCATGACATCCTTGACCTGCTCGATTTCTCCTTGAACTTGTTTGATCCTGTCAGCCTCGGGGTTTGTCGAGAAGTACTCCTAAATACGTCAAGGTCAATGCAAAAGGGTGTTCCCGTATAGATCATGTGCCGTATAGAAAAAAAGGGTTGACAAAGAGAAACATAGCATGTACGATTGTTAGCTTGAGTGTACATTCGGCAAAGCAGCCTTATGGGGAAGACACATGGCTGTCTGTTTGTGCAAGGGTCGTCTATCTGGCTAGCGTAAGCAGAGACAAGAAGAATCCCAAACACAAAAAAAACCCAAACAAACAAACAAAAGAAAAAGGCGAAAAATGTTGCTGCAGAAACACAGGCAAGAAAAAAAAACGTTTCTTGACCCATTCTTTTCTCGTCAGCCCAAAACACACCCCTTCCTGTCAACAACATACCATTTGCTTGGCAATGGTTTTTGAGAACTCGTTCATGCCATAGGGGACCGTGGCACTCATGGCACGTTCCCGAGCGTACTGGGTCAAGAAGCGGGTCTTGATATCCTGAAGGAAGGCGAAGGGGATGCGGCGACCAAAGGTGTCGTCGGCCATGCACATGTACGTCAATCCATCGTGGCAAATGTAGTGGAACAGATACCTATTGGACAAGGAAGGAAGGGTCTAGAGTGTTATTTTTTGCACTATTCTCCTTCATTTTGCTTGTTTTTTTCCTGCAGGGGTATGGAAGGAAGGAGGAGGAGGGATGGGAATGGGGGATATGCATATATCGAGTGAGGAAGTGGAGGGGAAGTGTGAACAGAAAAGAGTCTTGCCTGTCGTAGACGTAGGTGAGTTTGGAGTTGTTGGGCGGGATCTTTTCGAGGATTGCCTCGGTGACTAGTGAATTGTTAACAATTGGCGTTTGGTTAGTCGTCTTGCTCCAAGGGCAGGTTCAAGTAAGAGGACGCAAGAAGCAAGAAGCAAGAATGTGAAACTGATAAAGTATTTATTATTTTTACCGGTGGTGAAGTTTCCTGATGAGTTTGTGTATTCGGCGAGGATGATGGTGCCTCTTGCGACGAGGGCGTAGATGATGGACATTAGAATGAGATTTGATTCGGTAAAAGAGAGGTGTGAGAAAGAAAGAAGGTGGGAAGGAAGGAAGGAAAGAAGGAGAGGGAATGTAAGGAGGTGTGAGGAGGGTTGAAGGAAGGGAAATAAAGGACTTCAAGGGAAGGAAAAAAGTAAGGAGGAGGAGGAGGAGGAGTTGGACGGAGCTGAGCAAAGAAGGACGAAAAGGAACAAAAGACAAAGAGTGCACAGGTCAAGTGCGAGGTGGAGCAGGTCGCAGTTCAGGCACGCAGGGAGGTTGCAGTTGGTCGATGGTGTACGATCAGTACCGTGCAGCGAGAACAGAGAGCACATGACCGATACAACGTCACATAGTCACACACACACACCACACTCTACTTTCAGACAGCGCACTTCGATTCTCTTTTGCCCCCTCTCTTCCTCCTCCTCTCTTCCTCCTCTCTTTATTTTACTCTCGACACTCGCCACCACTTTTGTCCTTTTTGCATTCCCTTTCTCTCACCCTTCTCACCCCTCTCTACCTCCCACACCCCTTCAACTCTCGTTTGCATGGACAGGCGCTTCAACAACCACTGGGGCAGGAAACCGAGCCACGACGACCCTTCGCCGTAAGTACTCTCTCAACTCGCCAAAAGGGACTCTACGACTCTCGTCTACTCACCGCCTAGGCAGGGACACCACCACCATTTTCCATAAACGACACGCACAGGGCAAGCACAGAACACTTCACATCTCACATCTCACATCACACACCTCCAACCATCCTTGTGGCAGTGCAACAGAACGATGAAGACAGACTTAGCCAGAGTGCATCGCAAAAAAAACTCAGAGTGACCTGACATCGATCGACATGTTTGCAAAGAAAAAAGAAAGGTTTACTTTGGAGTCAAAAAGTAGATGCTCTTCTTCCATACGTGTTCGAAAACGCCAGAAAAAATGACGCAGCGAAAGAAGAGTCGTCGTCCTGGTCATGCCGATTTCAACTCTCTGGCTAAACTCTTTCCATGGTCAACCTCTCCTTTGTTTTGTTTTTTTTTTCACTTCTACACACCAACACTCACTAACGGCCTTGCTCGCCACTCCCTTGTAATGGATAATAGACGAAAGAGGCAAATCGATTCATTACTTTCGGAACTGCCAACTGTGCGACCCTTGCCAAACGACAACAGCCGCTTCCAGCTACAGCTGTACTTAGCCAGCAGCCCAGGCTCGCCTCACCCGTCTTCAGCCACACCCCACCTTTCTCGGACAGCCTCAACACCCAACACCAACAGCAGCAGACCTTCATCCCAGGACGGCAACGGAAACGCCTTCTCAATCACCTCCCCGTCATCCTCGTCACCAGTAACAGCAGCAGCAGCAGTAGCGGGAAGCAACAATGCCGTCACCCTTACAGTCTACCTACCGCCAGCTTTCCCCGAAGAGGAACCAAGGATCACGCTCCAACCAGCAGTGCGGCATCTCTGGGTCGATGGAACCGTAACGCCCTGTACTGTCACTGGACACGAGAGACTCATGCCTGGCGGCTGGTCGACCCATGCCCACCTCGGCAGAATTGTTAAGGAGATTGCAGCCAATATTCAACGCACCGGAGTTCTCGTCGACGACAGCAATGATGTCAATGGAGGGGCATCGAACCAACACCACATGTACAGCACGAATAACACCAACAACAACGGCATTAGCAACAACAACCAGCAGGGTAATTTTGACACCGTCAAGGTCGCCTTTGACGAGTATTCACGCAAACCACCACCGCCCATTCCAGGAGCGCGATCCAAAAGTCTTGGGCTGACCAACAACAGCAACTCGAGTAGCGTGGTGACATTCATCAACACCAATGGCTCTCAATACAGCAACGGAGGTTCAAACAACAACAACAACAACAACAACAACAACAACAACCATATCAACAATGCAATGCACATCAACAATAATAATAACGGCAATAACAAGATGAGCACCTCTGCTGCGGGCGATATGTCATCGAGCAGCAGCAGCAGTCATACCCAGAGTCGACCAGTCTTGAGCAACTCGTACAGCAGCACATTGGCACCAGAGGCGCGCATTATTATGGAGTTGACACCCGAGAAGGTGGAGGAACTCCTCGAGAGCCAGATTGCATTCGACCACTTTGTTGATCACCTCGACATTGTCATCAACAGCAGGACCCTCAAACGGGAATGGTGGCTCGGCAACGACAATGTTTCCCGTAAGTCCACCTTTCCTTTGCTTTTTTTGTATTCACTATATCCATGGACGGATCAATTGGAAGAAGAAACATGACGACAGCCTAAAAATGAGTGGATTCTGAAATCATCATCACTTTTTTAATAACAATTGGTTGGACTGTGTCATTTTATCATCATTAGGTCGCAACTTGGCTTTAGAGGCAGAAATGCTTGAGCTTCAAAACAGTACGGCAGAAGGTCACAAGGTGGCGAATCAACTTCAAAAGTCACTGGAAGAGAAACTTCAACAACAACAGGATGCTCTTTGGGTAAGTGGCCTTTTTTGTATTTTGGTGCTCTGATGCCTTCGCCGCAGCAGAAGTATGAAGTTTGTCACCATCCTTTTCCTACAACATCACTAACCAATGCTGCTTTTCCTTTTACTTTTGATACCTATGTCAACAGCGGTTTAGGCCAGAGACGCTACAGTCCAAGTTGCGGTCAGCGGCATCAGAGTCAGAGGAGTTATCAGAGTCAATTGCTCAGTCGTTCTTGGAAGGCAAGCTGGATCAAGAAGGATTTATTCGACAGTATCGGGACCTGCGCAAGGTGTATCATTTGCGGACGATGAAACACGAACGTATGGGCCCTATTCTTCGGGACCATGCCTCGTCCAACACTGAAAACAGTAGCAATAACAACAATGGATCAGGATCGGATGTGTTAGGGTCTTCAATAGTCGGTAATGGCGGAGGAGGGTCGTCGTCATCGATTGGCGGCGCATCAGGTCCTGGTGGGACAGGAGGAGACGAGTCTTGGGTGATGCTGTCACATTGAACCCTAGACAAGGACCTTCACTCTTTGTATTCGCACCACCCATTGAAAATAAAAAAAATAAAAACAAGACGCGTCCACTCTCCTCTTGTAAACGTAGCGACTGCATCGTCTATTCGAGTATTTGGTATGCTTTCGTCATAATAGGTGCAGCGAGCAGAGGGAGTGAGACAACGAGCAAGATGTGAAAAAGGGAACGACATACGCAATCGATTGCGTTTCTTTGTCCATTGGTTGTTTTGGTTGTTGCTCCAAGCAAAGAAAAAGACAACACAGATTGATTTTGCATGATCAAGATGCGTTGTCCCCCTCTTTGATATAGCATTGTCGCTGCCACCACCCTCGATCTATGCTTGCGCAAGATAGCCAAGAAAGGCAAAGAACTTGTTGTTTTCTTGCAGGTGTTTGTTCACACATCCAGACACACGTACTACAAATAGGACACGGCATGAGAAACAGACAGAGAGAGAGTGAGGGACGTGAGCAGTGCGTGTACTGAAAAAGAAAAGAAATGCCAAGACAAATCGAAAATGAACACAATGCTGCAAAAGGATAAATATTTCTTTGTGTATGTGGCCTGTTCGTCTTGTTCCTCTTCTCTTCTATTCATCCCCATCGACACTTTCAATCTACTCTCTCATTCCTACAAACATATTCTCTTTTCTTTTTCTTCCTCTATTCTAACGACCAAAACAAACACAAACCACAAAAAACAAAAATGGCTGAACCTGGTTACCCCCAGGACCACAAGGACCCCTCGGTCTTTGTCGACATGTCTTCCCATCCCCACGAGGACGACAATGACCTTTCCAACTCGGCCCCTCCTCCTCCATTCTCCGACCACGCTGACGAGGACGCCGTTCCCTTGCTCTCTGCTGCGGATGAGAAGAAGGGTCTTGACCAAAAGAATGCCCCTGCTTTTCCCATTCCTGAGGACCAGAACCAAAACCAGGAGCAGAAGGTGTGTGGACGTCGTTGGGGACGTCGTTGTAACCGCACTCCTGAGCAGCGCGCTGCCTGTAAGTTGTTGTTTGTTCATCTGTCTCGTGCGTGGGCTGTTGGGCTGTTGGGCTGCTGTTGTGGGTGATCTTGTTTGGCTAGCATGCAAGCTCTTTCCTCGCTACAAATATGATCCTCGGGTATATTAATTGGTGGCGAATTAGCCAGTGGACCCTGCCTAGACTTCCATACCCATATTCACTTTCCTTTACATGTCGCTTTTACACACCCTACTTGCGCACAATTACTCACCCAGTCTTCCTTCATTGAAACATATCACTCTAATAGGCAAGGCAAAGGCAAGAAAGCTGTTCCGTCGGATCTTTGCCGTCGGCCTCCTTTTCTGGGTCTACTGCGCGTTCTTCAGCCCCGACTACGATTTCGAAGACTACCGCCTCGACGACAACGAGTACGTCTACATCGAGGGCGGCTCCCCTACCCTGATGCCCCTCTCCACCCACCGCCAGTCAGACCTCACCCCCAAACAGCAGGCCGACCTGGTCTTTGCCATGTCTGAGGACGAGTGCATGAAGAACTTGATCCCTTGGAATGGACCCCAGAACATCATATCCCAGGCCCTTGATATCAAACTGTCCGTTGGAAAGGGTAATATCTTTACCAATGTCGTCGTTCGATCGAGCCTCTTTGTGGATTCGCCTACTTTTAGGATCAAGGCTAACGTTACCAAGAACTTGCCTGAGGATGATGGTGACCATGATGATGAGGATGATCACCACGAGGAGGGTCCTAAGGGTCTTCACTTGGAGGTCAAAGAGGAGGAGGACAAAATTGAGGTTGTCTTCTGGGCTGACGGACACTTGGACGAGCCTTCTGAGGAGCCCGAGAAACCCGAGGAACCTGAAGAGCCCGTTCCTACCCCACCTCCTCACCACCGCCACGGACGCAAGCACCACAAGAAGCATCACAAGAAGCATCATCACAACAAGCACCATGGCATGAAGCACCACCGCAAGCACCACGAGCGCAAGCATCCTCACGATGAGGATAACGAGTCCTTCTGGATGAAGAAGCGTGCCCTCCACCCCCGCCGCTTCAGTGACGACAATGAACCCTTTGGCCGTCCTAAGGGTCAAAAGTTCTGCGCCTCTATCGATATCGAGATTCTCGTGCCCATCGGCTTCAACGAGATTAATCGTCTCTCTGTCAATGGTGTTGTCCTCCGCGCGACCGTTGAGGATGATCTGGCCCCCATCTTTGGCGGGGGTATCGATCTCCTCGAGATCAATGCTGTTGTGGGCGAGATCAAGACGGGACCTGTCCGTACCAACACATTGTTGGCCAACGTTGTTGCAGGACACATCCATATCGAGAATGTCCGTGCTGCTACCCCTGGAACTGCGGTCCATGCCCGTGTTTCCTCGGTCGCTGCCAACATCACTCTGGGTGTCACCACCACTACCATCGACAAGCCTGAGGATGACGGTGATGATGATGGTGATGATGATGGTGATGATGATGGCGAGGATATGAAGAGCGGATGCTCCGGCAAGCGCGGCGGTGATGGCGAGGGTGACGACGATGATGATGATGATGATGACAAGCCCCGCCGTCGCCACTCCCACCACCTGGTCAAGGCCGTTGCGACCACAGGAAACATCCATGTCAAGATCACCGAAGGTGAGGACGATTGGATCGGCAAGCTCAAGCACAAAACTGAGCAGATCCCCGGTATGCTCGTTGTCCGCTCTGGCACTGGTGCCGGAAACATCCACACCTTGGTCGAACTCATTGACGACCGTCAGTTAAGCCTCAAGACCGAGTCAGTCGGAGGAGAGATCTACTCCCGCGTCGTAAGTCGTTTTCTCTTTCTTTTTTTTTTTTTTTCTGGTGTAAACGACTGGACTCTTGGTATTTCGCCTATTGTCATCCTTACAGCAAATTAATATCTTCATTCTCTTTGTTTTATACACATAATATAGTCGGACAAGTTCCTGGGATCGTTCAAGGTGGCAACCTTCTTTGGAACCGCCGAAGTTGTCGAGGTGGAATCCTCGCCCAGCACGATCGAGTACTCCAAGAACCAAAAGAACGCCAAGATCGGCCGCAAGATCATTGTCCGTGACGGCGATGACGACGATGATGATGAGGATAACTCTGTCCTTGGAGATATCGTCCTCGGTTCTCCCTTTGGCCATGCCACCCTCGAGTTCTTCTAAGCAATCGTTTCTCCGATAGTTGGGAGGCACCCAAGAAAGAAAAAAAAAAAAAAAAGATTTTGGTGGCGAATATTTCGCGCGTTTTCAAAAATAAATAGTATCGCTTGCCCACTTCTATGATGTTATTTGAACGGTCGTTTATTCTTCCCATTGAAAGGACTATGCTGAAGTGCGTTTACCAGAAACAGCTCCTTCATGGTCATAAAAAAAAGGAAATGCCGTCCAATGGTTTAGATATGGAAAAAGCACGTCTTTTTGTTTGTTGTTTGGTATCATAGGCCCTCTGAGAGTCCGTCTGTGTTTTTGGTGTTTATATGAAATACTGTATTAGAAAAGAAGAAATAGAAGGAAGAGAAGTATATGGGTTGTTGGTGAAGGTGCGGCACATAACAAAATGAAGCAAAAAAGTAATGATAATAACGATGAGGGTCAAATGGATAGAGAACAGAAAGGAGGTCCATCAAGGAGCATCTTCCTTCCACTCTTGTCCCGGTTAATCGCTAAAATATTCTTAGTGCTGCTGTTGCTGCTGCTGCTGCATGCCGTTCTCCTTGAGGGCAAGCAACTGCTTGGAGCGGAAGGACTCGTAGTGGATCAACGAGGTCGTCTCGATCAAGTCCTGCAAGTGGGTGCGTGTCAAAAAGTTGCGCAAGTGAATGAACTCGCAGTGGTTCTCATTCTCGACTATTTTTTGGAACGAATGAAAATATGAAAGTATCAGTTTACTGCTTCCGCTCACTGATGCGGGTAGGGTAACATGAGGTGAGAGAGAGCGCGATTGAGAACATGCTCCAAGCTTACCGTTGATAACACCCCAGCGGTTCTGGCGACCACGGACGGGCTTGCCATCGACAACGATGGTCTTTTCTGATCCGACCACGGCAAAGGGGATCAAATCCTGGATGCTCTCGTTCAAGGCCGCATCCTGCTCATCATCCTCGTCCGATCCGTAGGGGTATAATTTGATGTTGTGGAAAGCCATCTCCTCCTTAATCTATTCTCATTTCAATGCAAACAAGGTTGATATGTTAGTACAGATTGCCCTTTGCCAAGAGTGAGTCCAAACAAAACATGAAAAAACATGACTGGTATCCAGAGGAGTAAAAGACGTACGCGGTGCTTAAAGGCGATGCGCTCCTCGATGGTCAAAGAGTCCGACTTGGCAATGACGGGGACGACGTTGACAACCTCAGTCAGCTTTTTGAGGACAACGATATCGATGGGCTTCAATCTATGTTTTTGTTAAGTCCAGTAATAGAAACAAGATCCATAAGTATTGTGAGCTTTACATTTGTCCATTATTCTTATTTCAGATCTCAACCTTGCGACCATTAGCTGGAGTCAAACATTTTCCAAGATGCATGTCCTGTCGCATGCAGAGCCTAAGTATCCGCCCCGTCCCGCCACAGAAAACAAAGGTGGATTCCAAACTTACGAGTGGCCAGTGGGGGAGATGAAGAACAGGCAGCAGTGAATGCGGGTATCCTGGATGAAAGGTTCACGCTGTGCAGTCAACTCCTTGCGAAGGAAGGACGAGTGCTGGTCCTTGATGTACTTGATAATGGGCTCCCAGCTACAGACAGAAAGGCAATTGGTTCGTTTCGGTTAGTTCTGCTCTTGCGAACGAAAGAAAACAAATACCACTCTCTCTCTCTCTCTCTCTCTCTCGCACACACTGTCATGATGGCTTTGTTGAGTGGTGCTTACCAGTTCTCGTTGTTAACCTGGTCACCGTATCCGGGGGTGTCAACAATGTTGAGTCTCAACTTGACGCCTCTCTCGATGATGGCTATAAAAAGTGAACAAAGTGCAAACAAAGCAACCGTTAGAGCATGCATTAAGTATATTGATAGTTGTGCAACAAGGCAATTAAAATCCTTCCATGAAGATGGAGAGTGCGCGGTTGTAAGTGATGTTGGGATGGGGTGGTTGTTTCCGTTTGCTATTACACGCATGGTTATTCTTTGACTGTCTTCAAAGGTTTGCTGCATCGAATCAAAAAGGCAAAGGTTGTTTGTCTGTCTGTCTTGGGTCTCTCCCTTTCATTCGCGCGCGGCTCTCAATCTCTCCTCAATAATGTGAGGATGGCTCCTTGCTCTTGTTATTTTTCTGTTCACTTTCTCACTCTCCCTCTTGTCAATCTTCTCTCTGTGTGTCCCTCGCTACTTCCGTGAGTTTTGGGTTTCTGTCCCTCCTGAATCCACCGTCCCTTTTTTCAACTTGTCCTCGACTCCCTCCCTTCCTCCTGAAAGAAAGAATGAACTGCATTTCTGGCGCCGTTTTGGGCCGACCCTTTGCCTTTTTCTTTGACGAGGTTCAAAACTCAACTCTTAAGTCCCCAACTTGAGCACTTTTGTTCGATAGTCAGTTAGGGCAGGGTCAAGAACAGAAGCGCTCTCCCTTTCTTTCAAAGACAAATATATAGACGAACAGAACGAGAGCCCGTGCCGGAAATAAAGAGATCCAAAGACACACCACACACACTCTCTCTCTCTTATACATGACAGCAAACAAGAAACGAGGATAGGAGCAATTGGGAAAGGGTGTTTGTCGAACACGTATGTGTCTGTGGACTGAGATGAGATGATGGAGAGAGAGAGGTGGCGAGTAAAGAAAAGAAGAAAAAAGGACGACAGTGCTGCGTGTTTTGAGCGCTTTCAATTGAACCGCAAGAGGAGCGTGATAAATTGGCAAACAACAGAGAGATAGACAATAACGACGACTTACTCTCGGTGAAGGAGTGGATCTCAACAGTCTGACGGCTGGGCTCGTCAGGCTGAGTGCGTCCCTTGGAGTCGATAAGATGCGAGGCAAAGATGGTGTTGATGAGGGTGCTCTTGCCCAATCCAGATTGACCTGTTTATGAATGCAAGAATGAATGAGATGAACAAAAACACACTCCTGTTAGTATACTGAGAGAAACGTGCGTGTCTTCCTTCTCTTTGTTGTCGGTTTCCTTTGCTTTCCGCTCGGTTGCCAGTTTCGACGGCTCTTGTAGGACAAGAAGAGTGTACATACCAACGACCATGACGTTGAACTGGAAGCCACGCTTGAGAAGCTTCTTCTCAATCTGGGAGGTGATAGAGTCGAAACCGACGTAGCTCTGGAGGATGGGCTATAATAAAATGGTGGCGCACAAAGAAGAACAGTGTGAGTATGAGAGAACAGGGGAGGATGGCCCACAAGCTTGTCTACTATTTCCTTTGTTGTGTGAAAGTGTAGTTTTTTTTTTTTTTTTTTGGCGATTATTGTAATTATCGTGAACAGAGAGTGGCACAATTCCTCAAGCACTGTTGTTGGCGTTGCACTGTTATTGTTCTTGTTGTCGCTGTTGTTGCTTATCATTACTGTTGTTGCTGTTTTAGTTGGCGAAGTGAGTAAAGTATGGTATGTGTACCTGGGTGGATTCTGCGTCGACGGACATGATGGAGTGAGCTGTGTTGTGATGGAAGGGAGAAGGAGAGTGATGAGAGAAGGGAGGATGAGGAAGGGTATTAAAGGAAGGTATGAAAGGGAGTGAATGTAAGGGAAGGTGGTGATGGGAGAAGACAAAGAAGAAGAAAGAGAAGAAAAAAAAGGATGAAGAAAAAGATGAAGCACAAAAGGGAGAGTAAGGAGCACAAAGGAAGACAGGACAGAGGAGGCAGGAGGAGAGAGCCAAAAATGAATGGAAGGGAAATCCAATCGCAAATGCTGCATGGACCTTAATTAATTGAATGGATAAGGTTTATTCTGGCTTGTTATTCAAGAGGGAACCATTTGGTTCATTCGCGCCTGCAGTGGCAATGACCTATTTGAATCGCACATGCGCTGCTACCCAAATGGGGGCAGAGAATTGCAACGCTTGCATTCATGAAGGAGTTGCCCAAGACGCAAACAAAAGGTTAGAAACGCGTGCGAGATACAGCGAGATACAGCGAGATATACCAATCCTTTCTTCCTCCTTATCCATTGCCTAAGATCAAGACCTTGATGGGATGCAGCCCATGGAGTGTTGAATATGAAAAATAATAATGAACGTCCCTCGAAAGTTACACAAAAGAAATGCATGTCGAGCATAAGAAAATAAAAAATAGCGTCCAAACATAGGGAAACGACTTCCTATGGACTGTATGGCACGCACACTTGCTTGCAACAATGGCTTATGAGATGCGCACAGAAAAGAACATTGAGAACTGAAATTGAGCGACAGGAAACCGTCTTGCGTGAAAAGAAACGTCCATCTGCTATCTGATTCCCACCCTTTTCTCTAGTTGATCTTGTTGTCCTTCCCATCTCTCTCTGGTCGTTCTCATGTTGCTTCTCTATTCTCGATGCAGGCGAAAACATTCATGGTATCAGCGCACTGGTTAGTCGGATGCAAACCATGAGGAAAGAAAAATGTTGTCGAACAAGCTTATACAATGGAAATAGTCCTGTCGCTGTTGTAACTCAATTGCACTTCGTTTTTCACTCCTTGTCTCATCATTGAACGGTCGATGAATAGGATTCATTTGGGCGTTGAAAAGGAAAACAGACACGCACGTTGAAAAACTGAGTGAGAAGGGCGGATTCCTAGCTTTTGTTGAGATGCTTGAGATGCTTGAAGGGGTGTGTATACAGTAACCGAAGGGAGGGACAAGGACCAAAAAGAAACAAGGGATGCATATAGCCCAAAAAACCAACAAGGGTGAGCGGAATGCTGGCCAGGGACCAGGCATTAAGCATTCAAGGGGGTGGGAGTGGTTTGAAGAAGGACAAGAAAAAAACTCGGAGATGCAGAAAAGAAAGGGCAAATAAAAAGGTGTGAACACTGAGTAAATATCGCCTTTGAAGACCCCCAGCTTTCCTTTCTTTTTTGATTTTCTTTTCTCAATAACCTCGCCTCACTATCATATCCTATACTTCTCTACCTACCTCTAACCATAAATTACGTTGCGCTCTAACCTCCTGACCGTTGCAGCGATCATCCAAATCGTCACCCTCTCTGCCGTCACCAGCCTTGACGTAGGCTGATACTCCATAAGCAAAAACGATATCTACCTCATTCCAGGTGCAAGAGCTGGCGAAGCCATGCCCAGGAGCGTTTTTGACAAAACCGCGGTCTCCACGATCTGCATTGTCGGTCTTGGCACTTCAAACACAAACTATACCACCTACACCCTTCAGTATGAAACTTCACAAAAGTTCATATCGTACAACGATGACGCCGTCGTCGGGACAAAACTCCTCGCCGACTCTTCAGCGCTCCCATTCCATCTCGAACTCCTCGATTCTACTACACAACGTCACCACATTTGCCCTACTACAAGTAATGATATCGCGGTCTGTGGAGGCGACAAGGATATATACGCCAAATTCTGCGCCGTCATTCACAGCTCACCAGATTTTGATAATACTGACTTATGGAACTCTGCCCTTGTAAGTTGTAACTACCTCTGCCCCTGCCACCTAATGAACTCCACCCAGCTGACTCCGTCTCAGTCTACCATACCTTCATTCATCCTTTTCTGAGAAATAAGAGTTAGAACTCTCGTCCAAGCAGAGAGACATAGCGACCAAATAAATCATTCTTGAGCGCCACAATGTCGCTCGTCTATTTTTTATCTTCTCTTCTACTTCCCTTCTGCTTCTCTATCACCTTAAATGGCAACCTCGGTTGCATTTTCTCTCCATCTTGTTTTGAACCCATGCCACATATATAGCATGCGAACGAAGAAAGAAGTTTTCCAGGAGGTGTTGCTGTTAGATACGACTCCAAAATATGGTTTGAGGGCAAGAGGAGGGAGACTTGGCTTTGACAGATGATCAAAGAGACGGTGTGTTTGTGGAGCTCAAACCGCACACATGAAACGCCAACTTCCCAATTATGTATTGGAAACGCTCGCTCTCATGGGCCTGGGGGACAGGGCAGCAATGAGGGCTATGGTGTGTGACTGTTTCCAGCGGATTTTTGATTCCTCAACAGCTGCTCATTGGATTCGAAACAGCTCAGTTCCTGCTGGCTATGCATGTTTTTTTCCTTCTTGAAGTTCTAGTTCACAAAACGCGAAGAGGGGAGGGCGCAGCGAACAGTGATCAGCACAAAATGAGACCGATACACATTTTTTCGCGCTTGGATTTGGCCGTATGATCACCTACTCGTGTGTCGTTGGGTATTGAAAGTATACCTTTCAAATCGCCTTTCGCCCTGCCAACTGCTCATTTTCGTTAGAGAGTAGGGAACGATGGATACAAAGCACTGGGTGTCGAGCGCGGTATCCCTTCCTCCGTGACACGGTTTTTTTTTGGACTTTCAGACGGTCAATTTTTTATGAAGATATGTTATTGCATTATGGAAGGCTTTGAATCAGCACCAGTTGGGTAACAGACAAAGATGAACTTTACACGTTCCACGGAACTAAGTAGTCTTCTTCTTTTTCGACAGTGGGATCCGAGATTGCCATGTGTTTGCACCATTGGCATGTGTTGGGGGTTGATGAGGCATCCAGTATATGTCGTCGTCAGAACTCTGCGGGTATCGACGACCAATCTTATCGTTTTCCACCTTGATTTGCCAGTTCTCGAAGTTCCCTATGCAAAGCAATGCGGAACAGTCGATGACTTGCTTTCTGTCGCTCGTTGATGTGGATACATCGCATGACGCAGGCATTAATAATAGATACATCCTAGAGCCAGAGGAAGTGAAGGAGCAAATTTTTGAGAGAAGGCATTTGCGTCGAGTAGCACAACATCCAGTTTACTTACAGCACAGCTTTCAATCCCTTCCAATCTTATCGTTTGCTTCGAAGTAGTACGATTTATCGTACAAGATGACCCGCAACCTCTATCCTGTTCGCTGCTCTGCTTGTCTTCCAAGCCAGCATTGCCCTCATCGCCACCGCGGACCTGACATCAGGCTGTTACGCAATCTTTATGGGCGACGTCCAGCTTGTCATCGGCAAGAACGAAGACGGTAATAATCTATTCAAGGCTACAAAATCACCAAACAAGGCTACCATCTGGATGGTCGCCGTAGGAACAAACAAGGTTAATGGTATCATCCGCATTTTCCAGGATGAAACGACCAAGGGCGAGCCCTACATGGCCCTGAACTTTCTTTCTTTTTTGAATTACAACATTTTCATGAACATGGTGCCATCCACTTTGCAGTTGATAAGTGCCCCCAAAGGTGAAAAACCCAGTATTGTATCGTTGACGGAGTAGACACCGGTATGTCTATTCAAACGGTCAAAGATTTTCCTCGCGAGCTTGCGCTCGTCTTCGGTTTGCTCAGAGGAGCGTGGATTGTGGGCTTTTACCGCCAAGTAGGCTCCGTAGACAAAGTACCAATCTCTTCCTCCCTTTTCTTTTTTTACGGACATCAGTTACTGCATTTTTTTTTTTTTGCATTGCTGTCATACAAACAATGCGTGTCTTTTCACTATAAGCAACCACACAGTAAAACATCATTTCTATTAACTTAATTCAAAAATGGCCTCTAAGAGAACACAAGGAACACAAATAGTAGTTTCCACCTACATACACACCTCCACCACCATATCTCCCTTTCAAAAGACAGTCTGAGTAGCAGGGTAAAGATATTCAAAGAACGTCATATCGGGGCGGGGACAATGGCTCGACAACAACTTTGTGGGCTCGATCCGATTCCACAGTATCTCCAACTCATGCATGGCCATCTCTTGAACGTGTTCCAACGTCTTTTGGCGACGAGGACCTTGCGGCCGCTCTGCAGTGCTTCCGGGAGTGGTTGCTGGGGTGGATGGGGTGGAGGCCAATTGGTAGATCGAGTCCAGGTGGTTGGGATGGCAAATGTACACCCACCGCTTTCCATCTTTTGCCGTTTTACCTATTACATTTTGCGTTGAGTACCATACATCGTGGATCAGTACTCGATGCATTTTGAGAGGCGCGGACAAAATTACAAACACCCGATCCACAGAGATACTTACTGAAGGAAACGAGGCCATAGAAGGCGACGAGGGCATGGGCGACAAAACGAAGGAACTGGTCCTGAATGTCCCAGCGGAGGTAGACCTGAGGCTTCTCCTCGTCCTCGGCCTCTTGCTCCTCCGCCGCAGCAACAGCAGCAACAGCAGCAACAGCAGCAACAGCAGTCTCATTCTTCTTCTCTACAAGGACCTCCTTGGCTGGCTGCGTCTCAACTGCGGCAGGCTTCTCAATAACCACCCAAGTGGACAACTCCTCCACCGTCTCGGCAGCAGCAACAGATGCAGCAGCAACAAGAGTCAACGCGTCAGCAGGGTTGCTCTCATCGTCGCTACTCTCGCTCTCATCGCCAGAAAGAGTAAGCTGATCCAAAAAGTTAACCAACTCTCCCTCATACTGCATGACGATTCCCTGGGGGACATGGACTTTCTTGATATCTTTCCGCTGCGCACGCGTCAAGAGTCGATGGCCGATCTGAGGCGCACTTGCAGAAGGGGTTGCCTCAGACATTTCCTCGTTGGCATTGGCGGCCTTGGAGCGTCTTGAGGAAGGAGGGTTGTTACGGATGAGGGATTCGATGACTGAGTCGTATTTCCAATGGAACGATGGTGCATCCTGACCGTAGCCTGGAAAGGCCAAGTCGGCCTGGTAGAGGACCGCAAACGGATGATGCACAAACTTGTCTATTCTCACACACGGATGAAAAAAGACAGAAAGAGAGAGAGGACCGCACAAGAAGGAGGAATATCCGTTCCGTAGATGGCAACGAAAATGAGGACAAGAGTAAGATAGAGGGACAGGTAAGAAAGACGACCAAAAAAAAATGATTTCTTTTTGGAATCGCGAGGGACGGCATATGTATCCAAAGAGTGAGATAGGAGAGAGGGAGCGAAGGTTCATAGACAGAGAAGGCGCCAATTGTATATTCGTCGATCGCTGCACTCTGTCATGACTCATAAACCCTTGTTCTCTCATTACTCAATTGGAGCCCAGCCTCGCTTTCACAGTCTTCAGTTTCTTCTTAAGGCAGTCAACAACGATCCAAGAGGAAAGGGGAATCCATTGGTTCAAATAAACAACACGAGAACGAATACAGCATCCTTCGTGAGTGCATTTGTCCAATCGCGGTTGACCAACGGTTCACGCTTCTTGTTCGTCTTTATGCCTCTTCTTCTCCCTCAACGTGTATTGTGCTTCTGTCCTACGCCGCAAGGGGGTAATCCAATTCGAAAGTATCCGCTGCCAAAGGGGAAAAGGGTCAAATCGCTAGTTCGCTCGTCACAGCCGAGAGAAGGGTCCAAAGATTTTCATATGGGGGAAAGATAGGAGAAGACCTCGGATCGGAGGCACACTCGGACATGATGACAGACAGGAAGGGATGATAAAGGCAATTGTATGGCAAGAAAGCAAGGAAGGATAAGCAACACCACTCCTCACTTTTAACCCATGTCCATACATCTTATATCTCCTCCACGACTATCAGCAAAATACCCAATATACTTGCCATTATCATGTCGTTGACGGCGCCGGGATCCCTCGCCTCCAATCTTCTCTCGCTGATTCTGAGAATCACGTTGGAGCCACGGGTAAAATTTCTTCTTCTTCTTGGTGTGAGACCTCTGCAGTTGTTGATTTGTGGCGATGGGGTTGTTGTCGGCGTCGACGAGGGTGATTGTGGACTGGAGGGTGCGCTCTAGCGACTGTTGGTGCAGCTGCATGAGTGTTGCTTGTGTTTGGCCGTGGATCGAGTGGCCGATTGGTGGGAGGGAGTATCGCGTCATGAGGTTGAAGTATGTGTGAGGGGGAGGGGTTCCGGTTTGGATTGGATGTAAGTTGATGAGTGTGAGAAAGGACTGGTGTCCTTGATGAAATGAAATAAAGAGAAAGGAGGAAAGGTAGTAGAATGTGTCTAGTGAGATAGAAAGGGTGGTTGGGGATCGGGATGAGGATGAGGATGACGAGAAAAGGAAGAGGGTGGTGAAAAGAGAGTGAGGAGGGAGTGGGAGTGGTGATGAGAGTGGAGAAGGAAGAAAAGAAAAGGGACGCAAGTGATGACCTGCCTCTTATGTGTTTTGATGACTACCGTAGTACTGTTCCCTCACGCACTCCTCGTTCTTGTCGCTTGGGCTCAATCCAGAAGCAGGCAATTGATATTCCTCCCTTGTCTTTCCTTGTCTGCTGCAAACACCCACAGACAGACACACACAATATCATAACACTGCAGACACTCCCCTACAACACTGCGGCCCATTAACAGAGCCATCTGCTACCATAGCCATCCCCCCAGCCTCGCTCTCCTTCCCACTCCCCATTCTTCTCTAGCTCTCAAAAAAGAGTCAAGGGATAGTCCCGATCCATACTGCGGCGCCAATGTCCTCTCCGAGCCGCAGTCAAGTTCCTTTGTTATGTTATTCTTTACCTCCTCACTTATTCTCCCTTTTCACCCTATTTGTCCACATATCAATGGTATTGGTTGTGTTTCGCGTAGTGTCTATCAGTATCAGATGTTGATCTTGGCACCATGCTCGGGACCTGGTTTGTTGTCCATGATGTTTTGATGGTTGCGCCACCAAAATGGGCAGAAAAAAGAACTGACGTATATCATGGTCACTGCGAGTGGAGTGTACATGCATGCTTTTATTTGCGCAAACAGAAGAGGGGTGGGGCGGATAATAATATACAAGTGTGGTTGGTTAGTGGTGGTGGTAGAGATCAAGAGGGGGGACCGCTGTCTACGATCCGTGACTTCCTTCCTTTTTCCCTCTCAACTCTCAACTAAAAGAATCCTGCTGAAAGAGCCTCAAACACAGTCCACTCAACGTCCGCATCCTCCCCACCTCAACTTGACTCTGCGGCGAGGCCTTATGCTCTCCCCGATCCTTCACAAACGGTAAAAACGCCGCCTGCGGCCGATGCGACAACATCTTATCCAATATTGTTTGTTGGACCTTTGACGGAATTATATTCAGAAACATGCTCCTGATAACAGACTCGGTCCATTTATGACCACCGCTGAGACGACCCATGTGGCGGGACCCCTGAACGGCGGCTTTTCCGTGTTCGGATCTGTCCTTGTAGTAGGCTTCGAAGGCGGTTGTGATGGAGGCTGAGGTGGTTGTGGTGGTTGTGGTGAGGTCGTAGAGGATGTTGGCGAGGCTTATTGCGTCCAGCATTGCTTGCGCTGCTCCCTATTGAACGTGATTTCGATGGAATGGAGGAGGAGGGGGCCATATGTTTAGTTTCGAGGGATCTCTGCAAGCACATGCGCATGGAAAAGCAAGATGAGGAGATAAAGCGTCATCCCAAAACAGCCACGCCGTGTGTTCATTCTTTGCTTACCTGACTGTAGAGATAGACACATGGTGGTCAAATCAGAACCGTGAAGGCGAACAAGAAGGAAATGGGGGCCACTGGTTAGAAAACTGCACATGGATTCATAGAAATGAATAACAAAGTACAATACCCATGCATTTACAAAAAGGCAAGAAATTAACAAAAGTACGTACCCAGCATGAGGAACAACCTGTCATTTTCATAGGACGACCAATATCAAGAACAAGGACGAATAGGAAGCGAATAGAGTAGACACGGTCAGCGCACGTTCAGAAATCTTTGTGGCGTTTCCCTGCTCGTCCTGTCATTTCTGATCAGTGATCAGTCCTGTAAGTCGCGTCCGTCACGCGTCAAAGGTTTCAAGAAGTAAAAAGGTCTAGATCGAGTCTTCATCTCCTAAGACTAACCCACTAACCCTTCCATAATCCAGTTTCTGTCCAGAATATAACTCATCCTTTTACGCCACAATTCCCTTATCCCATGGATCTTGCTCTCTTGTATTACTGTGTCCAGAGGTTCCTTGATCCAACACCTCGCCTTTCGCGTGTTTATTCTCCCATGTTTACCTTATGACAAGCTATAATGGGCGTGAGAGAAAACGGGAAGATGCACAGAAAAAGAAAAACGTGTGTGAGCGATCATCGCTATCAAAACTGAAATAGCATGGCAAACACAACGAAAACCAAACACAGGCAATCGATTTTTGGACAACTTACCGTCTCCCATGAGCACTATGCGGTTATGGTACCATGTTTCAAAGAACTAACGCCAATGCAAGTAACGAGAACACAACAGCGAGAAATACGCAGTAAAAGAGGGCGTTAGGGATGCCAAAAAAAGGGGACAATGCAGCTGAACGAAGAGCACATGTCAAAATTGTTACACAGATCATGCAAATGACGATTTCTCATCTTTTTTTTTCCATCCCTCCCTTCTTCCCAACCAACATGGAGTATAGAAATTACCTTTTCCTCAAGAAGAACCTTCGATATCCGGTCCTTGGGCGTCTGATCGATTATCTCCGCCAACGTGCCGCCATAAGGACAAACGAAGTCGCGACACGCATTCGCCATCTCCTCGACTTGTAGGGGCCCCCAATCCGAGGATCGGATATGATGTTCCTGACGGATTTGGGTTGTGGGTAGGTTGTATGTTACTCTCCAGGCTAGACGGTTCTTTTTCAGGGGGATCAGCCACCACTATTATTATTATTAGTTGAGATTCGAGAAGGATGAAAGATGAGGAATGTTAACAGTGCTGTACATGGTACGGGTAAAGGGTTAACGGGTGCTGAAACTGTTGAAAAAGAGAACTGACTAGAATTTGTTTGATTACGAAAGAACCAACATATGAGCCCATTCCTTTTTTTTTGTCATCGTCGGCGGTCGGTCGGTGGTCAATTTGTTCCCTCTTTTAGGTCAGCGAAACAATTGTCCCACCCTCCGATTTCGTTTCGTTGATAATATTCTTACCGAGTAGGGCTTGTCCTTGCCGATGACGACCATCATGTCGCAGGTGGATCTGGACAGGTCGGGGAAGTAGATCGGGTCAATTGGGTCCGTTATACCTACATGTGTTCATGAATTCAAAATGCGAGCAGTGCAAGGGTAATTGCATTAGTACGTTGTGTCGGTCTCGAAGAAGGGAGGACTGAACGGCCTTCGATGAGAGTTAAGCATGAGGGGCATGAGATGAGCTTTTCTCTTTTTCTAACTGACAAACAAGCTTATCTCCCTCACTCCCAGCAGCTCACAAAAACAAATCAAAATCAAAAAATACATCCTCCGCTGTGTTGCCTTCTCCTTGGCACCCCCTTTCCTTTCCTGAAGGTGTGCACCTCTCCCTCTCTATCGCCTTTTGGCATGTGCTTGAGCTATTCACATCTCACAAAGTAGAAAATACACGGGACCGCCATGAAGCACTTACCAACAAGACAATGATGGTCAAAGGCCAACGGGGCCATATCGGATTTGGGCAACAGGTTCTCACTCCGGAGATCACGGTACAGACACCGCCGGACACACGAGTAGGCTCCATCGGCGCCTACTAGGATATCTGCCTCGTATGAACTGGTGTCTGAACAACGGACGAGAACGCCCTGATCATTTTGTTCGATATCGCAGACTCGTTTTCCGGTGATGATGCGCCCTTCTGGGATGCGAGAGAGGAGCAGTTTGTAGAGGGATGGTCTGTCCATGATTCTGCATAGAGGGGAAGGAAGATGGAAGTAAGGTTGTTAGATGCGCTGTTTTCTTTTGAGGTTTTGTGTTCAAGAAGCATTGGGATTGGAGGAGAAATGGGATAGAAGGGGTGGCAATGGTGGCGATGATCAATGAATGAGGGATTTTCCTATCGTTATTCGGTTTTTTTTTGCGATGCGTCTTTTTTTGGTTGTTTGTTGTTTGTTTGGTTGTTGCTTGTGTTTGGCATGGAAAACATGGAGCAGGCATTGAATGTTAAGAATAAGATTGCTCACCTGTTATGATATCCATATCTGCTTTCAGGAACGAACCGCATTTCGCCAACGACAAAGGGACAAAGGGACAGAGGGACAAAGGGCACAAAATCACCAAGGGAGGAGATCGAAAAATAAAGAGAAATAATGTTAGTCTTGTCGAACACTCCAGCCCTGTCCTTCTTGATCATCCTCCATACCAAAGACAGAACACCCTCCAAGATGCCAACAAAGGAGACATACCGGACAGCATCAGACGAAAGATCCAGCGACCCAATCTTATTCATATTCTCCTTCAAGAAAGTCATCGAATTAATCGGTTTCGAAATCGATTCCAATTCCTTAAGCATCCCCAGCTGTTCAAACAGAGGCTGGATCGATTGGTTGAGGGATATACTGCTCCCCAGGGGGATGAGGTCTCCCTCGTGTTTTTCGAGGATGGTGTATTCGATCCCGGCCTGTTCAAGGAGGAGTGCGAGGGTTAGTCCGCCTAGTCCTGCGCCTGCTATGAGGACTTTTAAGTGTGATACTCGTGGTTGTGCCATTGTATTGGTGAGGATAGGAGGGTGAATTTTTAGTTGATTAGGGTCAGCGTGTGTTGGTATGAAGGGATTGTTCGATCCAGTTGTAGGTGGGGTATAAAGAGGGTACTGTCGTTTTGGGGGAAGAGAGAGGAGGGGTATAACGAAGACAGAAATAAGAAAGAACTTAGAGTAAAGAAGTTGAAAAAGGAAGAAAGCAAAAAGAAAAGAGAAAAGGGAAAAAAAAAGGAGGAGCGGTTGGGCCAAGGGTCCTTTAGCCTTGACCCCTTTTTATACCCACGACCAATGCTGTACCGAAAGGGTTGTTCGTCGGTGTTGGTTTGTCCGTCCGTCTGTCCTTGAGCATCGAGGAAAAGAAAGAAAACGAAGGTGTAAAGTACTTTTAGCGCGGGTTGTGTATATTCATGCACATACACTTGACACACATTGTTTGTCCCAAGCAAGGGCTCTAATTCACTCACTTGCTCTGCGCTATTCAATTAACTTTTTCTTACCGTTACTCATGTTCGCTTCTGCTTTTGGGTTACAGCAGTTCCTTGTATGTATGTTTATGTGTGTGTATGTGGTTGAATGCAATCGTTCGTGCAGGGGCATAACGAACAGAAAAACACAACAACCGCACATAACCAAATAAGAAACATGTTACATAAACCATGTTCCTCTCATCCATCTCCTCCTCCCTTGTGCGCCCCTCTTTTCCTCTCTCCCTTTCTACTATGAATTATCGTTCATTTCTTGAGGGATAAACCCTTGCTGAATACTTTATTGTTTTAAGGCGGTGGTGGTGGTGATGGTCCTATGCATGTGGTAAAAAGGGAGGGAAAGGGAGAGTGTGGGATATAATTTGTTATGAATCCCAAGAGAAGATGGACAGTAACACCTTTTTTCTTCTTCTATTTCTTTTATCTTGTGCAATGAAATATGCGCATGAAGAGGGGTGGGGATGGGAGGAAAGGAAGGAAGGAGGAGGAGGAGGAGGAGGAGGGAACGAACTGTCTAAATCACATCCTTCTCTACCCCTTTGGCCACCTTAGTATTTTGGTATTGAAAAAATCGCGTTCAAGTAAAAGCGCGGGTTCAAGTTTGCGGATCACACTGGACCGAACCCACCTTCGTTCCTTGGAAAAACTCACACAGCAGAGGAAGTGATGATAAACGGGGGCTAATCAAAAGAAGGAAAGAGGAATGGACCCTTACGAGCAAGGAATTGAAATAATTGTATTGTGACAAAGGAGAATAAAAGAGGTGAGAGCATGTCCTGTCGGGCTGGATGTGCAAACGAAACAAGATGACAATAACCCTCTGGCAACCTGGAACGAACCATGGACAATATTTTTTGCATTGTCGGGGTCCACGACATATTTTGGTGTGCGCATGTTCCTGAGCGGGGATTTATCCCCGTGTAGGTCTAATCTTTCTTGCTCTGTGAAAATTTGCCTTGCCTTGCTTGCACTCTCTGTCCCAGGTCCCTGCTTTTCCTTGCTTGTCCCCCTGTTTTTCTGTTTGTAATTCCTCAGTCGTTGATTGGTGCCAAGGGAAGTAAAAGATGAAAAGATAGCGGGTTTCTCAGGTCCGTGGTTGACAAAGGTTAAGCATGACAAAGAACAAGCACAGGTGAGAGTAGTCGAGAGAGAGGAAGGGGAATAAACAATTCACCACGGGCTTGGACAAGGCGTTTGAATAGACACCGCCGCTCTCTCATAAACAAATAAATAATCGAAATTAGCCCATATGTGTCTATACTTGTGGATGCATCTAGAACCAACCGACAACCGACAACCGAAAACCAACAATCGACAATCGACCAAACACGGAGACAAGGTTGTGAGATAAACAATCGATAGATGGAGGGGCGGAGACACGAAAGCAAGAGACGAAGGGCGAAAGACGATAGGCAAGAGGAGAGATGGGTCTATCTTCTTCATCACTTGCACCGTAACTCCATTCAACCAGTTGACAGTCAATCGGTCATCAACCCGCGCCTTCTCTCTCCTTCCCAGTGCCGGCGTTGACAAAGAAACGCTCCTTAACCTTGTTGAATGCGCATGAAAAAACGTTTCGTCCATTGCTAATTGTTGATTTTTTTCCCGCCAAGGGCTGCATTCATGCTAACTATCTCGCCAATCGACCGTTAAAAACACAAGCACACGCGTACAACTTATTCCAAAAAAGCGGTTGTCGGTTCATTTGCACCTCCCAATGCCCAATGCCCAATGAAAGAAATGCGAGAGAAGGAGTGTTAATATTGTCCACTGATCCAACCATGCTCTCCCTTTTCCACGCCTCCCTACACTGCCTCCCTCTCTCTTTTCTCTCTCTATTTGATTGACTAGTCATCTCACCTTCATCATCAAGGAGCATGTAACAACCAAGAAAGAAGGTAAGAACCGTCCTTTACTCACACGCCTCCCTAAAGCAATCATCCCGTATATCATCCTCCCCTCCTCCTCTTTCTCTCTCTCTCTCTCTCTTTATCCATGTCACCCTTGCATGTCTTCCTTTTTACATTTCTCAAGCCCGCCTTCTTGCATTCCCTCACTTGTTCAATTGTCACTTAACTGTAGACCATCCTCTCCAACTTTCATGTCCTATGCCTTATTGCCAATGGATGGTTGTTCGTTTTGCTGACCCCTCCCTATTTGACCGGGGGCCCCTCCCTCTAATTGATCGTTGTGTCCCACTCTTCCCCGTTTGCACGTTTGCGAGTTCGTGATCGCGCGAATCAGGCTCCAGAGGTGGACACGCCACTCTCACCTTTTTAGATTCAGTGTGTGTGACCCTTTCAAACGTCCGTAAGACATGGTGCAACCTTCCTCCTTCAAAAGCATGCTAAGAAAAAAACATGGCATTGTTAATGAAAAACAAACAAATCGCTTCTACCGCTGTGCGAAGAATGCACGATCCCGCTCTTTCCTTTCACCCCTCCCTTTTTTCCTTCCCAACTAATACCATCCGGGTACCCTCCTCTTTTACAATCATCCGATACAAACGCCTTCCAACGCCTCCCACCCTCGACGGATATCCCAATCCTGCCTACACTCCCTTCCCACCTTTCCCTTGCTCACTTCCCACCCTATCCTTATATCGACATCGGTAGTCGGCATCGGCAACACAAGCAACCCTCTCACTCTAATTCAACCTTACCAGAAGGGAGAGAAGTACCCCATGTAAGGTAAGCAAACCCGAAACGCCCAGCTCCGTCTGCAAAAGGAGAGATCCAGGGACCATATTTTCTTCGATCGATTGAAATCCCAGGGGAAAACACCATGCATACGCGCGACGTAAGGGTTGCGCCATGTCCACCCAGCACCACCACAAAAAGGGACACTTGAACCACTCTTCAATTGCATTTACAACTCCTCCCTCTCACTCGCAGGCATTGTCGCATTTGGCATGAACAATACCCCATTGTACTTTTTTGCGCGGTTGTCGAGTTGTCTTGGACTATGCGCTGCAGTGTCTCAAACCCATACCCGTACCTACACCCACACCCCCACCTACCCCACCCCCACCACTCCAGCATCACCCCCCACCTGAAACCCGCCAAGGCCAACCCAACAAGCCCAATCGTACGCAGCACTGGCACAAACTATTGCCCGGTGTCATCTTTCGCGCCCTTCTCCTCGCGGAGGTGTCGTCATCACCATTTTCTTGTTTGGAGGCGCCCTTTCTTCGCCTCATCCTGATGCTGTGATTGTCATATTTTTTCAGGAACGCGGGAAATCGCCTCTTCCTTTACCTCTCTTCCTTTTTCTCCTCCCACTCTCTCCGTTCCATTATCCGTTTCGTCCTCTCCCGCCCTTCTCTCTCATTTCCCTCCTTTCGTTGTTCAGGTATGATTAAGACATGTGTTGCGCACATTTGTGCTCCCTCCTCCTCCCCTCGTCACAATTGCTATTGTTTCCAGAAAAACCCTTTTTTTCCTTGTTATCTTTCTGGTCCCTTGTTTATTTACTTTTCTAGTTCAGCACACATGTAATCAGTGCATGAACGCATGTTGTTTTTAGCAGGATTACGCAGAACCTACTGCAAGCCGTAAGTGGAAATAGAAAAAGGACAACAATCTCAGAGGAAGTAATTAATAATTGCAGGAAGGACGGAGCATAAAAAGTTATGCAAAACGTGAAGAATAAAAAGAAGCCAACCCGCTAATCGCGACACTTTTTTTTTTTTTTTTCTTTTCTTTTTTCCGCATGAAGTACATACATCAATGGTGTACAATGTACATCCGGAAACAAAAAATAGGAAAGAGACATGGAGGGATGAGACCGATGGGTGAAAATGGAGGAGTTAGAAAAAGAGAGCCAGGAATGAAAGAAAAGTACTAGCGAACACTACGCGTCGGAGAATAGGATTTCCTGAATGAAAAGAAGAGGGAGGGAAAAAAGAGGGTTGCAGCCTGATTCGATCACGCCAAAAATAAGCTTATTCGTGGACCCCAGCGTGAGACACATGGAGCTTACTAGTGGTGGTAGTACTACTCACACCGGGTCTGGGTCTGGGTCTGGTGCTATGTAGCTCTTGTGACGTATTACACAATTACGGAATAGAAAGGAGTTTGTATGTGAGAGATATGAATTGTAGAAAAAGTAAAAAAGGGCACTTCCATTCTATTTGCCGTGCGGCAAATGCTCATATTTTTCGCCTCATTTCTGCACTCACACATGCTACCATTATCCTGCTCTTCATGAGGATAGGTAAAGGGAAAAAAAATGCTCTCAGCCACCCAAATTGTTCGGTGTTGGTTCTGGTAGCATGCCGTGGGCTATCTCTTACGAAAAGTCCGCAATTGAGAAATGGCATTAGCCCTCGCATGATGGTCCAAATGCGCATTAAAAAGGTACAGACCATTGGAGCAAATGAAGTCCTCGGCCATGATTCTCCAGTGAAATTTATTCGACAATGACAGGCGCATACTCCCCTTCCTCCTCATAGTCCTCATCCTCACTATCTAACATTTCCACTGGCTTCATTTCAACAACCTTCTGCACTTTCCTGAAATCCCCAGGGATCTTCCACTCAAAGCTCTCCAACACCGCCTTCTGCAACCCCTGCATCGGCTTCCGGAGCGCCAGACAATGTCCCCGTCGCAGGCCCGATTGAATGTTCTTGCCCATCGACTTCAACGCCAGTTCCAAAAAGTTGGCGGTCATGTCGTCCTCGTCCGGGGATGCAAACAGGAGATCCATGAAGAAACTGGACGGGATGGAGGTCAATTGGTGGTGCAGGGTTTGAATGAACTCGGATACGAGGGTCGTGTAGTTGGGCGAGGAAGTTGCCTCGGTCGATTGGCAGACCAAGATCGTCATGGTCTTCCATTGCCGGAATGCGCCCAGATGGTAGCTCAGCAACATCGTCACAAATGCCGCTTGATACTCTCCCAAGAACGCCGACACGTCTATCATATACCAAGAGATGATCGTTTGGTTAGTTGACTATTCGATTCATAAATAATTGAACTGGTAGAAGATTGCACAAAGCCTGGGTGGAAGGGTTACCATTGTTGTAGACGGTGGTGAAGAGGTTGTTGAGGAGCCAGGACTTGTCGAGACTGTACCGTGTGACCTCTTCGCCCACAGCACCTTTTCGGAACGACGACCGCAAGTTGATGGGTGTGAAAGAAATCGAAGTGTTGGACTTTGTCGGCTCAAACTTTGACGGTACCGGTACTCCTGCTCCGGCTGTTGCCGTCGAATCTTCCTGTCCACTTGATGCCTTATCGACCTCCATGTCCTCCGTCTCATCCTCCTCCTGAATAGTAGTTGTCGTCCTGATCTGATTGTGCTCCTTTTTGGCCTCTGTTGCTGCTTTGTCATCATCCTCATTCTGTTTTCGTTCCAGGATCTTAGTAGCTCTGGCCAGCTCATCTTCCAACTGATCGTCGTGTGAACTGACAAAGCCGTTGGATGAAAAGACGGATGCGATGGTGGATTTTTTGATGTGTGTCGAAAGCTTGAGCCATGCTGGGTAGGTCGATGTTGGAGGGAGGAGTGGGTATGATCCCAGGAATGGATCGAATTCCTCAATCCCTATTATATTTTTTTGTTCCGCAGCGGATGCAAATGTTAGTTTCGAGAATACAGACGACAAGAACAAGAGTCTGCAGAGAAAGAGCTGCAAATAGTCCACGTACCTGCTTTGTATCGTGCAAGTTGATCCTGGTCAGTCTCCAACTCCAGTTCCTCATTATAAGCGTTCCACTTCATAACCACAACCTCACCACTCTCAAACAAATGCCAGAACCCCGTCCTCACATCTCCTCCTGTAGTTCCTCCCTCTATCACCTCAATCTCTACCGTTCCATTATCCTCCTCCTTCTTCCCGCTGCTTGCACCTTCTCCTCCATTATCTCCTTCTGGAGACGGCCTTGCGGATTTGGTGTTGTGGAGGGAGTAATAGACAAAGTGAGCACCAGGGGGGATGATCTTGATGCCCTTGAAGCGAGGGCCGGTGTTCCAGCAGTTGACGTCGATTCCGAATTCGAGTTGGTTGTGAGGTGCATCGAGGACGAGGAGGATGGCTCCTGCCTTGAACAGTCTCTTCATTGTCTCATTGTCCATGTTGTGTTCCTTTGTCTGCTGTGAATGTCTCCTGTCCTTGAGTGATGGTCGCTGATGGTTGATGGTAGAGGGCGTTGAACGAAAAAAAATGAACGCGATTGTCCTGCTATCTTCTCAAGTTGGTGGCACCAGGTTGGGATTACACGTGACTCTAAGCCATAGTCACAATTCACAACAAGGCACTTTTTTTTCTGTAACATTTTCACCTTCAAACCTCTCCACCCTCAACAAGGACGACCTCAAGGACAAGCAAGGACTTCAGGACCAATCTCACCAACAATGTACTATTATATCCGCCTGCTAAAGAACACGCCGCTTGAGGCCGTGATTCAAGAGCCCTTCAAGATGGTCTTCACAATCACCACGGACCTCACAGAAAAGTTCTACGAGTCCCCTTGCAAGCTCCGTTGCCAAACCGTCGTCCGCACCCCCTCCACCGCCCCCGGCGCCACCCCCGACGACACCATCATGACTGTTATGCCCCAGGGTCTCTCTCAAGGATACTCGCTCGACTATGACCCCAAGATTGGTTACTGCTCCGTCGACCTCCGTATGGCCCCCTGTATGACCATCTATGACGAGTGCCAGGTAGTCCTCTCCCTCGACCCTGCTCCTTATACCTCCAACAACGGGAAAGCTCTTATCGCCCCACCAGAATACGAGATCCTCCCAGCCTGGTCGCTCCCGATCCACCTCAAGCCTGCGCCATTGAACTTCTCGAAAAGGACCAAACATCGCAAGGTCAACAGGAAGTATCTGATCGATACCCGACAGGACCTGGTGGAGCGTTATTTCAAGTTGCCCCCGCATTTGACGGGAGTTCATGGACCCGGTCGGTCGCTTTTGGTGCGTGAGGATGCGAATGAGGGGTTTATGGCTCGTCATATTTGGGACTCGGGAGTGTTTATGACAAAGCACTTGATGTTGCCCGACTCTTGGCTCAGCAAGTATATGAGGGAGCAGGATAAGAAGGCGTTGGAGGCTTCGATGGCAGAGTTGAGCGTTGCAGAGTCAACAGGAGCAGGAGCAGTATCAACGGAATCAACAACAGCAACAACAGTAACGTCAATACGCCCAAAGAAGAGAGTTTGCTTGGAACTCGGTGCAGGAACTGGCCTCGTCGGCATCGCCGTCGCAGCAGCATTCCCCGAATTGAGCGTTCTCTCCACAGATCTCGACGAAGCTCTGGCTTTGATGCAACAGAACGTCGACGCCAACAGGGCCCTCCTTCCCCAGAACAACATGGAGGTCGGCTTCCTGGACTGGGCTGAGAAGGATCGTCAGTGCGAACCCGTCGAGATCTTGTTGCTGGCAGATGTTGTGTATAACGACTTGTCACATGAGTTCTTGTTGCAGACGGTGCTGGATTATAGTGATGAGCGGACCAAGGTGCTGTTGGGGTACAAGTTCCGTCACGAAGCTGAGCAGCAGTTCTTTGAGCGGGCGAAAGAACACTTTGAGATTGAGTTGGTCCATGAGCAGGATACTATGCAACTTTTTGTTCTTACCCGCAAGCTTTCATCTGTTCCTGTCAGTGCCTCTGCATGAAGGTTTCTATCATAAAAAATGTCCTATTGAAAACTCAATTGCTGTTTAAATGTTCTGCTGTGCACACGCCGATGTTGTTTTTTTCCTTTGAGGAGTGTGGGAAACAAGGGGAACGAAACCCTGTTCGGATCACCCTTTTTTGTGTGCCACGGGTGGTATCTGATCCAGCTGCAGCCACACATATTTTTTCCCTCAGTCGAAAAAGACGCCCAACGTCGAACATTCCTCTTCCCTTTTCTTTTTCTTCCCCATCACCCTTTAGCAAACAGCATCAGCACAGCTACACCCATTGCCCAAGGAACAAAAGGCCAACCAACAGGAATCGCGGCCCAAATACATCTCTGCCATGTCAAAACCACAACAACCGTCACCGCCGCCCATGTCAAACCGCCAACGCAAGATCATGGAGCGGCAAGCCGAAAAAAACCGCCTCGCCGCCGCCGCAAAACGTTCTTCCTCCACCTCTTCCCCAAACCCCAATTCCCCCAACAACCCCTCGGGAGAGAACACAAGCGCACGCACCCCATTCCGGGAAGCAGAGCTCCAATTTCTGGCCCGCCATCCCGTACCTGACTTTTCGCTGGCCTTGGATTTCCGGCTGCCGGCGGAGGAGTTGTTGAGGAGGTACCCCAAAGTGAGGAGGGCGAGATTGAACGGTGGGAGGTCGTTGAGTCAGTTCTCAGAATTATTTGGATTCAAGGAGACCAAGGATGGTCAGGACCAGGAGGAGGAGGAGTACGCCTATTTGCATGAGGATCATCCAGGTAACAAACACCCTTCGCTTTTGTTCTGCCATCAATTGAGACACTTGACGCACATACATCTTGACTAACAAAGCACACCTTTCTTACCAATGGCCAGGCCTAATCTATATCCCAGCCGCATTCACGCCAGCAGCACAACGGACACTGATCAAGGGATGCCTCAAGGAATACTCTCGCCACCCCAACAAATCCAGCCTCGACACCCACTACAAGGTCCCCTCCTCTGGACTCTGGGACCTCCACGAAAATGTATACCTCAAGAAGCAATCCCCAGACGACCCAGCTGTGTTTGTGCCCCGGAAGGCGGATGTTGATAATCAGGCCAATGGATATGGATCTGATGATGACGACGACGATGATGATCAGGATGGCGAGCAGGATGCAAACGGAAATGGGAAGAAGCAAGAGACCGGCCCACGCCCCAAACCTCAATCCCAACAACCAGCAGCCAAGAAATCCAAGCCCTCCAACCCACCACAACGTCGAGCAATGGTCCCCATCACCAACGAAACCCCCACCGTCCCCGACAACGTCCCCAAAATCGACCCCGAACCGTCCTCCCAAGTCCCCATCCTCCCGCCCTCACAACTGATCCGCAAGATGCGCTGGATTACTTTGGGATACCAGTACCATTGGCCCTCCAAGACCTATCATTTTGACCAGAATGCGCCATTTCCAAAGGAGTTATGCGTTCTCTCTAAAGCTGTTGTTGCGGCTGTTGATAATGATGGTGAGAAGGGGGAGTTCCCGTACCCATACCCGGCGGAGGATTTCGTGGCAGAGGCCGGCGTTATTAATTATTATCAACTCAAGGATCGGTTGATGGGGCATGTGGATCGTAGCGAGCTGAACAAACATGCTCCCCTCGTCTCCTTCAGGTAAATAACTACGATGATATGTTTTTCTTTGGACGAGGAAGGCACGCTTACGTTGGTTGTCATTGGAAGAGGCCCTTGTACTGTTACTGACTTGGACTTTTTTTGTCCATGCGTTAATACAAATAATAGCTTCGGGCACTCGTGTATCTATCTGTTGGGCGGCCCTACACGCGAACAGTCTCCTACCCCAATCCTCCTCCAAAGTGGGGACATCCTCGTCATGACCGGACCCTGTCGCTCCGCCTTCCACGGTACAAAAAAAAATAACTCTCTCTTTTTTTTTTCCCTCTTTCTTTCGCCTAAATAACAAAAGCCTACGGATCAAACCAGCCAAAAACAAAACTGCAAACTAACGGCCCAAACCCATGTTTTTTGTTTTCACGGTTCTTGTATTAGGAGTACCAAGGATTATCGAGGATACCTTACCAGGATACCTTCAACAAGACCTTACAGACCCGGAATGGGATATCTATGCGGATTACCTGGCCGAAGCCAGGATTAACCTCAATATCCGTCAAGTATACCCACCAAAGTCTAGTACCACTACCACTGCCACCTCTACATCTGATCCAATTGTTACCACCACCACCACTACCACCACTGCCCTTGATACTCCAGCCGAATAATAAAAAAGCGCGAACGATTGCGTGGAGTTTACTCATTTTTTTTTTTGTATCAAAAATGGCATTTATTTAGTTTTGGTGAATACTGTGGCAAAGAATAAAGGAACAGAAAAAAAAAAGATATATTGTAGGTGTGGAAAAGATGATGTGGTTTGGTTGCAAAGGGCTAGGTGGTATCTCAATCAGACAGGCCAGAGAGTTCTGAAAGATCATCCAAAGAATCGTTGTGTGCATCGTCGTCGTCCTCGTCTTCTTCTTCCTCATCGTCATCCCCTGCAGTATGTTTTGGTCCTTCCGTCGTTGTCGTTGTTGGTCCCGTGGAAGCCTTGCGCTTCTTATCAACATGTCCAGCAACGGTCGACTTGCGCTTGCGGTTCAAAGTTGCCGACAGGGGCTGATCATCCACATCGTCCTCGGCATCTGAAGAGGACGAGACGTCTCCGTTAGATCCATCGTCGTTATCGGCTACCGACAGCTTGCTGGGTTCCTTGGCGCGGCGGGCTGCGGGTTTGACGGCATAGGGTGAAGTCGACTTGCGGTGGTATGGTAGCTTGGGTGGCATCTTGAAGAAGTATTGCTTATCCTAGAGCATTCAAATATTACAATAATAACAGCGTTAATATCCACATGTGGCAAATAATTGCATTTGGCTAACAAAAAAATTGCCCTAGCGTTCTGACAATGCCTATATGTTACCTTCAGGGTGCACTTGCGGGCGCTTGGCATGACCTCCTGGCGGGTGAGTTTGCGCATGACGTTGTGGTCGCACTCGGGGATATAGTACCACTGGTTCTCCAGGGGCTTGTTGTAGGCATCCTTGCCTTTGCGCGTAATCTTGCCAACACAACGTGCGGCACTCAGACACTGAAGCATCTGTTCCTTGATCTCCTCGGAATCGTGGGTAGCCATCAGTGAGGGCTGACTGGTAACCATTTCGTCAAAGAGCTCTGTCAGCGTCATCGATTTCTTCTTGCGCGCAAAGACCAATGTGTCGATAATCATCTCGGTATAGTCGCGGGGCTCCTTGTCCGATGCTGATTTGGAGGTTGCTGGTGTGTCTGTAGGCAATTCCCTTGATGACAATTCCGTATCCTGCTTGGTGGCAGCAGTTGACTCCTTGACAACAGTGGCTTTCTCCTTGGGTGCGGTCTTGAGCTTAGGTGCCTTGACAGCTGTGGTGGTAGAGATTGTCGACTTTGCAACTGCATCCTTGGACTTGGTGGGTTGTGCGGTTGCTGTGGTCGATGTAGGTGTCTTGGTCTTGATTTCGCTCTTGGCGCTGTGATTCTCCTTGTCCTTGGGCTTGGAAGACTTCTGTGCCGAATCCTTGGTGGTGGGTACAACGTTCTCAACATCCTTGAGTGACGATGCGGATTTCTGTGTAGTGGTTCCTGACTTTGCTGAGACAGTTTTGACGTTGGTGTTGGTGTTGGCGTTATTCTTTGACAATTTTGACAGTGGTGATCCCGATACGGATGCTGTGCGCTGTGTCGATTCCTGTGAAGATGATTTAGCGACCTTGACAGAGCTGTTCTCGGTCAATGCAAGCGGAGCCAAGGGTGCGCGCTGCTGCTGGTTAGAAACCCTAAAGGGGCTGGATGCAGCTGTATCGTCCATGAAAAAGTTGGGCTCCGATGAGGGGCTGGCAGGGAAGGATGCGTTGTTCAGCCGGTTGGGGAGGGCGTCAAAGGGGATAGCAAAGACTGGTGGGGCCTTGACGGGCGAGGAGCCATAATCTGTTCTTGCATCTGATGTAGCCGAAGGAGGGGTTTGGTAGACGTTGTTGTTCCTGTTGGGGGATGAAGAAAGGTCATATTTCAACATCTTGTGGCGCATACGGGCTGTGGGGGTCGATTGAGAGGGCGAGCTCAAAAGATCCCGAGGAGCGGGTGAGGAAGTGCCAGGTGTCGCCAATTGGTAGTGGGTAAGGGTCGAGTGTTGGGAGCGCTTGGGAGTGACCAGGCCGATACCGTTAGAGTCTTGATAGACTTGATCCTCCTCATGAAAGTTCTCAAGGCCAGCATCCTGCGACGAGTCATCATCCTGATATTCATGTTGCTGTTGAGTCAGTGCTGGTGGAGGAGTGGTTGTAGGGGTTTTGAAGAGCATCTTGACGCCGACCAAATCGACAATATCGCCTCCGCGCAGGGTGGCCTGCTGGCCCGAGGGGAACCCGGTGCCGTTAATACGGACACCGTTCTGGCCAAGGACAGTGATTTCAAAGGTGGCAGATTCGGCGCACCACTGAATAATTGCATGGCGTCTCGAGACCTGCTTGTTGATCCTTCCGAGATTCAAGGTCGCCTGGGAACCTCTGCCGACGATGACGGGCGTGTCGTAGGAACCGTTGAGGACCATTGTGGGGCCCTTGGACTTCTTGGGCTGGCTGCTCTTCTGTGCTGCCTTGACCAACAAATCGAGTCCTGCTGGGCCGTTGTTGTTCCATCCAGCTATTTGATGTAGAGTAGGGGAGGAGCAGGTGTTTGTTAATCTCTGCCCTACAATGAGGGGGTTTCAAGTCCATGATGGGCTTTAGAGTTGCCGTGTGTGATTAGAAAAGATCGCTGCTGTGAAGTGGCTGGAGGGCCAGGGGTAAGAAAGGAGAAAGAGGAGAAAGGGAGGATTACCATTGACGATTGGCGGCTGGTTTTCCTTCATCAACTCCATGCGAGGTGAGGCTGTTGTTGTTTGTGGTGGTGATGGTCCGTGGTGCTTGTTTGTTGTTTGTCGTCTCCGTTTGCGTTGTGCAGTTGAGGAGGAGGGAGAGTATAAGTATGCACTGCAGGGTAAGGGGAGGAAGTGAAGGAAGAGAATGTAGTGTTGATGGGAGGGTTGAGTTGGATGCGATGCAGTCGAAGGAGAAAAGGAAAAGGTTTCCTGCACAATACAAAATAATATTAGTGTCTCTACCGCTTCGGACGCGCTCGAAGAAAAAAAAACAGTTCCCCTTCGTCTGCAAAAACGCGCGAAGCTGCAGCTCAGGAGGGTTCCCTCCCGCCTGAGTGACGTCTATGGGAGGCAGTTTCAATGCAAATGTTGCGAAGTCGAATACATCACGTGTAATGAACGCGTTGGTGAGTGTCCTTAATTCTACTACACAGGCCATACGATTAAATCAATTCAATCTTCCGGCATGTGACCTAAAGGTTAGATATGTCACTGTTTCCTCTTTGAGCCAATCACATTTAGCGACTACATAGACGGAAATGTATAAGTCGGTAGGGGGGTTGATCTATCACTCTGGGTACCATGCCTTTATGAAAGTACCGTAGGAAGACGTTTATCGTCAATGCCTACTAATAGTTTATTGTTAACACGCCTCTTGCGAATTAGACCATGTAGTTTTTAAAAGAAAAAAATGTTCTTGGTACTCGAAATCACGAAAAGATGAGGTAGAGACGCGTGAAAAGGTGCTTTGACAACAATTAAAAATCAATGTTGTCGTTTTTCATACTTTCTTTTTTTCGGCCTGAAAAAGTCATTTGTAACTCTTGCCTATTAATATGGATTTTTAGTATTCGATCTCTAGAACTAGCTGGTACTTTTTATAAAGAGATTGGTTGAGAAATGACCGAGAAAATGGCGAAAGTAAACCTCTAAGGCCTTTAAAAAATTCATAGAAGTGGACAAACCCCTAATTCTACTCTCTTAGTCGGTTTATTTCGCTTGACTTTCTATCTGAATGGTAGCTAAGGTTCGAGGAATTAGTATAGAGTCATTGAAAAGAAGAATGAATGTTTTGAGAAGCATTAAATAGTGAAAAAGTAGGTGAGTGCGCTTAAAGGATTTGATTCTGTATTCTAAGTTAGTCATAGTTATCCTTCATCTATTTGATAACACTCGCTTTATATGTGTAATAAGTGAAGAGAATAGAAAAAGAAAGAAAGAAAGAGAGAGAGAGAGAGAGAGAGAGTAAAGCAAATGATATGAGTGATATAAAACATATATTTATTGCTGTCGCGGCCGCTTGTTATTGAGTGCTTGACCTGGGAATCGAGGAAACGACGCTTCAAACAAATCCAATGCCTCTTGCAGTTTCGTTTGAACTAGTATCTGCTGAGGATATTCTACTTTCTTGTCCCACAGTTCCTCCAGGATCCCAAGGCGCTGAATGGCAAAGCTAATTTGATTCACCTCCGGAGCGTCATAGGCTGGGTAACCCTGCATGTCTGGCTTTAGCATTCCAGGGTGGAAATTCGCTTGGTGTTCCCAGAAATCAGCGCGAAAGAGACTGATGGAAGGTATCTCTACCTGTACTAGAGCAATGTGCTTGCAGCAGCTTCTGTGGTTTTGGAAATACTCACAGGTGCATCTAGTGATGTGGCCAGTGGGTGTCTTGGAGAAGTCGATCTTGATGTCGTAGCCAACGGTAGGGTTGGTAAAGGACTCTACGTAAAGGGTATCGTCAGAGGTCTGCGTAATATATGCGCCTACATATCCCTTTGATTCCCTGGTCTTGATATGGTCGACTGCAATTGCCGTTTTCTTAAGCTCCTCTGATTGGGCGGGGTTCATTCGACCAACGTTGACGATGCTCCGTATGCACTTTTGTTGGAAGTGCGGGACTGCCAAGATAGCAAGGACATAGATGACTGTATCCGGGCGCCGCTGCTGCTTGTCTCGGAAGAAATGACGCTTGAGAGTATTGTGCCAGGACTCTATGTAGTTGTTCGTGTCGATAGAAGCATAGGATACGTCTTGACGGTAGCAGAGCATCCAGCTCTCTTGTGTCTCCTTGACCTGCCACTCGTGTGCCTTAAACATCGACCTGCCAAAGTAGTTCTTGTCGAGATACTTCAAAAGAGCCGTCTGATCGCTCCAGGTCTTGCGGAAGGTCGTCAGTCAACAAAGACATGAGGGTGAAAGATGCTACTAACCTCCACGCCATTGTCAGTTTTAATATACTCCTTCTTGAGGCCCTCCTCCTCTCCTTCTCCATCCTTCTTGATGTCGTTCTGGTCCTCCTCTCCATCCTTCTTAGCAAACTCCGTTTTGGCGATACCCTGGCCCTACAAGTCAAAGGTAGGTTGGTTAGCATGCTGCAAATAAACCACAATCGCAAGTGATGGCAATTGCACAATATCACTTACAAATTCATTCAGGGCATTGATCGCCAGTTGCTCTATTTGACCACGAGCAAGCTTGTCGTTTATAATAGGATCATCAGGGCGAACTTCTGAGGCAGTGACCTGGGTAGTATTAGAGGGAATGGGCTCCATGGTGGAAGGATGAGGGAAAGGATGGGTGGAACGCAGATGCCGTTATTGTTATTTCACGGCGAAATCATGTGACTGTTTAAGGACTGAGTGCAATCGCATAGCCTGTGTAGTAGACTTAAGTGAACTCCGCGTTGGTCTCTTGCTCCACCGGCCGAATGTTTGTACCCATGGAAAAAAAGGTACATACGCTGATGTGCGAACGAACGGATCGCTCGTTGCCGAGGAGTCCGCTCAAAACGGTTGAACTATTACCTTTTGCCTCCATCTTAAACCGCTGCGCGGGTATTTTTTTTGTTGCTGCTGTCGCCAGCGAACTCGGCAAATCGTTCCGTTTATTATTTATTAGCCCTTTTATTTGCTGACAGAAATACAGAAAAAGATGTAAAAAATGGATCAAGATCCGGTAGGTTCGATTCCTTTTTTCTCATTTTATTTCCCTCCTTCCTCCTTCTCCTTCCTTGGATTGTTGTCCTGTGCAGATCAGACAATAGAGGAAAGGTCCTCTTTCTTGTATGTTACATCGAGCACATGCAGGAGAACAAATTGGAGAGTCTATGTTTATTTTTGTCATATGGTTGGGCACAAAATCATGTCCGAGTTAAAATGAAGAAAGACGCCGCTTTTTCCCCCTCCGTGTAGATAGATGGATGGTTCATTCAAAATAGATCCCTTCATCGTGCATGAGCAGCGCAAGTGGGAGGATGTGTGTGTGTCACAGCTAAAGAGCAGGGGGGAAGGTGGAGAGGGAGTTCAATCGATAAAGGACATGGGCAATGATCGATATGACAGAGAATGAGTTAGTAAGAGTAATGAAGAGGAGAAGTCGTGGAGTATTCTTAGGCAACAAAGCGAGAATGGGTTAAGGGTAAAGCCAAATCGGATCCCTATGATCCCGACCAAACGAGATATACATTCGCTACTGTATGCGCCTAATTAAAATAGGGTGGCAACTACGAGAAGTATCTAAAAACAGCAGCAAAAACAGGCTCCTTGATACTTCCGTGGGCTTTTTTAAGGCTGGAGTTAATGGATGGGTGGTAGGTCTGTCAACGTTTATTATCTCCTTCGCCTCTGTTTAGCCATGTGTCAACCTAGACCACTAACCAACCAACCAACAAAGGTTTTGTGTTTGGTCATAGCAACGAGAAGAATGGAATGACTGGATAGACTTTTTGACAAGGTCGATGACCACACACGAACACACACACGCACACACGCACACGCACGCACACACACGATATGTCGCTTACAATGTATGCCGCAGGTGTGGGAACAGAAGGCAAAAAGGGGAAAGAGCAGTAGCAACAGCAACCAACACAAAATAAAACAAATAAACAAACAAATAATTGTTGTTGGTCCAAAAGGCGAGTATTCTTTTCCTAACGAAAAGACCAAGAGAGAAGCAGAGATTCACGCCAAAGAAGAAAAGACACCACCGGAAATATATTCGACTGTGCAAAGAAGAGCTCACGCGCAGGGTTCAAATACTTGTTTTATTTTGCTATTCAGTTGCTCTCGTTCTTTTTTTTTGTATTAGCCATCTCTTGGCTTGTTTACTTTTAGCTGTCGTTGTTGAGCTCGTTTGACCAATTTGACCATTTCTCATTCAATCCTGGTTGACGCCCATATCCCTCCATTAATTCTCTCTCACTCTCTTGTCTCCTTGCCATCTTGTAAGTTCTCCTTAAGCATCCCAGAAAGTCCTTTCCCTCCAGGATTGCTGACAGTGAGTGAGAGACGGAATTGGTTACTCACGGTCATTCACAAACAGGATCATCTGTCGATCGCTTGTAGTTCCTGTATTTACTTTAGTCCAACGAACTCACTGTGCTGCGGTGCTTCATTTCGTTTTTTACCGCAGGGGAAAAGTTCACAGGATGAGGGTGTAGGCACGTTACCCAAACGAGAAACAAAAAATAACGAAACCCTCTGTGAGAAAAACCGACCCCGCCAATGCCCAGAACACTCCTCTCCTTTTTGCTCCCTCCGCGCGATATTGTTGGACCTTGTTTCTGCTCCCAATGGAAGGAGAAACAACGAAACAACAATGCCAACTGTCGGCTCTTGTGTAATCCTCGGCATTAAGCATTGGATGCAAGAGACGAAACACAAGAGGCGACAAAGCAAAGCAGTAATCCCTGGTTTTTTCTCGCTTGGACGGAAATGGCAACGATCCGACTTTTGGTATTATGCCTGTCGTTCGACTCGTTGACATTCTCTTTAGTCTACTATGCTTGGTCAGTGGGCATGATTCGTTTCCAATTGAGAAGGTTGGTTGCGGTTGAAAAGAGAGATTGGGAAGGGGAGGAAGAAGGAAAACTTAAAAAACAAGGTTTATGTGGCAGTGCCAGGCTAAGATGCATTCAATCACTATTCTAGAATAAAACCAAATACTGGCCATTCAATCAAGTATTATGGATCAAAACGAGAATGCTGTTGTTATTGTTGGATGGACGGAACCGAAGACTGAGTGGACTAGACTGAGAGGAGAGAAAGGAGAAGAGAGAGAAAAACAAAGTGAGCTGTTGGTTTGGGTATCCTTTTTGATCAGGATTGAGTCGACAGCTTTGACCTTTGTTTTTCTTGCCGATGTAATGCTCTCCAATGGTCGTTCATTTATGCTTTGTTCGATATTATTTGCATCCTTCATTATCTTTCTCATTTTCGTTTCCGCTCATTACTTCATGCCAACGCCAATGGTAATATACCTCAACTATTCTGTCACGCTCATTTCTTCTCTTTCGCTATCTCTCTTCGTTGTCCTTTGATAGGATCGGTAATTCCAAAAAGTAGAAGAAAAAAAGAAAGAGGGAGTTTGGTACGGTGGGACCCATCTCTCCGACCAAGGAAATATATCAAGTCGATATAGTTCTCTCATTTCCCACACCCACTCACCCAACAGGCTTAGATTATTAGGTAAACAAACATCCGCACACCTCTGCAAGTGGTTTCATTTCATGGATTTGTCTGTGAAGGACGAAATAACGAAGCAGTGAGGGGGTCTATGGATATAGAGCCTACTGATACTGCTGCTGGACATAGCTGTTTTTTTTTAGGAGACCATAAAGGAACTAAAAGGCGATTTACGCACTGAGACAACGCGCTCTTTTTTTTCTTTGCCCCTTTGTTCCTCTGGATCTCTTTCCCCAGGTGTCTTTTTTTTATCCTTTCTTATGATCCCTACCCGAAAGATGAAAATCAAACCCCGTACAAAAGAGAAAACAGACAGAGAGAATGGACAACAATAGGAGATAAACAAAAAGATACATTCAAACACCATCATCGCGTCAACTAGTCCCATAAGCGACTATGAGGACTAATATAAAGAAAAAAAAGGTACGGACAGAACGTGAACACTGCAAAAAATGACAAAGAGAATGATGAACTTAATCCTAGTGGTTATTTTTCCTCCCTCGGCTTGTAATTTGGCTATTCTTCTTCGTGTTGGATCGTTGGTGACCCAGATGAAAATGCTTCATTTTTACACTTTCTACACCTTTTTTCTCGCTCTCACGTTTTCGCCCTTTCTTTTTTCGAGGGTCCACGTTCAAAAACAGTAAGCATCTACGCCTTCTTCGCCTCGTCTTTTTCTCTTTTCGTCCGCGTGTCCTCTACCGTTACAGCCAGGTGAGCACTTTTTCTTCTCTTTTTGCTTTTCATGAACCGATCGATAAAACAATCGCGGTACCAATCAATTGCAAGGAGAAGGAGGTGGGGAGGACACAACGGAGCGCTTCTACGCTTGCATTGTCGTTTTGCTCTGGATGCATTCAATCGAAAGGAGGAGTGGGCATTACCAGACCCAACCTTTCATCCCATCGCAAACACTGGTTATCCTAGCCCACATCCGTCAGAAGCGAGCGGAATCAGAGTGGTCACCTTAGGTATTATATTTTCCAACTCGATACTGTTCGTCCTGTGCAAGAGGGTTCATGTTCGCGAGACCAATATATCTCTCGCCGTAAATAATTTTTTCTCACACTCCACGTCCCTGGCGTTTCCGAGCAGACAAAAAATAATGAAGGGTGGACATGTCTAGAGAAGATGAGCACCATGATAGGGGTTTGGTTGAAAAGCAAGAGTCGAAAAATAAGAAAAGAATTATAGGTAATTAGATGGAGAGAGATAGGAAAGAGCAGCGTAGGTGTTGAAGTCGTGAACGTAAAATAAACACACGTACAACAATGGGACCCCTGGGGCCGCCCGTTCTTCTTTTTCTTTCTGTCCTGTCCCTTGTGTCAATTTCTACCTCTTTAGGAGTGAAAATGAGATCAAACCCCGTCAAGAAGAAAAGATTTTTTTTGCACTGCCTCATTAAGAAATGGACCACTTTTCTTTTCACATTCGAACTCCACCTATTCATCTCCATGTGTTGACTGGTGTCAGATTCGATACTGAGAAAAGTGGGTCCTGTATGACGAGAGGGGACTCTCAGGTTCTGTTCCTGACCCTGACTTTGACCCTGAGTGAGTGATACGCGCGGGACTCAACTCGGAGGCATTCTCCCCCTTTTTTGCCTTTTTTTTTATATCTTGTTTGATGTACGAAACGGAATGCTACTTACTTGATTACATCTCTTTCCCCCCATTTTTCCCTTTCACTTGGTCGTTGTCTCTCCTTCACCCCAGAGCCTGAGTGGATGGCTATTGTTGTTTGTTGTGGAATCAAGATAGAAGTAAAGGGAAAAATACGTTGCCAAAAAAAACCTGCAGCACAGAATGCACTGTCTTCTTTACTGTGAATGCTGATGAAAACTGTAAAAACTGTAAAAGATAGATGGATAGAGAAGAAAGTACTATGATTGAATGTGAGTGACAAAAAGAAGGTTGTTTGAGAAGTGAACCTACACGTGCCCTTTTACTTTCCTGAAGTTAAAATAAGCAGCAGCAGCAGCATAAAACAAGAAACAAGATATATCGTCCTGAGCCGCAGAACTAAACAACTCTCTATCACATCGATCAAGAAAAAGAAAGTTGGAAAGTCAAATACTCTCTCTGGCC